TAGTCCTACCTCCTCATCACAAATGGTCGAGTGGATCCTTATCCACTCTACACTCATCAAACAAACTAGTATTACTTCAAGCAATAAGTATCATTAGTTCACAGTCAGTATAGAAGTAATCAACAGATTGCTCCTCATCAAAGCATGTGTGTTGTATCACCATTTCCTGACATCCGAAGGCGGTTTGTAGCAACCAGCAGTCTGGATAACAATAGAACTGAAGGCAGATGTCCACTGCAGCCTGGGGATCACTTCAAGCATTAGCCGACACACTGGACACTCGTGTCGGCATCATCAACCCATACTCACACCAGACCATTGGTGTCAACATCAAGCTCACTTAGAGTCATATCATAGTCTGATCGTGCCAAGCTACCTCTGGACGGAGTGTCCACAGCAGTTAGTCGAAATCTATCATAATGATAACACAACTACAGATTCCAACGAGAAAGGTGACAGAGAAGGCTCTGTTGCATATTTCACTAGGAATCGAAATACCATTAGCGCTGTCGCATAACTCGACAGAATCGGTGATAGTATCAATACTACCACAGATCTCAGGTTTCAGGTGCACGACCGCTGACACTCTGTTGCATGCAATGAATCAACTATCAAGTCGATATGGATGAGATCAAGTGGAGAACGAGACCTCTCTCTGCCACCCTGGCCCATCCGAGCTGCTGTACTTTTGGATCAGATGCATTGCTCACATGTCAAAGTGGCATTTGGGTTCAGGCTTACTGGGTGATCGCCTTTTAGGTGATTAATGATGGCTCTTGTTTTGTCTCAGCCTGGATGCCCTAGATGCTCATGCCATAATTGTTGTTCAGATATCTGGGGTTTGTTCTCAATATGCTCAAAATCATCATCAACACCTTCAAATAATGATGTTGATGTGATCATTGCATTTTCCTGCCATGTATTGCCTCAGAACTCCAGAAGTCCTTGCTCGCGATTCTTGATCATTTTGAGTAACATGCTGTTTGCTAGATATATTTGTCCTCTGGTTGAGTCTAATGTCACTCATGCTCCTTCATCTGTCAGGGAATTTGTTGACAATAAGTTAACATTGAGATGCTGGACATACAATACATTTTGAAGAAAGATATCTCCAGTGTTTGTTGATATACTAGCATCTCCTATAGCAGTGGCTTCTAGAACCTCACTTCCAGTGGTGAGTATGCGCTTTCAGCAGGTTTTTGGACCAATGAGCATGCTATAGTCATTTACCATGTGGTAGCTGGTGCCTGAGTCTAAGATCCAATGAGAGGTCTCCTTTGAATCTATGGGCCTCTGCCAGCTAGGTGTGAAGGAACACCAGACTTCCTATTTGGGCCTGGCAAGAGGAGAATTCTCTGGTATAGTCACCGATGCATCACATTGACTGATCCCATGTCCAGGCCTCTTGCAGATCCAACATTGTGTCAGGGGTCGCGCGCCTGAAACCTGAGATCAGTAGTAGTATCAGTACTATCACCGATTCTGTCGAGTTATGCGACCGCACTAATGGTATTACAATTCCTAGTGAAATATGTGACAGAACCATCTCTGCTGCTTTTCTCATTGGAATCTGTAGTTGTATTGATGTTATGACAGATTTTGACTGACCACTGTGGACACTCCATCCAGAGGTAGCTCAGCATGATCAAATTACATTACGACTCTAAGTGAACTTGATGTTGACACCAATGATCTGGTGTGAATATGGATTGATGATGCTGACACGAGTGTCCAGTGTGTCAACTAATGCTTGAAGTGATCCCTAGGCCGCAGTGGACATCTGCCTTCGGTTCTATGATTATCTGGACCACTGGTTTGCTACGAACTGCCTTCAGATGTCAGGAAATGGTGATACAACACACATGCTTTGATGAGGAGCAATCTGTTGATTACTTCTATACTGACTGTGAACTAATGATACTTATTGCTTGAAGTAATACTAGTTTGTTTGATGAGTGTAGAGTGGATAAGGATCCACTCGACCATTTGTGATGAGGAGGTAGGACTATATACCTCTTCGCAGTGTCACCAGCAACACTGCTCCTGCTCCCTCTCTCCAGAGGGTACCCTCCTCATCGAGTACTGCACAGGGATCTCCAAGGAGGTACCTCCTCCATATCAAGCCTTGTCCCTCCTGTCTTTCCTGAGCTGTGTCGACTTCATCGACACTGCTCCTCCTCTTCATATCCCTTTCGCCAGTGTCCTATACACAGATCTCCTTCCTTTGACTGGCGATGGTTCTCTTCTACTCCTGTCCTGTGGGCCCCTGAGTGGTAACTGACTGCATGTCACTGAGCTTGGTCCCTCTCGCATGTGACTCATCATATGGACATCCTTACTACTGATCTCCATGGAATCTGCCACATGATCTCGCTTGCTGCAGATTCTGGTGGGGTCCATGATATTGACGATGCTCATGCCAATTTCGCTGTGGTCTGCCATAGAGCTGATTCTACTGCTGATCTTGGTGAACTCTGTTGCAGCTCCTATGATCTACCCAATTCCACGATTCCTGCGCTACCTTCATATGAACTTCGGTCTTTCCTCGTTCTGCGCACCCAGGCCCATAACACATTGGAGCCTTCGGGGTCTTGTGGCGACCTTGGTGCTGGTGCTGTTGGTGTCCTTTTCATCCTTCTCATCCTTTCTGGGAGGTTCGTCCTGGTCTTCACTGCTGGCAACTCTGGCACTGGCTTGTCAGGGATCAACCCTCAGTGTGGGGTTGTTCTCGATTGCTGATTGCTGGATGGATAGGGCAGTGGCAAGGGTGCTAAAACTGAGCTGGCTCACAGTGGCGATGGTCTCTTTGTACATTGGGTGTTGGATAGTACACTTTTGTAGATTAGAAAATAGATTGTCATTGGCAAATGGCTTTCCCAGTAAGCTACTCTCCATTTGGATGGTCCTTATTTCTTGGATGAGCTTTCATGCATCTGAATTGTACATCCTGAGCTCTCCTAGCTGAGTGATTAGTGCAATGCGACAAGATATGGCAGTAGCCTCATTGGTGAGTCCATTTTCAATCTTCTTCCATACATTATGGAACATATGGTGCTCCCTGATGATGTCAAGGATCAAGTAATTGATATTGAACTCTCTGGTGGTGTCAATGGTATTGTGTAGTGCATCTGTTAAGGCATCATCAAATGTTTAGTTCCACTTCGGATGTTTCTTGTTGCACACTCCATCGAGGTGCTTCATAGCATAGGGAACACATCATAGGAAAGACTTGATATGGGCATTCCAACTATAATAGTTGTGCGATGTGAGTTTTGGGACAGGCTCAAGTAGTTTTGCTAGGGTACAAAAATTGTATTGTTTTCCATTGTTGTTGTGATCCGAGTCAGAGTCAGTTTCTTCCTCAGCATCATTGTCAATTGCCTCGGTGTCTGACTCATTGGTGGCCTCATTGTCAACAGCTCGTGGTTGCATTATCTTTCCCTTTCTTCCTCCTTTTGCCTTGCTTGTGACAGCTTGAGCTTTGGCCTCTTGTACCATGTTGTTGATGATCCTGGTTGGCTTAGTCAGTAGAGCTTCAGACTCTTAATCAATTGAAGATTGCAAGTAAAATGCCACCAATCAGAGCTACTAGCAAGCTCAACTTCATGGGTGTATAACTTCTTGAAAAATGCTTATTATTTCTATTTGTGAGTGCTACAACATGAGTGTGTATATATACTTGATCATCATCCTTAACACCTGCTATGTCATAATGAACTCTTCTTTCATATGGCCCCTGTGTTGTCACTTTCTGGTTGTTGCCTCTCCCTGAGTGTTATGGTTGTATTGTTTATACATCCCACATGCACGTCGATGCATGTCGATATGCAACTCTGACTCACTATTATCTTGCTTGAACTCCGTGGACCCTGTAGTTCATGTTAGGATGCCGACGCATCTTCAACTGAATTTCTGGTTCGCTGCACAAGGCAGTCACTTTTTCCACTTTATTGGTTGCTCCACTCGGCCGGCCGGTTGCCGGGCCCTTGGTTGTCATTGTTCCCATGATTCTCTTTGGCATCTTCTTTGATCACCTCTTCAGCTCAGCTCAATTACAACACCGAGTTCTAGAAGTTCGCTTGGCTCCGTCGTATCGAAGCGATTGCTTGTCAAATGAACAAGCACATCACAAAAAGTGTCAGTTCAAAATCCGACGCCAAGATGTCTCTGGAATTTTTCAATCGGCTAAATCAGGGGCCGAGATCTCAAGGGATCTCGATAACAGAATGACGAAGAGTATCGACGGATCAACGCAGCCGTTCCGCTTCTTTCTCAGATCAACTCAGCGGGCGAAAATTGCGGATCACCAAAGCTGCACACACACAAGCCTCTTGTAACTTAACCGTCAGGGTTGGAAATTTCATTCGGCAGCCCTGACCCTGAGACTTGTGCCTGCTGAAGAAAACGATCCGACGAGGCACGAAAGGTGACGTAAGTCGATATAGCGAGAGATCGATCAGATCGGGTAGAACAGATCCAACGATGAATCAGGCAAAGACGATCTGATCATAGATCGTCTGGAACCGATGTAACAAGGATCGGGGACAACTGAGCCCCACTCGTTGTCATAGCTTGTCATTAAGTAGGATACTCCCACTCATGGGATGTGCCGGTACTTTGTATATAGATCAAACGGGAAGCTCTAGGCTCTTGCCACACCCTTCACTTAGGTCAATATAGTATAGTGTTTTAGCTCAAATAGCGTGAACATTGTGCTTAGATTGACATCGCCCGATAAACGTCGACAAAGAGCCAAATTCTTCAACAGTGCCGAGCACAACTTCGGCATACTTCATCACTCTGCGACATAGCGAGCCGTCTCCTTCTTCTGCACCTTTCCGACGTCGACATTGCTTAAAAGGTCACGAACTAACTTCCTCCCGTGCCGCTTCATCTTCACATGTTACATTGTCTTTTGACAGTCATCGACTCAGCCTCGATAACGTAAAGCCCTTTGCTGTCTGGTTTGAAGGCGACGAGCTTTCATACGGTATGCCATCATGAGTACTTTGTCACATCCCAACTCTGGCTCAGCACGGAAACAGGAGCGTACTCCGCTACTCAACGGCCATTTGGCAGCCTCGGCAGCCCGATACGATTCTTTGGCAGACAGCTCTGCTGCTGATAACCCCAATCGCTTGATCACCAAAGGCACTGGCCGGCCTTCAACACAGACGAGGGTAGGTCAGAGCTCGTCTGAGCTCATCGTCAGAGTGCAAGCCGTATGCCCAAACATCCACTGCCCGTCCTGCATCTCTCATCTCTCAGAGCTCGTATCGACACTTGTCCTCGACCCGTCTTGTCATGCTCGAATCGCCAACGTGAACACATCTTTCATTGATCGCAGCGTCAATTTGGACCTCCTGACCTCGCCCGTCGCCGCATCATCCACATCAATAGGCGGTCAGAACCCGAAACGAGCCGCCTCGAAGCTGCTCACTCGCCTCTTGAAGGAACTCGCATCCCTCCTTGCTGAAGATGGCTTCCCAGTCGACCACTTGCGATCTAAGCTCGTCTCATCTACTCAGGCCGCTCGTAGCTACAAAGATGCTTTCAATCTGGTTATGGACAACGCTGACCTCTATGACACAGATTCCACGACTGAGCTTGCACACAGCTTGCCGAGTGACACCCGTCCCAGTACAAGTGACGGTGCATTCAAGTCGAGCTCTGTGCTCGGAACCTTTCCTGCTTCGCTTGGCTCGACACTTCGATCCGCGTGGTCACACTCTACAAGATCTCAACATGACTCGGCGCGCGTGTCGCAGGATCGCTGGCGCAAACATCTTGAGATCTGCGAGGCGTGTCGGGACGGTGTCGCAGGTGATGTTCATAGGCATGCCCCGCTTTTTCAGGGAAACAGCGCAGGTCTTAGACAATATCGCACAAGCGACGATACCAAGCATGATCCTAGCGATGATGCCAACCGAAGAGTATTGGCGACCCTATCGGTTGCGGGCATGACCTGCTCATCCTGTGCACAATCCATCACCAAGGCGGTCCAATCCGACACTTCAATAATAATCGACTCGATCGGCGTCAACGTCATGTCCGCCTCAGCTACGGTGATCACACATCCATCAGCGGTGTCAAAGGTCGCTGAGACCATCGATGATGCGGGCTTTGAAGCACAAGTCATCAAAGTCGAGCCAGTCCCCCAACCTCGGCGTCAACACGATGCTGGTGATGCCTCGAAGTGGACCGCTAAGCTGTCAGTCCAGGGCATGACTTGTGCCAGCTGCGTACAGAGCATCATATCCACTCTCGACGCATTCTCTCAGGAGACCAACCCAAAGAATGCAGTCAAGATCGTCAAATCCTCGATCAACCTAATGGGCAAGTCGGCCGAAGTCAAGCTCTCGGTAGACCCGATGCAAATGGTTGGAAGAGCCGAGGTGGAGAACAGGCTCAAAGGGATCACAGGCGAGATCGAAGACATCGGCTTTGATGCCGAACTGCTTACCTTGCAGCAGAACCAGAGCAAAACCGCCGCCTCAAGCGACACAGAGGATGGATCGCTACAAAGGTCGGTTCGTATCAGAGTGGATGGCATGTTCTGCCGGAACTGTGTTGCAAAGGTGCGCGAGTACTTTGTCAGAAAGCAGAACGAATGTGCATCCGACATCGATGTCAACAGCGATGACCTTGAAGAATTCACTCTCTCCAAACCCTTGCTCAGCTTCAGCTACACGTCAGGGCCCGACTCCGGCATCCGTTTGCGGGATGTACTTGCCAACGTTAATCAGCTCGACCCCACCTTCACAGCTCACTATGCTCCACCTGCTTCTCTCGCCTCTCGCTCTGCCGTTCTGGCACGCAAAGAGCTTCGCGATCTCTTGCTGCGCCTCACTACTGCAGCCCTGTTCGCTCTCCCTTCCCTCATAATCTCCATGATTGCGCCCATACTATCGCCAAGCCATCCACTGCGTCGCTATCTGTCGGGGTACGTAGTCGGATCTGTGACAAAGGGCCAAGTGGCCATGTGGCTGATCTCTACCTCCGTGCAGTTCGGTGTCGGCTCGATCTTCTTCAAGAAGGCATGGCGCAGCTTGTCGTCTGTCTGGAAGAAAGGCCGTTCATGGTCTGATCGACTGCTGCACTTTGGCAACATGGACGTTCTTGTCGCACTTGGAACCCTGGTGGCCTACACCTCATCGCTAGCTTTCCTCACTCTCGATGCTTTCCGTGATCCCAACGGTCGTTCCATGCAGAGCGAGATGGGGATGACTTACTTCGAAGTCTCTGTCTTTCTCGTCTTTTTCATCCTCCTCGGTCGCGCACTTGAGTTCACCAGCAAGAAGAAGACAGGCGACGCCGTGGCTGATCTGGGCAAGATGAAGCCGTCCTCCGCCTATCTCGTGCTCGATCCGTGCAATCCTGCTCAAAGCAAGACTGAGGTCGTCGATGTAGACATGCTCGAGATCGGCGATATCGTGCTGGTACCATACGGATCTTCTCCACCTTTGGACGGCACTTCCGCTGGCACTTCGATGGGCAAAGAAGACGCTGAAGGTCTCTTCGACGAAAGTAGTCTGTCGGGCGAAGCCCGACCCGTCACTAAGAAAGTTGACGACCTCGTCTTTGCAGGGACGATCAACGTCTCACCCACTGCTGTCTTCACTCGCGTCGGTGCCCTTCCAGGCTCCTGCATGATCGATGAGATCCTCGACGTCGTTCAAGAATCGGCAGGGAAGAAAGCCAGCATTGCCCAGCTTGCGGATACGATCACGGGCGTCTTCGTGCCTGTGATCGTCTACATTTCTCTGCTGGTCTTCGTCCTTTGGACGCTGCTGCTTTACTCAGATGCGCTGTCAGAAGCATGGCAAGCGAGTCATGTGCCTCATTACGGCGAGCCTGGGGATAAATTCTTGTGGGCGCTGCAATTCGGTATCTCGTGCTTGCTTGTCGCATGCCCATGTGGTATTGGTCTGGCTGCACCGACCTCACAGTTGGCTGGAATCGGGCTTGCTTCGAAGCACGGCATATTGGTTAATGGCGGAGGCGAAGCGTTCCGAGCGGCAAGTGCAGCAGCTAGCGGCAGCGCAGATCTCGTCGTTGTATTCGACAAGACCGGGACTATCACGAAGGGCGAGGCTGTCAAAGTCACTTCGCATCGCTTTGCTCCCGCATTTGACGAGTCATCTAGCTCTGAAAGGAATGAGAGGGTGCTGGATCAGGACACGCTACTACGATGTGTCAACCTTGTCGAGCAATCTAGTACCCACCCTTACGCAAAAGCACTGCGTGGCTTCACTGCTGAACATCTCGGCCAATCCGATCCCGCTGGCAATACTTTCTCATCGCTACCGAAGCTCGTCGAAGTTAGCGAGGTGGCCGGCAAAGGTGTTCGAGCGACATTCGAGTCTGTCAGCAAGGATTCCTTCCTCCTACTGATCGGGAACAAGCGACTGATGGAAGAGATGGACGGTGCGTACTCTCGGATGGACCGCTCGATCAAGCAAGCCGAGCAAGAATGGTGGAATGCAGCCAACAGCGTCATCTACGTCGGCATCCAATCCTCCACTTTCCCCGAGGGCAAAATCAGCGTCGCCATGGCGATCAGCGACGTCATCCGACCCGAAGCCTCCTGGGTGATCCAGCACCTCAAGCAACGCTTCAACGCCGAGATATGGGTGGTGAGCGGCGACAACGAAGCCACAGCCCGCGGAGTTGCTTCTCAAGTCGGCATCCCTCCCTCACAAGTCATTGCTGGCGTCCTACCTGTGCAGAAGAAAGAATGGGTGGAAAGACTGCAACTGCCTCCCTCCGAACGCGAGATCGAACACCCTTCATCCTCCAAACATCGCCCCTTCCTCCAATCCTGGTTCTCACTGAACCAATCTTCACCCTCTCAGCGTTTAGTCTGCTTCGTAGGTGACGGCATCAACGATTCCCCCGCACTCACCTCCGCATCACTCGGCATAGCTCTCGGATCGGGCAGTTCCATCGCTCACTCGTCATCCGATTTCATCCTTCTTCGACGCCACTCACCCCTCCTCTCTCTACCTCTGCTTCTTACACTCTCCCAAGCAACCTATCGCAAGATCTGGAGCAACTTCGCGTGGGCTTTCATCTTCAACCTCTGTCTCATCCCTGTTGCAGCAGGTGCACTGGTCGGGGTGGGGGTGGAAGTCGGACCGGTGCTAAGTGGGTTAGCGATGGCTTTTAGCTCGACTAGCGTCGTCTTGAATAGTTTGACTTTGCGCTGGTGGAGGCCGGAAAGGGACGTGAGGAGGATGATTGAGATCAGTGACGAGGAGGATTAGATTACGATCTGCACGTCAATTCATTACTCTACCTCCACAAACAGCCCTGTAGGATAGTGATAAGAATGCTAATGCGAATGTGATTGCAAACATGACTGCTCTCCAACATGACTGAAGAACTTGAAGGTGCTCAACGAGGCAACCCACCAGATAACTGACTATAGCTTCCTCCCGTACCACCATTGACCCTTCCCATGACACCAGTCGCGACCTCTCTGAGCTTCAACTTGGTCTTTTCCACTCCACCTAACTTCCAAACTCCCACTGCAGCCATAACGCCAGCTAGGATGAGAAGAAGGAGGAAGAACGAGCTACCGTTATTACCTTCTTCTGCTTTGTTCGAACCACCGGAAGAAGAGGAGGATGAGGAGAGGAGAGGAGTTGGTGTTGCAACAGCTGGTGCTGCTGGAGCGAGAGCTTTGGCTGCGGCTGGAGAAGCAGCCTATGACGAGCAAGGGGTGGCAGACACAGACGAAGAAGAGAGGGGGAGAGAAAAAGATGTTCTATTTCAATATTGCTGTTCTCTTTTTGACAAAGCAAAGAGATTCCCATTCCCCTTCGCAAACGAGCGCAAGTGGCGCCACCCTACATCATCCCACCAGCAAGTCTAGATACACGCAGTAGGAGAGTGAGAAAAGGGCGCACCTTGACATCGCGAGTAGGCCAGGCATGGATCCAGAAGTATTGCGATCCTTGAATCAAGGTAAGGTCGGGCTAAGGGGAGGGGGTTGGTTCAGAGTTCGTCCTTCACCTTTTCGCCATCGTCCGCGGGCAATTCACCCGAATCTTTAACGATAACGTCATGGACAGGCTTGTCGCCGTAACCTTTAGGAACGTTTTCGATGTACTTGACGATATCCATTCCTTCCAGAACTCGACCGAAGACTGCAAGCCACGCAGGAACATCAATGTTCATCAGTAATCAAATCTCCCTCTTATCCTGTAGGTGCAAGGATGGGTTACTTACCAACATGTCTATCATCCAACCAGCTCGTCTTTACGGTGCAGATAAAGAATTGCGCACCGTTGGTGTTGGGACCAGCGTTGGCCATCGAGAGCACACCAGGACCAGTGTGCTTGAGGTTGAAGTTCTCATCGTCGAACTTCCCACCGTAGATCGAGTAACCACCACGACCGTCACCGCGCTCGAAATCACCACCTTGGATCATGAAGTTGCTGATGACTCGATGGAATTTGGAGCCCTTATAACCGAAGCCTTTCTCGCCGGTAGCGAGAGCGCGGAAATTCTCAGCAGTGCGAGGGACGTCTTTGCCGTATAGACCTAGAGTGATACGTCCAACATCTTTGGAGTCGTGAGAAATGTCAAAGTAGACTTTGTTGGTTACAACAGGGTCGGAGGTGGAAGCGGAGGAAAGGGTGGAGAAGATGGCAAAGAGGACGATAAGGAGGGTGGTGAGTGTGGTTGCTGAGAGAATGGATTTCATCTTGAACGAAAGATCTGCCGTAAGAAGGCAGTGAGGGGATGAAGGGGATTATGGTGTTGAGATGAAGATGGGACGGAAGCAGGATCTTGAAGAAGTCGTCCCCGGGCGGTGAGGTGGCACCCTGGCGACCGTGCGCCGAGCAGCGGCAGCGTTTGGACGGAGAGAGCTTAAACCGAGCGCCTTCCAGCGCGCGTGACTGATTTCTTCCTGCCTTCTCTTGACGTATTTTCTCGCCCGGTAGCAGACTGCAATCTCTCTCTCACCGCTTCCCTGCTTCATGGCGTCCTCATGGATCATCACTATCACTCAGTTGACGGTTCACACCGGACTATTATCGCAGAAAGCTTGTATAGAGGGCAAGATTGAACAGAGTTATTGAATGCTACTAGGTGTGCTTTCTGAGAGCGGTCAAAGCTGCCATTACTCTTCCCTGGGCAACTCCGATTCCTCATCGCTGCTCCCGCTCTCATAGATCCCCCTATCCTCATCCACTTCGTTCCCCTCATCCTCTTCATCACCAAAATCCTGACTTCTATCATCCCAACTATGTCTGCTGTTCCCATGCCAAGTCCTCAGTCTCTGATGAATGGGAGACGAGCCAAAACTGTGTCTGTGCATGCTCTCCCTTCCTCCGTTCCTCCTTACACCTTCCGACTGCACGGCAGCAGACAAGAACGGAAGCTGAGTCTGAACATCTCGTTTCTCTCCATCAGCTTCTTCTTCTGCCTCCTCCTCCTCAACCTCACCATCATGGCTATGAGAGCGGTCGAGCCACTCGCGAACAGCTCTACCGGCTTGTTCAGGTTCGTAACCCTCTCCTCTTACGCCCGATCGAGGGCTTTGATTGTCAATGAGATACCTCGAGTAGGTAGGGTATGGCTTGGGTCTCGACTGCGAATCTTTGGAAGGAGGTGGAACGTCGTCGGGGTGTCCAACACTGTTCGGTGTTCCAACAGCCGAGTCTACTAAGCCATTCCTCAATGCCGAACCGGCAACTTTTGTCAACCCAGCAATCTCTTTGCTGGTGAAGAAGTCGTCGTTGTCCGTATCGCTTGGCAGCGAGCTTGCACTACTCGGTCCGCCAAGTGCTCGGATCTGACTTTCGCCACTCGTCCTCGAGGCGCCATCCACAGTAGACATACGCTGGACCGAGCTTTTACCAACACCACCATTGGCGGCTTGTGCAGCACGCCTACAAGCCTTCCTCCCCTGCTCAATCGCTCTCTCCAACCTTACCCTATTCTCAATCATATGCAGTTTGGGGAAAGTAACGCTCTTACCCACGCTCATCATTCTCGTCAGCTCCTTCCGATCCGGATCTGACAGAATCCTAACCCAATCCCAAACCCTAGTCTTGGGCAAGATCGTAACTGCTCCTCCAAATCGCTGCAGGAATACACTAGACCAGTCCTGCCCGAGGATTGCAGGAAGCAAATCGAGATCTCGGAGGATCTTGAAGTTCATCGAGAGGTTGAGCTTTAGAATCCTCTCGGCAGCCGAGAGGACGAAACCACCACGCCAACCTTTGCCCTTCCTGTGCGCGGTGGGTCGACCAGGGGAGCCCTTGGATCCGAAATGGAAAAGATGCACATGAGGATTGACCTGACTAACGATGGGATAGTTGACGTTGAAGAGCGAGTGTAGTTCCTGTAGTGGAATATCTACGCGTAGACTTCCGTCTTTGAAGCGATGACCCCAGTTCCAAGGAACGATTTCGTTTGTTCCTTTGCGCTTTTGCATCAAGCATACCGGATTGAGGATGCCTGGTACCGCAGCAGACGCGAGGAGACTGGACCAAATAACGCAATCGGGTGCAGTGACATAGTTGAGCAACTTGACCGGAGAGTGTCTGTCCGCAGGAATGACCGAAATGCAGAGAACCTTGCCCGTGCGCTGGTAAGCCTCTTTGAAAGTCATACTTCCCATAGTGAAGAAGCTGGCTTTTTCAGCCCATTTGACCGTGTCGAATCTTGCACCCGTCGTCCAAGCCCTCCTCGCCCAGACAGAGAAAGGCTCCTCGCAAGCAGTGATGCGATCAGCAAGTGCGGGCACCAACATTTGCCTCAGCTCCTGATCTGTTCTTGTACATGTCAATGCTGCAATTAGCCCACCAGCCGAAGTCCCTGTCACCACCTTGGGCAACAAATTCGCATCCAACAACGCTCTGACCACTCCAATATGGTAATACCCAAAACTGGCGCCTCCCGACAAACACAAGGCACTCCTCCCCAAATTCTTACTTACCGCCCTATAAAATGCCCGCTTCGTCTCTAACGAAACCTTATCCGTCGTCTCGATATACGCCAATGCCGTTTCAATCTCTGCCAGATAACTCTCGACTAGATACTTGGTGCCCAAATACGTCTCTGAGTACAATCTGAAGTTTTCGGTCCCTGCAAAGTTGTTCCTCAAACATAGATCCAATACACCCAGTAAGTTCTCCGCATCGTCTTTCTCCCTAAAGTTCCTCAAACTCGACTTGACTTTCTTAACCAAGATCCAATCATAAAACCCGCTTCCGTCTTCAGTCTTCCATTTCTCATAGCCAAGGAAATCGTCCTGTGCAAGCGCAGCTTCTTTCCAATCCGCGTAATTGGAGGCCGAACGCATCTGTTTACGCAGTTGCCCCTTTTTCCCACGCCATGCAATGGAATATTCGATAATATTCACCAACTGCCTCACCATCACGTATAGCAAGAACTCCAAACTGATGAACAAGAAGATGACCAGCAAGAGCGGCCATCGGAGAGTGTGGAAAACGAAACCTTCTCTTGTACCTGAGTCGACGATGGTCTTCTTCTTGCGGGAAACTTTTTCGTTGATCGGTGCAAAGTCGGACGCTGCTGCGATTCTGCCTACTTTGCGAGGGTTGGACGCACGGGTGCCAGAAGGTGTTGCCATAGCGGGAGATTTAGGTTCTGTCCAGGACGTTGCCGGTGCAACAGCGGCAGAGGCTTGACCGATTTCGGTGGGCGTTTTGGCCGCATTCCCGTACCCGAACACATTCCACGAAGAGGAGCCGGTGATTTGGTTTGACGGGGCAGGATTGTATTCTTGCTGACCTAAGTCTGTGGCGAGGGCTTCGCGGAAAGCATCGATGTGGTCAGGGTCGACATAGTCTTCTGTTAGGAGCGGATCGAGTTCTTCTTCAGGGGTGCGGGGGAAGAGGGTGGGTGAGAGAAGGTTGCCCAAACTACGCCGACGCTTGGAGGCGGTCTTGACGCTGGAGGAGGAGGTGTTGGTGGTGGTGGTGGTGGTGGTGGGTTCGGGTTGCAAGCTGCGCGATCTTGATATAGATGAGGAGCCTGGCGACTGCTTCGACTTAGACGCGGATGGTTGAGAAGCGACCGCTTCGGTGATAGGGTTGTCGGAAGTGGAGACCGAGGCCGGATTTGGCTGCTGCCGACGCTTGAAGAGGGATGTCATGGTGGTAGTGGTGGCGATGATTGCCGCTCGAAGCAGAGTTGATGGTTGTATGCGGTTCGAACTTTGTTAAGGACGAGGTTGCGCACGGGTCTAGTTTGCCGTGCGGAGAGCCGTAAGAAGTGACAGCATTCCGAGCTGGATGGTGGTGTTAGGTACGGCTGCTTTTTGATGTGTGATGGACGAAAGTAGGACGGAAGAAACGGGAAGCATTTGTACAAGATGACAAAGTCGATGAGCGTGAGTGTGGAGAAAGCGACCGGCAATGAGACTTGTCAACAAAAATTGACCTCAGCTTGCGAGCGAGCGAGATGCTGCAGCCGATGTTACACAGCAGAGTGACCCTGATGGTAACGTCATACTCTGTCGGTGGACACCTCTTCTTTTCACGCTCCCTACTGAATTATTCTTGGAATTTGATGCTGGATCGGGAGATTAGCTCCATTTCCTCCACATGCGAGAAGGCTGAGGACCGAGCGAGATTTTTCTGCTTTTTCATGGACTTTTCTGGAAATTTCAGAAATCAAGGGTCCTCGAGACCCTTCATCATTCCTTTCGCCAATCTTCATCCTCACCATCATTTCTTCTTAAAGCCATCAGGATGCCCAAAGACAACAAGGGCAAGTCCGCCGTCCGAGGCGGCGAAGAAGCCTCCACCTCCGACTCCACCTCCCGTACAGCCAGCAAACCCTACCAGAAGAGATCTGCGCCATCTTCCTCAAAAGCCAAATCTCAGCATCCCGCCAAAAACCCCCGCTTTGACAAACCACCACAAGCATCCTCGTCCTCTGGTCTCCCCGGTGCATCCAAAATCAAATCCTCCATCAGACAAACAAAACGTCTTCTATCCAAACCTAACCTCGCACCAGGAACCAAAATCGAAGCTGAACGACGTCTTAAATCCCTAGAAGCCGATCTTGAAGCTGTCTCCCGTAAACAGGTCGAAAAGCACCGCGCATCACGCTATCACAAAGTCAAGTTCGTCGAGAGGCAAAAGCTTGTTCGTCAAATCGCAAGGTGTAAGCGCAATCTCGCACGCCTCGAAAGCGGCAAGTCGAAAGACGACTCCGACTCGGACGCTGGTAGTGACGATGACGACGAAGAGCAGCGGGTGAAAGAGTCAAAGATGAACAAGTCAGAGTTGGACGAGATGTTAGGATGGCTAAGAGAGTTGTTACACTATGTGGTACAGTATCCGGTGGATTTGCGATATGTTGCTCTGTTTCCGAACAAGGCAGAAGGACCAGCACCGCCAAATGCTAAGGAGCAGGATAAGAGTGGACAAAAGGCGTATGAGCATTTGGTCAGGGTGAAGAAGGCGATGCAGGATGGGAAGTTGAGTGGGGAGCCAGAGGTCGAGTTGAGTAGTAAGGATAGGCCACGGACGAAGCTTGCTAGTGCCAGTAGTAGTCGCGTGAATGGTGGAAAGAACTCGGTTGAGCAGAAGGGTGCGAAGGCGGATAAGAACAAGCGCAAGAAAGATGAGGAAAGCAGTGCTGATGAGTCGGATGATGATGAGGAGGAGGATGCAGGTGGTGTCAAGGGTGATGACTTCTTTGCACAGGACTCGGACGACGAGTGAATCCCTAACACTACACTGCAATCTCAATGGTGTGACACGCAGCAATGGCGAGCAAGTAGCGCAATGCTACGTCTTCACCTTCACTTAGTTGTCCGTTTTGCGCTGCGTGCACAAGCGCGTGATGTATGTGGCATTGTCATTAGCGAAAGAAAACACTACAGTGAGTCAAAACCTAGGAATCCTCAAAGATTCGGCCTCTCGCCATGTTCCTTGATCTGATTCTCTCTCAACTGCGCTTGCAATTCCTGAATAGCCTCCCTATCCGCTCTAATCCCCTCTGGACTCCTTCCTAAACTATTCCTCCTCCTAGCCCACTGCAACTTGCCCGGTGGTTGGACCAGCTTCACCTCTCCCTTCATCTCGTCCACCACCACTGCCTCGGCCGCATCACTCGTCATAACTACATCATTGATGTGAACCATGTTCGGTTTCGCCGGAACATCCACACCGGCTTCGCCTTCCAAGTCATCGAACGCAGCATCTCGTTCCTTCCTCCTCGCTACGGGATCCCAAAACTCATGAACCTCGGTCTTGACCCCGTATGCCTGTGGCAGAATCTCGATCAACTGCCCCTCCCTTACTTGGATACTCGGAATCTCGTGTGGCTGCAAACCCTGAAGATATGCGATCAAACATCGCAACACTGAACTTTGACCTATGATCAATACGTCATTCCTCGTCCGTTCCAATTCGAAGATGATCGGTTCCAATCGCACGGAAAGATCGTGGTAAGACTCTGCACGAGGGAAACGGTGCGAGTAGGGCTCGCGCAACTTGCGCTCGTATTCATCTGGGAAACGTTGCTTAACTTCCTCCACCGACATGCCGTCAACAATACCAGGATTCATCTCGCTCAGCTGACTCCTCTCGATCACCTTGTACCCCGCCTCAGCCAAAGGATAGGCTGTATGGGAAGATCTACGTCGTTGAGAAGTCCACACTTCAAACGCCTTTGAGTCTTGTTCCATGAATTCATCCTTCTCTGTCCCATCCTTCGGCGTACTCAGCGGCGGCAAACCCGCTTTCTTCCTCCTCAAATTCACCATAAACTGCGCCAACTCATCCGCATAATCCCATCCCAGCGAAGACAAATCGGCATCCGCCTTATACAGGTGTTCCACCAGTGCCTCCCCCGCTCTAACCAAATAAATCGTCCTTTGCCTATTATGAATATTCATCAAGAAAAACACGATTCTCGACTGCAAATAGCCTTGAATATTATTCACCACCACCTGTTCACCCACGTTGATCAGCTTTATATATGGAAAGCTTGGGTTTTCGATCGGTTCATACGTCTTTTCGTGACCTGCAATTCTGGAATAGTAGTTCTGCATCGCTTTCTCGGGATCCCAATTGACATAATCAGGACTGCCTAACTTGACGCTCCTAACATTAGCCTCGACAATTTTGGGATCGGTACAGATGCTTTCTAAAAAGATCACATGAACTCCTAGCTTTCCGTACTTCTCTCGGATTGCATAGCGTCGAGCTTGGATCGAGTTGTTCGCATCGTAGACGACTACTTGACCTCCTTGTTTGAAGAAGAAATCGACGACGGTGTCGTCGAAATCGTCGAGAATGCGTTTGCGGAGGGTTTCAGTTTCTTCGCTTTTGGGACCGGTGACGAAGTAGTCGGAGGGGATCTTGTCGGCTCCTCCGAGAACTTTACGTCGGTGGTCACCGAGGGAAAAGACTCCGGATTTGACTCCGAGCCAGGTGAGATAGCGCTCGATTGCGTGGGAGAGATGGGTCTTGCCTCGAGCTGGGAGCCCGACGGTTGCGATTAGGATTTTACCTGCGTGGTAAAGTTGGCCGGAGGCAGTGGTGTAGAGTGGGGCTGCCATTGTGATGCGCCTTCAGCCACGCAACCTAGGCGCGAGGGGCGAGAAGGGCAAAATGCAGAGGGGGGAGATCAGGATGAGGAGGGAATGATGGTGTTGGATGATGAACGAGGAATGTCGGACTCATGATCAAGGTGGTCGACGCACAGGCCGGGCATTTTTTTGTGGAGGAGATAATAACGTTAAGTCTTGGTTTGCATCTCTGAGCACAGTCACCTCTCTCCGCTTTTGGTCGCGAGTATGATCTCTGCAGTTTGCAAGCTTAAATTTCTCTCTTCCCTTGTTCAGACGCATGGCAACAAACATGACCGTGTATAGGATGAATTACGAGTGACTACGAGGTACAAAAGGCGGCATGAGAGCAGGTGTGGTTCCGGTCCTTCGCCTCAAAGATCCCTTCCATTGCGGCTTCGTTCTACTATACGGTGACGCCCAGCGTCCTCGCAACCGGGTATAGATGAGTTGTTCGCCGCTTTCATCCGCCAAAGCGACCCGATATACTCATCCATTTCCTATTATCCGCAGCCACCGCCCTAACAAAAGCCTCGAGTTCCTCATAACTCCTCCCGCCCGTATAACTTTCAAGCCAGGCTCCATCCCTATACAGCTCCAGCGAAGGATACGCCTCGATATTTTGCCTTGTACACAGATCCCCCTGAGCGATACAGTTGACTCGAGATATGTGGAAGTTGGAAGAGTCTTCGAAATGTTTACTTGATTCAGCTAGGTCGTGGAATGTAGGTGCGAAATTTTTGCAGTGTCCGCAGTAAGGGGAGTAGAATTCGACAAACCACATGCCAGTTTCGGTGGAACTGGTGAAGTTGGAGGCGGTGAGAGATTGAACTGCGTCGTCGTAGGTTAGGAGGGGCCCGGCATTGGCGGTGGAGGTGAGGAGGAGGATTAGGGTTGATGCGAAGATGAGGAGACGACGTATTGTTAGAGTCATGTTGGCTGATCAGAGGGATGACAGGATTGCAAGGCTAAGAAGTAGATCGGGATTGATACGAGGGTCCGGGCCAGGGGATGGGAGTTGGAGCGAAGAAGACCAGAGAACGGTCCAGCCGTCTATATATGTGGTGTCGAAGATTAGAGGGAAGCACGAGTAAACTTCGGAAAACAGGTTGCGATGCGGCGTCGATTAAGTCGGGAGAAGATGGGCGCTAGAGATGAGAGTAGGAAGCGGTGCAGTGACGGATGAGCTGCGATGAATGAGTGAAGGAAGGTGTCCAGGAGAAGAAGGTTGTTGCCAGCGTGCGAGATTTGTTCAAGGAGAGCGCGGAATCGAGAATTGAGACGCTTAATCCTCAAATCTAGAAAGCTGCAAGCGCGATGAGCTTCGCGGGCTTCAACAATTATCGTGCGAATGGATACATGCGCATTTTTCAATGGTGGGCGAAGGAGCACGTGACCAACACTCTCTTGAGTTAGTTAATTTAACATTCTTTTTCCCTCAATTTCTCAGCTCCTTTTCCAACAAATTTCACGCGTTGTCAAGGGCACCGTTGAAGGGGGTGAGGTTGATGTTTGCAAACACAACCAACTGCTGGACGCGTCGGATCTCGGACACGCCTGTCAACGAAACGAAAGAGATCTGAGAGCTGCTAATTCGACCCAGGGGAATTCTCCAGGAAGAAATGGCGAAAAGAATGTTGGATTTTTGGTTGCTTTCGCGCGAGTCGCGTGCGTGCGTGACTGAGCCTCCACACACAGGAACGCATACTTTCGGTTCCTAGCAGGAACACATACTTTCGGTTCATAGCGGCTGTCATAGGACCGGATGCGCAGGAAGAACTGGAATCATATGAGGGGAGACTAGGTGCAGGAATTGTAGGATTGGGCAAACAAAGGGTTCTGACAGAGTTCATCAAGATTGGTAGTATTGAGGTCCTACAACATTATTTGTCAGAATTGGTACAAGTGTGATCTTACAGCAAAGTCTGTTAGGATCAGTAGTATCACAACCATATGACAGATGTTGCAGAAACCAGTTAGAGGACACCTCTCCCACAGGTCTCGCAATGGACATACAGTGGTGACATTGGGTTTGCCACCATGATGAGGTAGGTGTTGTCATAGGACTCGAAGTGCAGAAGCAGAAGAGTTATGAGAAGCAGAAGCCTCATGAGGAGGAGTGCAGGAATTGAGGATTGGGCAGATTGAGGGGTTTACAACAAAGTTCATCAAGATCTGTAGTAGAGAGGACTCTATGACAGTTCTTGCCCAGATTGGCATGAACAAGGAATGTATCACAAATTCTGCTGGGATCCATAGTATTGTGATTGTACAATGGATCTCATGTGGGTGCCAATTGCACAGACATCTCAGCAGGACAAGATGGTGGGAGCATTGGGTTTGCCACCCTGATGAAGTGTCATGGGCCTGAATGCTCAAGAAGCAGGAGGGTCATGTCAGGGGTCTTGCGCCTGAAACCCAGGTTAGTCTGTCGAGATACTTGGTGACTATCAAACTGTGCGACAGCTATTGTCTTGGTATCAGTCTCGATGAGCTATGTTGCTCAGTGACTATCAAGTTGCATGATGACAGCAGGTGGCATTCATTGTATATACTATCATAGGTTTCAGCTGACCTCTGTGGACACTCTGTTCAGGGGTAGCTCAGCACAATCAATATCAATATGAAGGTTATGTTGACACCAAGGTCTGGTGTGAGTGTTGATGATGATGAGGTTGATGGTGTTGGTGATAAGGTTGGTGGCATTGGTGGTAATTCGGTGGTGTCAACACGAGTGTCCAGTGTGTTGACTAATGCTTGAAGTGATCCCCGGACCGCAGTGGACTACTGCCTTTGGTTCTATCTATATCCAGACTGCTGACCTGCTATGGGCCACCTTCAGATGTCAGGTAGTGGTGATACAACACATGCACTACAATGAGGAGCAACCTTGATAGATTGCTGCTATGCTGACTGAAACTAATATATACTTATGCTGAAGTGATAACTAGTTATGATGGGTGTAGAGTGGATGAGGATCCACTCAACCTTTGATGAGGAGAAAGTATGGTTATATACCTCTTCACAGCATCACCAGCGATGCTGCTCTTGCTCTCTCTCCAGAGGGTACCCTCTGTCAGGGGTCTCGCGCCTGAAACCCAGGTCGGTCTGTCGAGATACTCAGTGACTATCAAACTGTGCGACAGCTATTGTCTTGGTATCTGTCTCGACGAGCTAGTCGTTCAGTGACTATCAAGCTGTGCAGTGACAGCAGGTGGTGTTTGTTGTATATACTATCATAGGTTTTGGCTGACCTCTGTGGACACTCCGTTCAAGGGTAGCTTGGCACGATCAATATCAATGCATAGGTTATGATGACACCAAGGTCTGGTGTGAGTGTTGATGATGATGAGGTTGATGGTGTTGGTGATAAGGTTGGTGGTGTCAACATGAGTGTCCAGTGTGTTGACTGATGCTTAAGGTGATCCCCAGACTGCAGTGGACTACTGCCTTCAGTTCTATCTATATCCAGACCACTAACCTGCTATGGGGCGCCTTCGGATGTCAGGTAGTGGTGATACAACACACACACTATGATGAGGAGCAACCTTGATAGATTGCTGCTATGCTGACTGAAAACTAATGAGTACTTATGTTTCTAAAGTATTGACTAGTTGTATGGTGAGTAGAGTGGATGAGGATCCACTCGACCTTTGGTGATGAGAAAGCATGGTTATATACCTCTTCACAGCATTGCCAGCGATGCTGCTCCTGCTCTCTCTCCAGAGAGTACCTTCTTCATCAAGTACTGCTCAGGGGCCTCTCCTGCTTGATTGGCACCCCTGTGCCTCTTGAGCTGTGTCAACTCCTTCGACACTGCTCCTCCTCCTTGCTATCCTGCTTGTTTGGCACCCTTGTGCCTCCTGAGTGGTGTCGACACCTTCGACACTGCTCCTCCTCCTCAGGACCTGGTGTCGGTTCCTTTGACTCTTGTCTCTCGAGCCCCTGAGTGGTAACCATCTGCATGCTCCTTGAGCTTGGTCCTCTTTGTGGCTGTGCCTGCTCCTTGAGCTTGGTCCTCCTCGTGGCTGTGCCTGGCCCTCCTCGCATATGGCTCAGTGCTCCTTTGCATGTGAGTCCATAGGAGTCCATGGTCTCCATGGAGACTGCACTATGACCATGCTCTCTAATGGTATCGACTAGATCTTCGATACCTGTGCTCCTTCCATATGAACCAGTGACCCTCCTGCTTCTTGAGCATCCAGGCCCATGACACTACCCCCCTCTTAAGAGCCGAGCTCCGTCGAGGCATACTCTTGTCTGGTTCATGCTGACTCCTCCTCCTCCTCCTTGACAACATCGCCAACATCACTCTTCCTCCTTCTCTCAATCGTCATTCTTCTTCCTCCTCCTCTCTCTACTCCTCCTGTTCTCTCCTCCTCTCTCTACTTTGTCTACTCGCTCGTCCCCCCTCCGACACCTCATACTCCTGGATGAGGTCGGGGCAGTTGAGGTTCTCTACTGGTTCCCATGAAGCAGCTTCTTCTGAGTACCCTCTCCACAACACTTTGTACTCTGTAGTCCCATTGTGTGAATGCTTTTCATTGAGTGCTTCGACTTCAAAATCGAGGTCCTCATCTGGAAGTGATGGTATGGTGGGCTGTTCAGCATGTTGAGGAAGAGAACTTGTTCTTGCTGGCTTGAGCATGGAGACATGGAACACATCATTCACCCTAAGGTTTGCTGGCAATGTGATTCGATAAGCTTGGCATCCCACCCGTTCCTGAACTGGGTAGGGTCCTGCAAACTGGGTATCTAACTTGGGTGTGGGTCTCCTTGTCTTCCAGTTTCGACGGTTGATATAGACCATATCACCCACCTTGAACTTGATGTCCTTGTGCTTCCTGTTATACTGGTCTACTGATCTACATTGTGCCTCTCTGATCTGCTCCTGGAGGTACTTGCAATGCTCCTTTCCATCCTTGAGGTACTCAAAGTGACCTGGATCATTGACTCCTAGTCATTGAGGGATGTCAGGATGAGCTTTGGGGTTCCATCCATAGCATGCAAAGAATGGTGAGACACCAATGCTGTTGTGGACTGTGTTGTTGTATACAAAGGCTGCAGTGTCCAGCAGGTCAGCCCAGTCATTCTGCTCATAGTTGCAGTACATCCTTAGGTACTGCTCGATGACCTGATTGACCCTCTCTGTCTGACCATCAGTTTGAGGATGGTAGGCCATGCTAAGTGAGTGCTTCACACCCATTTGTTCTGTGAATGCCTTCCATGCTCCTGATATGAACTGCCTGCCTCGGTCCAAGACCATGTGATCTGGGTATCCAAAAAGTCTAACCATGTGTCTGTATAGCAACACTGCAGTCTGTTTGGCTGTGACTGTCTTATGGGTTGGAGCTAGTATGGCAAACTTGGTTAACCTGTCAACAATGACTAAGATAGAGTCATAGGTCTTGAAGTCATACTTCTTCAATGGTGGTAGTCCTTTGATGAAGTCGAGGGATATGGAGCCCCAGAGCCTGTCTGGCATTGCTAGTGGCTGTAGCAAACCATATGGGTGGTGATGAGGAGCTTTGTACCTAGCACATACAGGACAACTTGCTACATAGTCTGCAATCCAAGCTGTCATGTTTGGCCACCAGTAATGTTGTTGGGCTGCCTTGATGGTAGCATCTCTTCCCACATGTCCAGCAGTGATGCCATCATGGCATTGAGTCATCACCATGAATTGCAGGTGCTCTACAGAGAGAGACTGTCCATCTACCTCTTTGGCACTCCTTGAGTGTCAGTTGTTGGTCCTCCCTGGCATGATCACTTTGGGGATAACTAACCTTCCTCCACTGTACCATAGGTCATCCTTGACCTCGAAAGGCTTCTTCATATGTATCTCCTGTAGCTCTTGGTCTAAGGGCTGGAAGATCTTGACCAGGTCTCTGAGACCCTTTGATGCTATGGACTCCATTGAGAGCATAGGGGCCACTAGGGTCAGGTCATGGTCTGCTGTCTCCTTGAACACTCAAGGAGGCAGTAGTTGCCTCACATTGTGATCCTGCTCTTCACCAGCTGGTTGCATGTTGTCAGGGGTCTCGCGCCTGAAACCCAGGTCGGTCTGTCAAGATACTCGGTGACTATCAAACTGTGCGACAGCTATTGTCTCAGTATCTGTCTTGACGAGCTAGTCATTCGGTGACTATCAAGTTGTGCAGTGACAGTGGGTGGCGTTCATTGTATATACTATTGTAGGTTTCGGCTGACCTCTGTGGACACTCCATTCAGGGGTAGTTTGGCACGATCAATATCAAAGCTTCGATTATGATGACACCAAGGTCTGGTGTGAGTGTTGATGATGATGAGGTTGATGACGTTGGTGATAAGGTTGGTGGGTGTTGATGATAATGAGGTTGATGGTGTTGGTGATAAGGTTGGTGGCGTCAACACGAGTGTCCAGTGTGTTGACTTGATGCTTGAAGTGATCCCCAGACCGCAGTGGACTACTGCCTTCGGTTCTATCTATATCCGGACTGCTAACCTGCTATGGGGTGCCTTCAGATGTCAGGTAGTGGTGATACAACACACACACTACGATGAGGAGTGTCATGGGCCTGGATGCTCAAGAAGCAGGAGGGTCACTGGTTCATATGGAAGGAGCACAGGTATCGAAGATCTAGTCGATACCAGTAGAGAGCATGGTCGTAGTGCAGTCTCCATGGAGACCATGGACTCCTATGGACTCACATGCAAAGTTGCAGTCTCCATGGAGACCATGGACTCCTACAGACTCACATGCAAAGGAGGACCAAGCTCAAGGAGCAGGCACAGCCACGAAGAGGACCAAGCTCAGATGGTTACCACTCAGGGGCTCGAGAGACAAGAGTCAAAGGAACTGTCACTGGTCAAAGGAGAAGGAGCAGTGTATAGGACACCGGCAAGCAGGTTCTGAGGAGGAGGAGCAGTGTCGAAGGAGTTGACACCACTCAGGAGGCACAGGGGTGCCAAACAAGCAGCAGGATAGCAAGGAGGAGGAGCAGTGTCGAAGGAGTCGACACAGCTCAAGAGGCACAGGGGTGCCAAGCAGGAGAGGCCCCTGAGCAGTACTCGATGAAGAAGGTACTCTCTGGAGAGAGAGCAGGAACAGCATCGCTGGCAATGCTGAGAAGAGGTATATAACCATGCTTTCTCATCATCAAAGGTCGAGTGGATCCTCATCCACTCTACTCACCATATAACTAGTTATCACTTCAGCATAAGTATAAATTAGTTTCAGTCAGCATAGCAGCAATCTATCAAGGTTGCTCCTCATCGTAGTGTGTGTGTTGTATCACCACTACCTGATGTCCGAAGGTGCCCATAGCAGGTTAGCAGTCCGGATCAAGATAGAACCGAAGGCAGTAGTCCACTGCGGTCCAGGGATCACCTTAAGCAAGCATCAGTCAACACACTGGACACTCGTGTTGACGCCACCAACCTCATCACCAACACCATCAACCTCATTATCATCGACATTCACCAACCTTATCACCAACACCATCAACCTCATCATCATCAACACTCACACCAGACCTTGGTGTCATCATAATCGAAGCATTGATATTGATCGTGCTGAGCTACCCCTGAACGGAGTGTCCACAGAGGTCAGCCGAAACCTATGATAGGATATACAACGAATGCCACCTGCTGTTGCTGTGCAACTTGATAGTCACTGAATGACTAGCTCACCGAGACAGATACCGAGACAATAGCTGTCGCACAGTTTGATAGTCACCGAGTATCTCGACAGACTGACCTGGGTTTCTGGCATGAGACCCCTGACATTAGAGTGGATTGTTCAAGCAGCTCCTCATGATCACCATGACGGACCCAGACCTCAACAATAAGCTCGATAGACTACTCACTCTATTGGAAGCTCAGCTAGAGCTTACCAGACAGGGTCAACAGGAGGAACGATTACAACGAGCTCATCTGAGCAGGGAGGAGATGATTGACCTCTCTCACTCAGAGGAACAAGCAGGAGGAGGAGATGAGTCTATGATAGGAGACCCACATACTCCTACTCCGGCTCCACGACCAAGACGATCAGTCTCATTCATCAACCTGGATGAGCAGGAGGATGTCAACTATGAGAAGTATGCTTCACCCACTGGGCCAAGATATGTCAAGTCCAGGGTGGATCCATACAACAAGAGCAGGACAGAACACTATGTTCTTGATCAGGAGGAGGACTCTAGCATCATGGCAGAGCTTAACTGGTCAAAGCCCATTGCCACCCCCTTTCCAAAGTTCAATCCCCGAGATGTGGAGATCTTCATTCTAGAAGCCGAAGCATGGTTTAAGTTCAACCAGGTGTATGAGCAGTCTAGGATGATCAATCACATGGGTGCTCAACTGGAAGGGACAGCAAGAGAGTGGTGGACTTCCAAGCTCTGTATTGATAGAGCTAGAGAAGGAAGGTTGTTCAATGATTGGCACTACTTCACAGAGTGACTGTCAGAGCAGTTCAACCCATGCAATGCTAGGATGGAGGCATACAACAAGCTGTTGGCTCTCAGACTCACAAGTGATGCTCCTGGTGCCACCACATGTCATGTAGAGTGGTTCAGAGACTTGGAGGGACAGGTCAACCTAGATGACAATGAGCTAGTGATTGATCTCTTCAGAGGAAGTCTCACTCACAGCATACAGGAGAAGTTCAAGAGGAACCCACCTGGGAAGAGATGGGAGTGGTATTGAGAGGTTGAGGAGATTGATTGACAGAGGATGCTACTACAGCAGTCCTCGGCTAGACACTCACTCCCAAATGCCATGTCACCTCCACTAAGAACTGGGTCTCGGCCAATTCAAAGTTCAATCCCCACACATCAACCCACTCAACCTTATCCAGCTCAATCACCAGCACAAGCAACTACACAAGCAACTACACAAAACCTAAACTGACCAACTAACTGACCCCTTCCTCATCAACCCACCCAAACCTCGAAGCAAGGAAGCCCTGCTCCATCAGGTATCAACACCTGTCATGTATGCAAGGGTATTGGCCACTGGGCCAGAGACTGCCCTAGCAGGAGGGTAGATCCTCTTAGCTCTCAACCCATGGGTCCAAAGGTCATGGTCACCACAGTGGACCCCTTCAAGGATGCCACTGACTCAGGAGATGGCCACACAGGCAGCACTGAGACAGGTGAACCTGAGGCCATGGACCTCAGCTCATACCAGCAATCCATGGACCCCGACCATGAGGAGGAGGAGCACAATGATGGCGATGATGAGGGAAACGTCAGTGGGGTGATGCATGGATGGTGTGCATTGCTCTACAAACCTCCTTGCCATCACTCTGTATATATCAAGATTGTCAAGTATGTTTCTCTACCAGTGGAGGCAAAGCAGTACTGGAGCTCTCTGGAATGGTTCAAGACCATCCTGCTCAGATACTAGCTGATACTGGTGCTGGTTTGTCCATAGTCTCAGATTCTTTCATTAGTAAGTACCAAATACCCACAAAACCCATAAAAACAAGATCGATCCATGGTGTCACCGGGCACCAACTCTCCATCAATAGTTCTGCGAGCATGCAGGTATCTATTGGTACACACAATCTGGGTGTGGTCGAAGCTTCAGTGGCCGACACTGCGGACTATGACCTCATCCTGGGGTTCACTGAGCTACAGAGGCTCAAACCCACCATACAATGGGATATGGGCCAGCTGGAGTTCAAGACTCAGGAGCAGGACCGACCCCCAAGGAGACCCCCTGAAGCAGCAAGAGCAGGGGACCTAACCATGAGGAGACCAACCCTTCATGGTAACAAGTTTGTCTCAGCAGAGCGCATACTACAAGCAGCTCTGGAAGATGGACCCATAGGGTTCATGCTGTTGGAGGAGCCACCATCATCACTCCTGGCCTTTGGTTTTGTACCTACAGGCACAGACAAAGGAGTAGAGATGGAGGTGGAGGTGGACAAGGTGGTGACAGCTGCAGATATACCAAAGCCATACCAACACCTGCGAGATGTGTTCGATGAGGCGGAAGCAGACAAGCTGCCCCATCATACCGAGCATGATCTCCACCTCGAGTTGATAGAAGGAGGTAAGCCACCTCAAGGGCCCCTGTACCTTAAGGGACCCAAGGAGATGTCTGAGTTGAGGAGGTACTTGGATGAGAACCTCAAGAAGGGGTTCATAAGACCATCGAAGAGCCCGGCATGATCACCAGTGCTCTTTGTACCAAAGAAGGATGGAGGTCTCAGACTCTGTGTGGACTACCGAGGTCTCAACGAGATCACTGTCAAGAACAGAGCACCACTGCCCCTCATCAAGGAGCAGCTATTCTTACTCAGGAAGGCAAGGATCTATACCAAGCTAGACCTTAGAGCAGCATACAACCTCATCCAGATTGCTAAAGGAGATGAATGGAAGACAGCTTTTGGCACACAGTTGGGACTCTATGAGTACCTAGTGATGCCCTTTGGCCTAGCCAATGCTCCAGCTCACTTCCAGCCGTTCATCAATGACATCTTTCAAGACATCATTGGAGTATATGTGGTAGTATACCTAGATGACTTCCTGATCTTCAGTGACACTGAAGAGGCACATGTGAAGCATGTCACCAAGGTCCTCACTCACTTAAGGAGCAACAGGCTCTTTGCTAAGCTGTTGAAGTGTGAGTTTCACACCAAGATAGTCAAGTTCCTGGGATACATCATCAAGCTGATGGGCATAGAGATGGACCCAGAAAAGGTGTGCACTGTCAAGGAGTGGCCAATGCCAGAGTCATTCCATGACATCCAAAGGTTCCTGGGTTTTGCCAACTTCTATCGAAGGTTCATAGCCCACTTTGCTCGCATAGCCAAGCCCTTGACATCACTGGTAAAGCCTATAGAATGGTTCAAGAAGTTCAAGCTACCAGAGGAGGCCCAACAGGCCTTCCACAAGCTCATCCAGGCCTTCACATCAGCAGGAGTGCTTCAGCACTTCGACTACCACCTTCCAACAAGGTTGGAGACCGATGCAAGTGACTTTGCTATAGCAGGAGTACTCAAGCAGGAGCATGAAGGATGATGGCATCCAGTGGCCTTCTACTCTAGGAAGATGTCTTCTGCCAAGAAGAACTATGAGATCCATGACAAGGAGCTCCTAGCTGTGCTCACTTGCATTACTCAGTGGCGACACATGCTAGCTGGACTACCAAGTCAACTGGTCATTCTCACTGACCATGAAGCTCTCAAGTACTTCAAGTCACAGAGATGCATCACAGGCCGACAGGCTCGATGGGCAATACTACTAGCAGACTTCGACTTCATATTGCAGTATCAACCAGGAGACAAAGGTGGTGAACCTGATGCTCTCACCAGAAGGATGTCATGGGCCTGGATGCTCAAGAAGCAGGAGGGTCACGGGTTCATATGGGAGGAGCACAGGTATCGAAGATCTAGTCGAGATCAGTAGAGAGCATGGTCGTAGTGCAGTCTCCATGGAGACCATGGACTCCTACAGACTCGCATGCAAAGGAGGGCCAAGCACAGCCATGAGGAGGACCAAGCTCAAGGAGCAGGCACAGCCACAAAGAGGACCAAGCTCAAGGAGCATGCAGATGGTTACCACTCAGGGGCTCGAGAGACAAGAGCCAAAGGAACTGTCACTGATCAAAGGAGAAGGAGCAGTGTCGAAGGAGTTGACACCAGGTCATGAGGAGGAGGAGCAGTGTCGAAGGAGTCGACACAGCTCAAGAGGCACAGGGGTGCCAAGCAGGAGAGGCCCCTGAGCAGTACTCGATGAAGAAGGTACTCTCTGGAGAGAGAGCAGGAGCAGCATCGCTGGCGATGCTGTGAAGAGGTATATAACCATGCTTTCTCATCATCAAAGGTCGAGTGGATCCTCATCCACTCTACTCACCATAACTAGTTATCACTTCAGCATAAGTATATATTAGTTTCAGTCAGCATAGCAGCAATCCATCAAGGTTGCTCCTCATCGTAGTGTGTGTGTTGTATCACCACTACCTGACATCTGTAGGCGCCCCATAGCAGGTTAGCGGTCCGGATATAGATAGAACTGAAGGCAGTAGTCCACTGCAGTCCGGGGATCACTTCAAGCGTCAAAGTCAGCACACTGGACACTCGTGTTGACGCCACCAACCTTATCACCAACACCATCAACCTCATTATCATCAACACTCACCAACCTTATCACCAACACCATCAACCTCATCATCATCAACACTCACACCAGACCTTGGTGTCATCATAACCGAAGCATTGCTATTGATCGTGCCAAGCTACCCCTGAACGGAGTGTCCACAGAGGTCAGCCGAAACCTATGATAGTATATACAACGAACGCCACCTGCTGTCACTGCACAACTTGATAGTCACCGATACCGAGACAATAGCTGTCGCACAGTTTGATAGTCACCGAGTATCTCGACAGACCGACCTGGGTTTCAGGCGCGAGACCCCTGACAAAGGACAGACATGCAACCAGCTGGTGAAGAGCAGGATCACAATGTGAGGCAACTACTGCCTCCTCGAGTGTTCAAGGAGACAGCAGACCATGACTCGATCCTAGTGGCCCCTATGCTCTCAATGGAGTCCATAGCATCAAAGGGTCTCAGAGACCTGGTCAAGATCTTCCAGCCCTTAGACCAAGAGCTACAGGAGATACATATGAAGAAGCCCTTCGAGGTCAAGGATGACCTATGGTACAGTGGAGGAAGGTTGGTTATCCCCAAAGTGATCATGCCAGGGAGGACCAACAACTGACACTCAAGGAGTGCCAAAGAGGTAGATGGACAGTCTCTCTCTGTAGAGCACCTGCAATTCATGGTGATGACTCAATGCCATGATGGCATCACTGCTGGACATGTGGGAAGAGATGCTACCATCAAGGCAGCCCAATGACATTACTGGTGGCCAAACATGACAGCTTGGATTGCAGACTATGTAGCAAGTTGTCCTGTATGTGCTAGATACAAAGCTCCTCGACACCATCCATATGGTTTGCTACAGCCACTAGCAATGCCAGACAGGCCCTGGGGCTCCATATCCCTCGACTTCATCGAAGGATTACCACCATCAAGGAACTATGACTCCATCCTCGTCATTGTGGACAGGCTGACCAAGTTTGCCATAATAGCTCCAACCCATAAGACAGTCACAGCCAAACAGACTGCAGTGTTGCTATACAGACACATGGTTAGACTTTTTGGATACCCAGATCACATGGTCTTGGACCGAGGCAGGCAGTTCATATCAGGAGCATGGAAGGCATTCACAGAACAAATGGGTGTGAAGCACTCACTTAGCATGGCCTACCATCCTCAAACTGATGGTCAGACAGAGAGGGTCAATCAGGTCATCGAGCAGTACCTAAGGATGTACTGCAACTATGAGCAGAATGACTGGGCCGACCTGCTGGACACTGCAGCCTTTGTATACAACAACACAGTCCACAACAGCATTGGTGTCTCACCATTCTTTGCATGCTATGGATGGAACCCCAAAGCTCATCCTGACATCCCTCAATGACTAGGAGTCAATGATCCAGGTCACTTTGAGTACCTCATGGATGGAAAGGAGCATTGCAAGTACCTCCAGGAGCAGATCAGAGAGGCACAATGTAGATCAGTAGACCAGTATAACAGGAAGCACAAGGACATCAAGTTCAAGGTGGGTGATATGGTCTATATCAACCGTCGAAACTGGAAGACAAGGAGACCCACACCCAAGTTAGATACCCAGTTTGCAGGACCCTACCCAGTTCAGGAACGGGTGGGATGCCAAGCTTATCGAATCACATTGCCAGCAAACCTTAGGGTGAATGATGTGTTCCATGTCTCCATGCTCAAGCCAGCAAGAACAAGTTCTCTTCCTCAACATGCTGAACAGCCCACCATACCATCACTTCCAGATGAGGACCTCGATTTTGAAGTCGAAGCACTCAATGAAAAGCATTCACACAATGGGACTACAGAGTACAAAGTGTTGTGGAGAGGGTACTCAGAAGAAGCTGCTTCATGGGAACCAGTAGAGAACCTCAACTGCCCCGACCTCATCCAGGAGTATGAGGTGTCGGAGGGGGGACGAGCGAGTAGACAAAGTAGAGAGAGGAGGAGAGAACAGGAGGAGTAGAGAGAGGAGGAGGAAGAAGAATGACGATTGAGAGAAGGAGGAAGAGTGATGTTGGCGATGTTGTCAAGGAGGAGGAGGAGGAGTCAGCATGAACCAGACAAGAGTATGCCTCGACGGAGCTCGGCTCTTAAGAGGGGGGTAGTGTCATGGGCCTGGATGCTCAAGAAGCAGGAGGGTCACTGGTTCATATGGAAGGAGCACAGGTATCGAAGATCTAGTCGATACCATTAGAGAGCATGGTCATAGTGCAGTCTCCATGGAGACCATGGACTCCTATGGACTCACATGCAAAGGAGCACTGAGCCATATGCGAGGAGGGCCAGGCACAGCCACAAAGAGGACCAAGCTCAAGGAGCATGCAGATGGTTACCACTCAGGGGCTCGAGAGACAAGAGTCAAAGGAGTCGACACAAGGTCCTGAGGAGGAGGAGCAGTGTCGGAGGAGTTGATCTGGAGGAGGAGGAGCAGTGTCGAAGGAGTCGACAACACTCAGGAGGCACAAGGGTGCCAAACAAGCAGGAGAGGCCCCTGAGCAGTACTTGATGAAGAAGGTACTCTCTGGAGAGAGAGCAGGAGCAGCATCACTGGCAATGCTGTGAAGAGGTATATAACCATGCTTTCTCATCACCAAAGGTCGAGTGGATCCTCATCCACTCTACTCACCATACAACTAGTCAATACTTTAGAAACATAAGTACTCATTAGTTTTCAGTCAGCATAGCAGCAATCTATCAAGGTTGCTCCTCATCATAGTGTGTGTGTTGTATCACCACTACCTGACATCCGAAGGCGCCCCATAGCAGGTTAGTGGTCTGGATATAGATAGAACTGAAGGCAGTAGTCCACTGCAGTCTGGGGATCACCTTAAGCATCAGTCAACACACTGGACACTCATGTTGACACCACCAACCTTATCACCAACACCATCAACCTCATCATCATCAACACTCACACCAGACCTTGGTGTCATCATAACCTATGCATTGATATTGATCGTGCCAAGCTACCCTTGAATGGAGTGTCCACAGAGGTCAGCCAAAACCTACAATAGTATATACAATGAACGCCACCCGCTGTCACTGTGCAACTTGATAGTCACCGAATGACTAGCTCATCGAGACAGATACTGAGACAATAGCTGTCACACAGTTTGATAGTCACTGAGTATCTCGACAGACTGACCTGGGTTTCAGGCGCGAGACCCCTGACACTCATGTCCTTCTCGCCAGTGTCCTTCTCGCCAGTGTCCTTCTCGCCAGTGTCCTTTACACCGCTCTCCTTCCTTTGACCAGTGACGGTCCTCCTTTACCCTTATCTTGTGTGCCCCTGATTGGTAACCAATTGCATGCCACTGAGCTCAGTCCCCCTCTTGGCAAGACTTGGTCCTTGGCCTGGTGGAGCTTGGTCCCCTCCATATGTGAGCTTAGCCCCAGCCTGCATGCGAATTGTCATATGGACATCCTTGTCACTGATCTCTGCAGAATCTGCCATATGATCATGCTTGCTACAGATATCAGTGGAAATCGTGATAATGACTTTGTTCATGCAGGATTTGATGAGATCTGTCATAGAACTGTGTCTATTACCAATCTTGCTGAATTCTTCTGGAAATCCCACGATCTGCCCAATTCCTCAATTCCTGTGCTACCTTCATATGAACTTCGGTCTTCCTTCGCTCTGCGCACCCAGGCCTATGACACATCTCACCTTCGCTAGGGGCCAGTCCCACTTCATCTCAGTGGCAACCCACACCCTCTTTCATTGCCCTCTCTTTATTGACACCCACCTGTTGGCACTGACTTCATCATTGTGCCAGACCCCTGTTTCATCTGGTGGTGTCCTCACCTCATATGGTATCTTCCTTTCATTGCATTGGCAATGAGGTACTGTGCTGATTGATTCTCGTGAGATCTGTCATACCCCACATGATATTATGATTCCCACTGGGACCTGTAGTAGTGACTTTGTTCCTACAGTTCCTGGTGAGTTATGCCATAGGATTGTTTCTACTACCAATCTCAGCAAATTCCTCCTTAAGCCCTTGTTTAGCCTGATCCTGCAATTCCTGCGCCCCTTCATGTCTTCAACTTCTTCCTGCCTCTTGCGCATCTGGCTCCCATGACACTGTTTACCACAGATCTCAATAGAATCAGTAGTAGTCTCAATTCTACTACAGATTTCAGGTTTCTGGCATGCGACCTCTGACAAGTACCTTAGGGAATCACAGACTCTATCTGAAGCTGAAGTGCTGGAAACCACATCAGGGATGGAAGCATATCAGCAGGCTACAGAAGATGCAAGGATACAATGAAGGGAAACCCAGCAGCAATACAAACAGGAACAGGCTGCTTTCATGGAGGGCATGTCTCAGAACTGAGTCCAGAAGTTCAGGCAGGAGAAAGCACTGGATCTTAGGGAGGAGATGATCACTGCACTCTTTGCTTTTCATGGCTGCCCTTTTGAGGACACAAGAGCAGAATCTCAAAGGATGGGAATGACAACATTTGCCTTCACCAAATGGCAGGAGAGACAGGACTGACAGCATGAGGCATGCAGAAGACAGCAATTGGAACAGGTGTGATGTAAGCTGTTTGCTTTAGCTTTGCAATCAAAGGTTTTGGCATTGTTCAGTATAGTGTTCAACAATATCTGATATGACTGCTTTGACCTTGGCCTTGTGTAGGGGATTAGCAATTGCCTTTACCAGCTGAGTCAAGTGAAACTCCAATATGCAAGTGTCACAGGCCTGTGCAGTTTCTTGGGGTGTCAAAAATTGGGCCCAAACATATTTTCAAAGTATTGTGTTTTCAAAACTCAGAGATAACTGAAAACCCCTGCTGTGTGTTGCGCAAGTTTGGCAAGTGCATGCACTTGTCTTACTCCAACTCAATTTTCAACACGACTTGATCCCTTTCTCCTCAACTCGACGTTCTCCTCTTACACTTGACCTTACAACGCAACCACTGCGAACACCACTCGGAACCCCACATTCTACCCCTCTTCCGTCTCTTGTTGCTCACACCCATTTCAGCATCGGTCCGAGGATCCTCTACTACCCAATACAGCTCGAAATCCAGATCGTCCCGGGTCCATCTTTTCAAGCTCGTCGACTGAGCGTATCTTCGTTCCGCTCAGCCCACTACCTTTTCTCTTTACACTGAAGAGTAAGAGTATCCTGTATCGACCCATCAACTCTACCACTTCCGCGACCATTCCACATATCTACCGGTGTTCGCTGCGGATCCAGCGGCTCGACGTCATGGAGTGCACAGTCTAAATCGGTCTAAAGCAGACCTTCATCTCTATCCGCTCTGCTAGCACCGTTCTTATCGAGGCATCGTCAGAACACTTTCAACCAGATCCTTCACGCCTTGCAGTGGCTCAGCGGCCATGCACGCTTCCAACTCAGCCGAGCACGAGCGCACATATGATGCTAACAGCGCAGCAACACAGTCCCCTGGTATTACAGACGAGCTCTTCCGTCGCTTCATGAACTATGAGCGGGCAAAGCTCTCCAAAGGATCGTCGCCCACAACCACCTTTGCCGACCTTGACATCCCGGCTACCATGATGAACTCCCGCAGCTCATACTCTTCAAGCCGAGGCGATGAGCCCAACCATGTACAGTTCTCGATTCGGCGCCCGATCCGAGGCATGCCAAGGAGGTCTTTTCATGCGTCCTTACCAGCTGCTGTAGTGGAGGCTGCACCACCCGCATTGACACAATCGACTGTGAACCATGAAGCCGCCTCCCCCGATCCCGCAGGTCAGTTCGGACCATCTGCCTCGAACATAGCTGCGAGCGGAGGTGCCGACACTATTCCGCAGAATCTCTCGCAAGACTTCCAGCGACTCTCGGTGTCTCCGCAACGGGTCCCACCATCCACACAAGAGTCTGTGGCAGCTGCACAAAACACTGTTGACAGCAGCAGTCATCCTAACTCCGATGCGCACTTTCAATTCCCCACACTACCGCCCAAATTGACCGACGATGGCTTCCACTACCGCCAACGTGCAGCCCAGTTCATCCTCTTGTGCAGTCGAGAAGCGACTCCGGATCGTTTGACCAAGCTGAATCGTCTTTCATTGCCTTTGGTGCCGCGTTCGAGCAACGCCAGTCAGGGCAGACGAGGCGCTGGTGCTCGCAAGTTGGACGACATTGATCGCTCCACCATGCATGACGACGACGAAAGCATCCACTCCCATCACGACCCTCACAATGCTTCCGACGACGACAGCGAGCATCTCGACTTCGACGCCTGTCGCACCGCCCATCTCGGCAACAAGAAGAAGCGCAAGAGCAGTCGCTTCAGCGGTCAAGGTCTCACCACAACCATCGTCGACAGGAGCTTGCCGGAAGATGGTGATACATCCCATGGAAACAAGATTGTGGATCGTGCGCTTGTCGACAGGACCAATACTGCATCGCAATCCACAGTCGATCGGGAGGATCAGCGCAATGGCGACCTTCTTGCATATGCAAAGCTAGAGCTGGCGACGTTCAGGTATCCCGAGTCTGCACGCTTGCCACCACGGCAAAGTCGAGGCGAGTATCAGATGCAACGTCTTCGGCAGCGGGTCCGTACTCGAGTGGCGTCGGTCCTGCTTCAGAGAAGGTATGCGCAGATGGAAGCTGAGAGAAAGGCAAGACAGGAGGAAGAGGCGAGAAGAGAGGCGCAGCTGGCACAGAGTAAGGTGGAGGCAGATTCTCAGCAAGCAGCATCGCCAGAGAAAAAGCCACCGCCGAAACGAGCGATGAAGGCAGGGAAGAGAGCACAGGCGATTCGCGGTGGGAACTCGGCGTCGAAGCCCCTGACCATTGCTGAAATTCGTGCGAGGGCTACTGCTGCGGCTGGTGGTGGTGCTCAGAACGGCTCACGAGAATCAAAGACGAAGGGATCGCCTTCACCGCCTCGAAGAGGATCGGACACTGCGGATGTAGTAAAGCAGGAGACGCGTAACGATGCGCCAGAACCTGAGCAGACCACGACGAGACGCGATTCAACGCCTAGATCAACAGTATCTCCTGTTCCTGGCACCATTTCTCGACAGCAGGGCCCACAGCCGAACGGCCACGCAATACAGCCATCGCAATCACAACAGGATGCCACACCAACCACGACAGAACCCAAAGTGACTCTACCAACGTCCACGTTCGACTTTCGAATGTCATCCGCCGTCACCCTACGCCTGCGTGAGTTGCGGTCGCAGCTCGATGCAGCCACTCGAAACCTCTCAGACACTGCCAAAGCAGGCGACACACATGCTGTCGCTCAAGCTCTTAGTGAGACTGTTGCAGCACCACCTGCTGCTCCTGTTCGACCGTTTGACCCTAATTTACCCTGGGGTCCGGACAACATCCCTCCGACTCCATCGAGAGGTCCCAGTTGGGATCTTCCAGACAACGCGCCTCCGTGGGTACGTCCTTTGCTGAATTATCAGTATCACTTGGAGCAGCAGGAAAAGCAGGCAGCAGGTGGCTCTCGGCCCTCGGGCAAGACCGCTGGGCAGCTTCCGCTTCCTCCACCTCCAGTAGTGAGCCACGCGCGGAGTGGAAGTTCGACCCCTGGACGAGCTCTGCATACCGCTTCGCCTGTTCCTCCACCTTCCAATACGAAAGTTCCACCTGCGACCCGTACAAAGGCGAAAACCAGTAATGGACGTCGTCCAGCCACACGCAAATCCACCCCTCACACCGACTCGACCCACAAAAACGGCTCGGGATGCAAGCATGGTCATCCACACACCCATTCCTCTGGTCTGGGATCAGCGCTGTTCACTCCGGACGACTGGATCTGTCTCTTTTGCGAATACGAGTTGTACTATGGAGAGCCGCCTTTGATGTTTCGTGCTTGTAGAAATCGGAAGAAGCTGGTAGAGAAAAAGTCCAAGGCAAAAAGTAAGGCTCAGGCTGCCCTCTCTAAGAAGGGTTCGACTAAGGTCAATGGTGCGAATGGTAGTGGAGGTGTTGGCGAGGGTGGGTGCGGGCATCATCACCATCACAACGACCATGATCATCATCATCATGAGGATGAAAGTTGTTGTCATGATCATGGAAGTGTTACTTCTGACGACCGCCACCATCATCATCATGCGCACCATCATGGAGGGAATGGGGAAGGGGGAGAGAGGGAAAGATGTGATTGCGGAAACTCGATCCATTCATCTGATTTTGATGATCATTAGCCTCCCAACCCTCAGTTACCGGACATTTTTGTTTTTGCATTCCACACTCATATCGCAGCATACATACATCATCGTTCTCCAAGCAATACATTCAGCATTTGCATCCACACAATGACCTCGGCTCGATACTGAGGTGAGAAGCAGAAGGATTGATTACAACGGACAAAAAAGTGGGGATACAAAAAACAAATGTCTCCCCAGGAGACAGAACGAAAGCACAGCGCATCAAATCTAGCTTGAAATAATCCCCTCTTAGAAGGGAGGACTCGGCGTGCGCGCGATATAAGACAAGAAGACTAAGGAAGGTGTAGTGATGAAACGAAATGCGAAAAGGAAGTAAAGTAATGGTGGAGAAAGAAAAAGGGACGAGTAGATCGGTGACTAGGCGGAGGGTTCCGTTACTGAAGACCTGAAATTCAAGCGATTGGAGATGCCTGGCGAAGCTATGAAAGAGAGGTACCAAGAGCAGGAAGATGAGAGCTGGCAAGAGTGACTCTGGTGCCTAAAAAGCATCTTAAGTGAGATCGAAGTTGTCTTCAATACAGGCTTGCCCATAAGATGCTTCCTTTTTCGCTCCTAACTTAGTCCTTGGTGAAGAGCTTGAAGTGCAAGCCTTCGATAACGCCTTGATCGATCGCTGCAAGCTTCTTGAAAGCACCTCGAGATAAATCGAAATGGCCCCAACCACAGCCTAGCGTTCGAAGAACACGAAGGCGACAACGACGAAGTCGGAGGAAGGGAGAGAAGAAGGAAGAAACGAAAATGATAGTGTAGAAGGAAAAGATGATGTTAGTGGCAATGCGGTGCAGGGTGTGGGACGAAACAATGAGGGGTGAGTGCGGATGTGCGGGTGAAAAGCTATGAATTGAGAAGGATGCCGTGGATACGAAATGAAACTTACTGGAACAGTAGTCGACAATCTTAACAGAAACCATCTTGCCCTGGTAATGAAGGTGAACGGTTTCACCGCACTTGCCGTAGCCACCGTTTTTCTTCACGGCAGCGATCATCGAGTTGTCGTTGGGGGTGGGACCGCCGCAAGCGGGGTCATTAAGCTGGTTGCCACCGTACCAGGTGGCTTTACCCCACTTGGAAACCCAGTCACGCTTCTCGACATCATGAGTGTCGCGAGCTGCGCTCTCGACATGACGAGCCTTGAGCTCGAAGCTGCGCTCTCCGAGCGCAGAGAGGCCGGATTCGTTGGTGTCAATGGCAGCTGCCGAGACGGCAGCTGCAGCTGAGATGAGGGTGAAGATGGCGGTGGTGAACTTCATCTTGATTAGACGGTCTGGTGGAGTGACGGTGAAGATATTGTGGTGGTGATGGTCGGGGAGATAGTCAAGGATCTAATGGACCGGTTGTAAAGAGGGGATGCAAAGAGTGTAAAGAGGTGGTGGAAACAAACGTCAGAGAGTGCCGGACTTCTGGGTTCGCTTGTGGCAAAGTACAGAGATGGACAGGGAGAGAGACAGTCGCTGAACTGAGGACGATCCGTGGACGGTGTGATGCAGAAAAGGAGGGTGTTGATGATACGGAGAGAGAAAAACGAGGGTGTAGAGGAAGCGGAGGAACCGATAGGTGGACGAGAGGAAAGCAAACCGCGGCGAAAACAAAGTGTCTCACACATCAAGGAGAGACTTCGAATTTACTTCAGCAGACGGCGGGCAGGAGGCACTTCATAACGGCGAAAAGTGTGGTACTTTGTGCCTTGCTCCCACATTTAGTGTCGCCTTCCCTTTCTCTTGCCTTAGGGCCCCTTGTTTTCACACATCGCAAGGCCTTGTTGCTGCTTAGAATGACTTCCATGGGAGCTGAGTCTCTACGCCCACATAGAAGCTAAGTTTTGTTGTGTCGTGCTCTTGGCCACAACGTGCAGGGAATTAGACGAGCGACCAAGAGCCGGCGGTGCAGGGGCTTGCGAGGGAGTTGGTGCACAAAAAACGCCGCTCGAGGAGGAAGACAGGAAGTCGAAGGCAGAACGTTCTGTAGCGTTTCCAACGGCCGCATGTTGTTATGCGGCAGATTTTTGTGACTTACCACCTCCGCTCATGCATAGATCGACGACACAGCAGACAGTACGGAGTTGCAAGTATCTCACTCCGCACTACACCATCTACAAGCAATGGTATTGTGAGTCTCAGTGTGCTGATGAAACTATAGCATGCGCTGATTTGGAAAAGCATCGCAGTGTGCCTCGATTGAGAAGGCAAGGATCGATTGGAAGAGAGTCCTTTTTGTGATCAGCAAAGCCGCAGATGCCGAAGGGGCCTTGTGCTTTAAGCGAGCTTTAGAGAGGTGACAGTAGAAAGGCGTGTGATCTACAAAAGTCAGCAGCTGTCTGTTTTCACAAAACCCTAGAGAATTCCCACTGTCAAAATACGGCCGGCACAGCTTCAGAACGGCGGGCGTGAGCGCAGCGGCTCAACACCTCACTTGCATTTCGCTTCGCAAGCAAAATACAACTTCGCCATTTCAGTTGGGTAGCACTTTGTATTCGAGCAACAACATCTGCTAGCTGCACCCGAAGCCTTCTTTTTTTCCTTTCGGGCAGCAACGACTTCCACAGATGCCCTAGTCTTCTGTCGCTGCTCCTATGTGACTGAAGCGAGGAACTGTGAGCCCTTCCATTTTTGGTCGCTGTTTGCACACTCTCTCACGCCTCACTTGGGATAAGGGTGCGTCGATCCTCAAGTCACCGACGTTCCTGTCATTGTTTCGGCTGACTTCAACATCTCCCCGTGTGCCCAAAGAGATTTCCGGCCGAGTTCCATAGAAGCACTCTGCCGTCGGAAACCTTCAGCCTGAGATTGGCTGCTTCCAACCAGCGTTACCTGTCTTTTGAGAAGAGCCGACGACTTAAAGTTCTTTTTCTATCTAGAAAAATGATGGAACAGTGTATCGGTCGGTGTCCGATGAGCATGTTGTCGTCCCGTCTGGTGATAGCCGGATGCAACGGGGCAAACCTGTCCCAAAGTGTTTCTCACTTCCAGACCCGATCTGAGACAGTCCCCTCGATTTCTTCTAGAGACCCAAACAAGCCACCCTTCCGGCGAATGCAAGCTAGCGGCTCCAGCCCTTTTGCTTTCTCATGACCATGTCAGAATCTACATTGTATCCCATCAGACCCAATAGACTCGCCTCTCCGATGAGCGAGCCCGTCAGCCGATTTATCTTCATCTATTCTCTGTAGTCGGGCTTCAAACTGCTTCGATGTCGATCCGCAATCTGTGCAACAGGTGCAGATCAAGGTATGTGCTTATGCGACGTAGAAAGCAAATTTACGGATAGCCGACTGCTGAGTTGTCGTGATTACGTGGTCATTACGGTGCACTGTCTGAAAGAGCACGTTTGCAAGAAGAAGAGGAAGAAGGATCAAGTGTTTCGTTTAGCCAAAAAAAAAAAAAAAAAAAAAAAAAAAAAAAAAAAGAAAAAAAAGGTCATTTAGGGGGTATCAATTTTCGAGTGTTTTTAGAAACATGTGTTTCTCGATTTTGACGACTTTTTCCCGTTTTTGAACACCCCTTTTAGGAGCATCCAAAAAACACGTGTTTCCAAAAACACATTTGCAGCAAAGGTGGCAATTAATTCGATTTAACACGTCTGTTATCAAATTCATTGCCGGTAATGAAGGAGGGAAGCAAGCGGTTGCACATCCGCGCATCCGCACTTCATTTGACACACAGTAATGAAGGACATGACACACCAGTGTGATGAAGTGAAGCAAGTGGATGCGCATCCATGCATCCGCACTTCATTTTGGAGAGTGACAAAAAAAGTGAGTCCATTTTACCGGGTCCGGAGGCGTGTTTTCAGAAACGCGTGTTTTTTCAACTTTGGGTGAGCTTACGTAAGGTTTTTGTGCGAAATAAAAACTCGTCAAAATCGAGAAACACGTGTTTCTAAAAACACTCGAAAATTGATACCCCCTTTTGGTGGAAATGAGGGCTAAATCGAGGCACAAAAAAGGCCCGATCTCGCTGCAGTCCTGCAAGTTGACCGTCGGCATAGGCATCTATTGCAAAGAAACACAGCACGAACAACGAACGAGGAGTGACTGGTCAAGATAAGGACTGAATTTGGCGACTGCCCGATTGGACGAAGTTGTCCTCTGTTACCACAAAACTTTTGACACTGAAGAGCACGACGCGGGGGGGAAGAAGCAACAGCATTCACGTCCAAATCTGCTGCGATTGATTGGCCATCTCCATCAATTTTTTCGTTCAACTGCCGAGTCAGGTCAAGAAGAACCCTAGCGCGAAGAAAGTGCAAAAAAAAAGGGTTGTCGCCGCCGCACAGACAAAATCAAATTTCTAATTCGAGGCCATCTCCCATCTTCCTAGCTGCAGCAGCAGAGCAGTCAGCAACTCCTCCACAGCCTAGTGTCTCCCCCGCCTTGACTCTTCTTCGGAAGGTAACCGCCCCAGAAGCTTTCCTTCCCACGCCATTCTTTTCACCATCACCACCCTCAACCTTATACCCTTAGCCGATCACCATGTCTGCTTCTCAACCCATCGCCATTCTGTCGGTCTACGACAAGACCGGTCTCCTCGACCTTGCCAAGGGTCTTCACGCTCTCGATGTTCGTCTTCTTGGTTCTGGAGGTACCGCCAAGCTCGTCCGTGAGGCTGGTCTCCCCATCGGAGATGTCTCCGACATTACAAAGGCTCCCGAGATGCTTGGTGGTCGTGTCAAGACCCTTCACCCTGCTGTTCACGGTGGTATCCTTGCTCAGACCAGCAAGGCTTCCGATGTTGAGGATCTGAAGGCGCAGAGCATCGAGCCCATCGATGTAGTTGTCTGCAACCTGTACCCATTCGAGGAGACCATCGCTAAGGAGCCCAAGCCTACCATCGCTCAGGCTACTGAAGAGGTCGACATCGGTGGTGTCACACTTCTCCGTGCTGCTGCCAAAAACCACGAGCGTGTCTGGGTCCTCTCTGACCCTAAGGATTACTCCAAGTTCCTCGACAACTACGCAAGCAAGGATGCCGAGGCTGCCAAGGCCAACCGCAACCTGCTTGCCGTCAAGGCTTTCTCTCAGACTGCTCACTACGACGATGCTATTAGCAACTACTACCGTCAGCAGTACGCCAGCTTGGCTTCCAAGTCGACCGATGTCGTCCAGCAGCTTCCTCTCCGATACGGTGCCAACCCTCACCAGAAGCCCGCTCAGGCTTTCGTCACATCCGGCGACATGCCTGTCAAGGCTCTCTGCGGCTCGCCTGGTTACATCAACTTCCTCGACTCGCTCAACGCCTGGGCTCTTGTGCGTGAGCTCGCCGAGGCTACCGGTCTTCCCGCTGCCGCCAGTTTCAAGCACGTCTCCCCCGCTGGTGCTGCCGTCGGTGTTCCCCTCACCGACCTCGAAGCCAAGGCGTTCTTCGTCGACGACCTCGGGCAGCTCTCCGGTCTCGCCACTGCCTACGCTCGTGCTCGTGGTGCCGACCGCATGTCCTCCTTTGGTGACTTTATCGGTCTCTCCCACCCTGTCGATGTTCAGACTGCCAAGATCATCTCTCGTGAGGTGAGCGACGGTGTCATTGCCCCCTCCTACGAGCCTGAAGCCCTCGAAATTCTCTCCAAAAAGAAGGGCGGCAAATACTGCGTTCTCCAGATCGACCCTCAGTTCGAGCCATCCGAAATCGAGACTCGTACCGTCTACGGTGTTCAGCTCCAACAGCGTCGCAACGACCTCAAGATCACCAAGGATCTCTTCACCAACATCGTCTCTGAGAACAAGGAGGTTCCTGAAAGCTCGCAGCTCGACTTGATCGTTGCCACCCTCGCGCTCAAGTACACTCAGAGTAACTCGGTCTGCTACGCAAAGAACGGTCAGGTCATCGGTCTCGGTGCTGGTCAACAGTCGCGTATCCACTGCACTAGGTTGGCTGGTAGCAAGACTGACAACTTCTGGTTGCGTCAACACCCTCGTGTTCTTAGCTTGCCGTTTAAGAAGGGGACTAAGCGACCTGAAAAGTCGAACGCTATCGATCTCTTCGTTGAGGGTACAGAGAACCTTTCAGCAGAAGAGAAGGCCGAGTGGGAGGCAGTGTTCGAGCAGGTCCCCGCTCCTTTGAGCGCAGAAGAGCGTAAGGAGCATGCTGACAAGCTCTCTGGTGTTGTTTGCGCAAGTGATGCGTTCTTCCCCTTCCCCGACAATGTTCACAGGGCAAAGAGGAGCGGTACCAGCTTCATTGTTGCTCCTGGTGGATCGGTTATGGATGATGCCTGTGTGGCAACTGCTAACAAGTACAACATTGTCGTTGTCAGGACCAAACTTCGTCTCTTCCACCACTAATTTCTTGTCCCGGTCTTGTCCCACAGCTCAACGCTTTGCTCTCTTCAGTCCCACTTGTAGTCTCGTTCAACATGCAGTAAAGTCCCGTTCTTTCTCTCCTGTGTTGGCGGTGTGTTGGGTTGCCTTCTGTGTGTGTAGCAGTAGTTTCGCGAGCGGACCAGTGTCGTGATAGAGCCAGAAGAGTGATAGAAAAATCTTTTTGAAGCGTCAAGGTATCGGCCTTCAGAACGGGAAAATAGCCGACGTCGAAGCGTGGGGGATTGTGGAGGAATCCTTCGCTTCTTGGCCGAGCGCGCCACAACCCGTCAATCCCTGTCCCGGCCATGCCTGTTCCTGGAATCTGGCAAAGAACCCGATGAAGACTTTCGAGGTGGCCTGGTGTTCAATCCATGTATTAGCCGGCCTCCTATGTGATTACTTCACCTAAACGCCTCCATCCTCTGTGTATCTGTTCAACCAACCATTGTCATCGCGACAACACGAACATGTTCACTTTCAACATGTCGTCGACAAGTCGGTTTTCATTGCGAGCCTTGCAGGCGATCCGCACTCCGTCTACTCAACGACTCATCACGACCTCCGCTGTTAGACGGAACACTTCGACACGGAGTGACTCGACGACCCACTCGTCTGCCAACTCTTCCTCCTCACGAAACCTCACTCTCGGACTCCTTGCCATGGGTCTCGGAGCCAGCGCCTACTACCTTTCCCAACAAGACTCGAACACGAAGGACAGCAGCAAGATCAACCTGGACGGACCAGCAGCAACCATCAAAAACGGCAACTGCATCTACAGCGACCCTCAACTCCCCTTCTCCTACGGCAGCAAGCAAGATTTTGAAGCAGCCATCGAAGAGCTCAAAGCCTATTTCACCTCCCAAGGCGAAGCATGGGACGACTTTGTCACTACCGACCAAGACGAGCTCGAACGACGTGGTCTCGACGAAAATGGACATCGAACTTCCTCTGAAGGTACCAAGCCTTCCGTTGCTGTCTACGTCCGAGACACGCCGGATGTTCAAGCTGTGATCAGGATTGCAAATAAGTTCCGCATGCCCATCGTACCTTTCTCCGGCGGAACGAGCTTGGAGGGTCACTACATAGCACCGTTCGCTGGTATCTCGATTGACATGTCAAGAATGGACAACATCTTAGCGTTCCACCCGGAAGACGGCGATATTGTCGTTCAAGCAGGTACAGGGTGGGAAGCAGTGAATGCGTATTGTGTAAAGAATGGAGATCAGCTTTTCTTCCCATTGGATCCTGGACCAGGTGCTACGATCGGTGGTATGATCGGCACAGGTTGTTCTGGAACAAATGCTGTTCGATACGGTACTGCTCGCGGGGAGCATTTCCTTGATATGAAGGTTGTTCTTGCCAATGGTGAGGTCATTTCGACTCGTGGTGGTGGTCGTGCACGAAAGTCCTCTGCCGGGTTCGATATCGGGAAGATCATAGTCGGAGCTGAAGGAACACTCGGTATTGTCACTGAAGTAACACTTCGTTTAGCTCCCAAGATGCCTGCCGATGCAGTTGCAGTAGCATCCTTCCCTAACGTCGAAGCAGCGTCTAAGACAGTCAATGAAATTCTCCTCTCCGGTATCCCAGTTCAATGCATCGAACTACTCGACCATCGGATGATCTCCGCCATTAACTCTTCTAACCTCTGCGGCAGGACATACGACGAAAAAGACTCCCTCTTCTTCAAACTCAGTGGTGGCGAAGCAGCAGTAGCAGAAGCGAAAGAAGCCATCACCAAAGCAAGCGTCAAATTTGGTGCTAAGAAGGAGTCTGTCGAGTTCGAAACGGATAAAGAACGAGCTGCAAAGATTTGGGAAGGTCGTAAAGCAGCTCTCTGGGCCGTGGTTGCTACGAACGAAGCACCAGGGGTTAAGGTTTGGACTACCGATGTTTGTGTTCCGATTTCAGCGTTGCCGAGGTTGGTGAGAGAGTCACAGGAAGATTTCCAGAAGTGCGGATTGACTGGGACTGCCATTGTGGGTCATGCTGGAGATGGAAACTTCCATGCGTTGATTCCGTTCAAGGCGGATGATCCGGAACAGACTAAGATCACAACAGAGGCTGTGGGGAGGTTGTGTGAGAGAGCTCAGAGACTGCAAGGCACGTGTACGGGAGAACATGGCGTGGGGATGGGAAAGATCGAGTATCTTCAAAAGGAGTTGCCTGCGGGAACGGTGAGAGCGATGAAAGCGATCAAACTCACTCTAGACCCTCAGAACCTGTTGAACCCCGGAAAGCTGTATCCTACACCTGAGTTTACGCCTGCTCATTAGACCCTCACGTAGTACTAGACCGGCTTCAATCACACGCAAATGAATGGAATCCATGCTGTGCATTTCGATCTGGGAAACGTCATGCTGAGAGATGATGCAATTGTACGTGAAAAGGTGAGCAGCTTGTATCTCTAATGCTTATGTGTGCTGTGCGTACAGGTCTCAATGTTTCCTGTCGTTCAAGTTGTGCATAGGCAAGCTCGAACCATTCTTGGAACCAGCCAAAGCAGAGCTCCCGTTCGCAGCCGAGTTGCCAGCCAATTTCGCCTGTTCTGCCTGCTTGTTCTTACCGAACGCATACACCAAACCGGCAAAGAAACCAACAGTAATAGCACTGACACTCGAGAACGTGACGGGAGGGTCGTGGAAGAAGACCATTCCACTAAGCGCAACAGGAAGCTTGTTGAGTGCACCAACCATACTGTAAGTGGTACTGGAAGTGGCACGGATACACCAAGCCGTCGTGTAGCTGATCAAGATAGCGCAGGCACCGGAGAAGACGATAGCGGAGACGAGCTTGGCTTGTCTGTCGTCAGGGAAGTTCTTGTGGAGGTTGGCAGAGGACCAGTCTTCGACGAGGAACGACATGATGAGTAGGACAGGGATGCTGAGGAAGTTGTTGTAGAACATAGTGTCCCAGTCTTTGAAGCCGGTGACTTTGATACGCTTGCGCATGAGCAAGACGTAGGTGGCACTGCAGATACAGTTGAGTGCCATCCAGAGGTAGCCGCTGGAGAGGAGACCGTAGCCTTGGAAGCCCTCGAGGACGTCGTTGGCAGAAGCGCCTTGGATTTGAGCGGCGATGGCTTCCTTTTCGGCCTTGAGAGCATCGAAGGCTGGGACCATGTGGCCTGTGCGAGGGTCGGTGGCCATGCCGCCAGCGATCGAGTCAGGTGTGTGAGGCATAGAGAGGTTGCCGATAGCGAAGACGTTGGAAATGTCTGACCAGGCAGCGATCAAGGATGACAAGACCATGAGCAAGAAACTGGAGAGGACGATTCTGGTGACACGGCCGCCGAACCACATGACCTCTCCATATGCAATGAGAATGATGGTCAAGTTCTTGAAAATGGTGTAGACAGAGATGTTGAGGTATTGAAGAGCCTTACTACCGGTCCAGATGACGAAAACGAGCATAGTACTGAGAGGCATCCAGTTCCACACATCGCGAGAGTTGAGGCCACGGAGCTGAATGAGACCGGCACGCTCTGCGATCACGACACAGGTGACACCGACGGTGGACTGGATCAGAAGAACGAGGAGGTTCATGTTGAAGCCAGCACCGGACACTGTGAACTTGTTGACGACAGTCATGGTGATACTGGCTGCACAGTAACTGAGGATGGGAGCCAACGCTGTGATGCCTACCGCGGGCTTCTCGGACTCGTTACGAAAGGCCTTTGCGCCCATGCGAACATCTTCGCGAGAGTCGTTGGTACCGCCATTAAGAAAAGGAGCTCGATCGTTCTCTGATGGACTTGCTGGTCGTGTGATATGGGGTGTCTGCTGGCCAGCACCGTGAGGGAGGTCGACCCGTGTCTCTTGAGGAGCGAAGAAGGACCTGTTGCCTGAAGACATCTTGGTGGAGCGAGTTGAGAGCCTACTAGGTTCTCAGAGGGGAACGGGCGCCTTGCGTGTTGGGATGGTGGTAGTAGAAAGTTGTGATTCTCGAGACCAACACTAAATTTCTTCGCGCGAAGGTCAGCAAGCGTTGACACCGGAGTACGCATGCAGGGAGGATCGGGCCCGAAGTGTTGCTTTGGAGCTTCGGTATGGCTTTCGTCCAAGTGCGGCGATACCAGAGGTCAAAGGCTGTGGCCGGGTCGGAGCTGGAGGATCTGCAGGGAACGGGAAGGTTTGCGGCTGCAAGAGTAGCAGACGCTCTGTGATAGGTATGTTACGCCGTGTGGACAGGACAGCCAGGCCAGAGGCTTTGGCGTCTGTGTGTGTCGCTTCTCAAAATTAAGCACGTCTCGCCGAGCACCGAGCGATACTGTAAATTGGTCTTCTGAATTTCTGTAGGGCAACAAGGAGCTGACAAAGGTATCGATCCAATATGATGATGAAAGGTGACGTAAGCCGATGGTGAAGAGATCGGGATAGGTCAATCTTATCGTAGATTTGGTAGAACCGATCTGACAAGAGATCGGGTGCAACGCAGTCCTGCTCGTTGTCATGGTAGATCATTAAGTAGAAGTACTTCCACTCTTGGCGGCTATCACGCAAATGTATATATATCAAGCCGAGAGCACTAGGCTCTCTCCACGTTCTTTAGTCAATCGAATATATATGTTTCTGCCCTAAAACAGTAGTGACATCGTACTCAGACTCTACCCGATCGCCAGTTATCGGGACCAAAACTTCTTCACACTGTATGAGGAGCACGTGCCGCGTTGCTCGCCGAGGCGGGCAATTCAATTTGCTGCACGAAAGCAGTCGAATCGCTTGGCCCCTTTCAAAATGGCGGAATATTTCACACGCTGTTGTTACACCGACTACAAGAAACAAATCTTGACTCCGCTTGAGAAAGGCCTAACAAAGCCAGTCCAACAATTCAGGCCTTGCAAGTCGCAGTTGTTAAAGGACGTATGAGGCAATGCTGCAGCTATCAAGGCTGCAAGCAGCACCGTTGTGAATGACGACTCGCGACAAACAGCTGACAACTCCGTATTGACGCCTCTTTACAATCAAACGAAGCGAAGAAAAAAAGAAAAAAGACAACAATAGAGGTGATGACTGCGATGTGCTTTCTTGTTGCAACGAGACGAACCGTGCGATGGTATGCTGAAAAGATTGTGATGATTTACTTGGACGATTCGGAAGCCTTCTTGGCCTTCTCCTTAGCGGCCTCCTTCTGAGCCTTCTCGTAGACCCAATCGTTGAGGCCCCGACGGCAGCGAGCGATTTCGTAGACGTAGAATTGAAGACGTGTGACTGTTACACAGCGACAGAGCGATATAAGCCAAGGACGATGTCAGAGAAGACTGCACTGCAAGATAGAGCTCTGTTGGAAGGCATACATACCAAAAGTGGTGTTGAACTGGGTGTACTCGTCCGAAGCGTCAGTGCGGATCAAGGTGCCGAAGTTGTAGTCGGCGACTTAGGGAAGAGTCAAAGAAAGCGAGTGTAAGCGAGAAGGTAAAGTCAGCGACGGTTTTCCGGACAGTTCATAAGTGGCCTTAGCTGCTAAAAGTGAATGCTCAAAAACTTACCCTTGTTCTCGTACTTGTTGATGAAAAGCCTCCACTTCTCCTTACCTGCTGGGCTCTTCATCGCTTCCTCGTCAATCTTGGCTACCGATTGAGGACCTGCCGACTCGGAGAACTCTGGGAAGGTGGCTTGGAAGTCCTCGTACATCTCATCGTCCAGCCTGCGGAGTGTCGAGGAGGTAGCCGGGAGGCAATAGAGCGAGGAGCAGAGATGGCCAGCAAGTGTTCTCATCAGTTTGTCAATAGGAGTACGGAGCTGCAGCAAGCTATATGCATCTACTTGCCGGTATACTTACTTTGTCAATCGAAGGGTCGAAGGCTTGATCTTCTCCAACAAGTTCCAGTAGGTCTGAGCGTGCTCGACACATCGAACAGCCATCTGCTTCTCGATCTCTGGCAAGTTCTGCGTCTGGTTGGCGTCGAAGGTTCCGGTCGACATGATGCTGTGTGTTCGTTTATGGGTGCTGAGTTGATAGTGGTGGTGGGAGAGACCGTTGTTGATAGAAGGCTGGTCAGGTGTGTGAATTAGAGCTCTTGACAAGGCATGTGCGCTGCCGCTCCGTGGCGGAGCGGAATTTGGAGCACACGCCTGTCCCGACGATCCCTATGCAGCGCCACGTCAAGACCTTTTGACTTGGCTATTTGAGTGTCGAGCTGTCACTTTGGAAGCTTCGGCTGAGACGCGTGCCTGGAAAACTGGTTCTGTTAGGCCATCCTGGCTCACAAGCTAATTCCAATGCCTCCACATCTGCTAGGGAAAGACACGCATACAAGCAGCTCAGGCCACGGCTGAGCTGGAGAAGCTTCCAAGTGATCGATCTGCCGCGCAACTGCCCGAGATGCGGAATTTAGACCCTCGCTGCGCAGGTCAGGTAATATGGCGCAGCAGCGCATCACAAAGCTGCTGAGCAGCACTTGACAGTGTCGCACACTCCACTCTCGAAACAGCTCTGTCATCTTGACACAAATCCTTTTCGTTACCATCGTTCCCTCTTCCATCATTTCCTCTTCCATCACTATCCTCAAGGTCTTCTCCTCAACTTCGTATCTTCCGACGCATCCAATAGGTGTACGAGAAATCTACGCACGCAGACCGAGCCAAGTTCATTTAACCCCATCGTTTTGAACGATGTCCGACCCAGCTCCTTCCAACCCCGCCCCTCCTAAGCCGGCCCCGGCTGACGACAAGGATGAGGTTGCCACCGCCATCCTTCGAACCAAGAAAGCTCCCAATCGACTGTTTATCGAGGAGTCGACAACTGATGATAACAGCGTAATTTGCATGTCGCCCGCCAAGATGGAAGAACTTGGGCTCTTCCGCGGTGACACCGTCCTCGTCAGGGGCAAGAAGCGCAGGGACACCGTGCTCATCTGTCTCTCTGACGAAAACACCGAAGACTCCAAGATTCGCATCAACAAGGTCGCTCGAAACAACCTCCGAGTCAAGCTCGGCGACCTGGTCTCTGTCCATGCCTGCCACGACATCAAGTACGGCAAGCGCATCCACGTCCTCCCCTTCGACGACAGTGTCGAGGGCCTTACCGGCAACATCTTCGACGTCTACCTCAAGCCGTACTTCCTTGAGGCCTATCGCCCTGTCCGCAAGGGTGACACCTTCACCGTTCGCGGCGGTATGCGTGCCGTCGAGTTCAAGGTGATCGAGACCGACCCTGCCGAGTTCTGCATTGTTGCACAAGACACTGTTATCCACACTGAGGGTGAGCCCGTCAAGCGCGAGGACGAGGAGGCCAACCTTGCAGATGTCGGCTACGACGATATCGGTGGTTGCCGAAAGCAGATGGCTCAGATTCGTGAGATGGTCGAGCTCCCTCTCCGTCACCCACAACTCTTCAAGTCCATCGGTATCAAGCCCCCTCGTGGTGTGCTCATGTATGGTCCTCCTGGTACTGGTAAGACCTTGATGGCTCGTGCTGTCGCCAACGAGACCGGTGCCTTTTTCTTCCTCATCAACGGTCCCGAGATCATGTCCAAGATGGCCGGTGAGTCCGAGTCCAACCTCCGCAAGGCCTTCGAGGAGGCCGAGAAGAACAGCCCTGCCATCATCTTCATTGACGAGATCGACAGTATCGCTCCCAAGCGTGAAAAGACCAACGGCGAGGTCGAGCGACGTGTCGTCTCGCAGCTGCTCACTCTCATGGATGGTCTCAAGGCTCGCTCCAACATCGTCGTCATGGCTGCCACGAACCGACCCAACTCGATCGACCCTGCTCTCCGTCGATTCGGTCGTTTCGACCGTGAAGTCGACATCGGCATCCCCGACCCTACTGGCCGTCTCGAGATTCTCCGCATCCACACCAAGAACATGAAGCTGGCCGACGACGTCGACCTCGAGCAGATCGCTGCCGAGACCCACGGTTACGTCGGTTCTGATGTGGCTGCTCTTTGCTCTGAAGCTGCCATGCAGCAGATCCGCGAAAAGATGGACCTCATTGATCTTGACGAGGACACCATTGACGCCGAGGTGCTCGACTCCTTGGGTGTCACTATGGAGAACTTCCGATTCGCCCTCGGTGTCTCCAACCCCTCGGCCCTTCGCGAGACTGTCGTCGAGGTGCCCACCACCACCTGGAAGGACATTGGTGGTCTCGACAAGGTCAAGCAGGAGCTCCAGGAGACTGTCTCGTATCCTGTCGAGCACCCCGAGAAGTTCCTCAAGTACGGTATGGCTCCTTCCAAGGGTGTTCTCTTTTACGGTCCTCCTGGTACAGGTAAGACCTTGCTTGCCAAGGCCATCGCCAACGAGTGCCAGGCCAACTTCATCTCGATCAAGGGTCCCGAGCTCCTCACCATGTGGTTCGGTGAGTCGGAAGCCAATGTGCGAGATGTTTTCGACAAGGCGCGTGCTGCTGCGCCATGCGTCATGTTCTTCGACGAGTTGGACGCCATTGCCAAGTCTCGAGGTTCTTCGGCTGGCGACGGTGGAGGAGCTGGTGACCGTGTGATCAATCAGATTCTTACCGAGATGGACGGTGTTAGCTCGCGTAAGAACGTCTTCATCATCGGTGCTACCAACCGACCTGATCAGATCGACCCTGCTATTCTCCGTCCAGGTCGTCTTGACCAGCTTATCTACATCCCTCTCCCCGACGAGCCTTCTCGTCTTTCCATTCTCAAGGCGACGCTCAAGAAGTCGCCCATCGCCGAGGATGTCGACCTTTCCTTCCTTGCCAAGCACACACACGGCTTCTCTGGTGCCGATCTTGCCGAGATCTGCCAGCGTGCTGCTAAGCTCGCCATTCGCGAGTCGATCGAGGCCGATATCAAGCGCGAGCGTGAACGTCAAGCCAATAAGGAGGCCAACGCCGAGGGCGAGGTCAAGATGGAGGAGGACGCTGCTGCCGGTGCTGCCGCCGAAGTGGAGGAGGATGACCCGGTTCCCGAGATCACTCGAGCACACTTCGAGGAGGCAATGCGCTTCGCACGTAGGTCCGTTTCTGATGGTGACATTCGCCGATACGAGCTTTTCGCACAGAACTTGCAGTCAGCTCGTTCGTTCGGCACCTCGTTCCGCTTCCCTGAAGGTCAGAACCCAGGGCAGATCGGCGGAGCTGGTGGTGCTGGCGGAAGCGGGGGCGGCGGTGCTGCCTTTGGCAACGACGATGCCGGTGATGACGACTTGTACGCCTAATTCAATTCCTAGATCCTATCGTTGTTCGTTAGTTGTTAGTGTCCCTCAGCAGGACCATGTTTGTACAAAGATGATCCAAAAGCAAGATGAAGTTCCCGTACGCCATTGTCATTGTGCGCATGCTTTCGGAGATGAGACTCACGTGTCAACATGACTCGCAAATTGAGAGTCATGTGCCAAGGGAAGTCTTCATTAAGAATACTCAGAATCGGTGGGCCTGTAAGGAATACATACGATCGCCTCTTGACACAGAGCTTGGATTGTACAATTGAGCACGTCGTCGTGCGGTATCTACAGATGAAGAGGTAAGTCCGAGACCGAGAGGGGAAGGGCGGAGGAAAGAACCAAGGTCCGTCCGGGGAGGTATGAGTAGCCCGTTTCATTCCAAGTCTCCTCTACTCCTTTCCTCGAAGCATACTCTTGAGACTACTTGAGCCACTGGGTAAGTCTGCGCTGCTTCGGATCCAACGCTTTCTTTTTCTCAGTCGGTTTCTGTTCGAGAACCGATATATTGCGGGCACCTGTTTCGTCTAGGCGAGCTGAAAGGGGAGTCCAGTCCCTCGTCTTTGAAGGTCGCTTCTCTCACTTGTCCTTTTTAGCCTCAGCAAGTTCCTTAGCCTGCTTCCTCCTCCTCTTCTCGGCCTCAATTGCGTCCTGTCTAGACAAATACCATTCGCTGACCTGCAGGACAAGCACACCCAGCAATAAAACAGCGCAGATAGTGTTGCTAGCGCTGATGATCCTAATGGCGGCGACCTTCTCGTCTTGAGTCATGGGTCCATCCGTGGGCTTGAAGTCCGACTCTCCTTTCTCGAAAGCTTCCAATTGCGACTGACGCTGAGTCTGAATGGCTGAAGAGAGCAAAAGCTTAACGTTGGTAGGATCAGAAATGAGACGGAGGTTGGGGACCGAGACACCAAGGTACATGCAAACAGCACCCATGAAGAGAACGAGGGATCCACCGTCAAAGTACTTGGCGAGTTCGTTCCATCGGTGAAGTTTAGCGACAAGACCGATGATGCCAAGTCCCATCATACCGTGCATGAGGGCAGAGACGGCAAGAGGGGCGTTGAAGAGGGAGAGGTAGAAACGTTCAGCAGCATCGACGGCAGTGTCCGTGAGCTCGGAGAAGTAGAGGAGGGGGAAGTCGTAGATTGAGGCGACGAAGATCACGCCTTTAATATCGGGAGAAGATGACAGTAGCGGGGAGCATGTGCGGGTAGGTTGATGAAATAGAGGTTAGTATCATACACTCGTACGATGACGACGAGATCCAGTGTGACAACTTACCGAACAGGAACGATGTGCTCGAGATTACAAAGCCGCTACGAAACCCCATGATGATGTCCGCACGTCGAATATCGAAGGATGAAGTCCGAAAAAGAGAGTATATAAAATATGTAAGATGGTTGAGGGGGAGGAATGGAAGGAAGAAGAGGTGGGTCGAGATTGCGGAGATACAGACGCAAGCGGGTCCAATGAAATATGAGAAGAAATTGGATGCGTGAGGGCCTAGAGCTTGGCGAACAGGGCAGCTTCCTTGAGTCTCCGGGAATCGGAGCTTGTGAGCTCCACTTCAACTTCAGGGTCATCAAGAGTTGTTCCCTGCTCTGACTCAATCGCCGCATCTGAACGGAGACAAGCTCAACGGTCACTCCCTATACGGCCATCCTCCAATATTGCACCCCGAAGACCTTCATCTGCTGATCGCCGGACGTATTTATCACGCCGTCGGTCTGAGAGGAACGACCTTTCACGAACTTGAACGACCCTCCGACCTTATTTTCCTAGAGGAAAACTCGCTCGTCATAATCGAGCTTCATAACAATTCCTGTCCAAGGACACATTCTGCTCATCGGAGACAGGACCACCTGTTCTGCCCGCTTTCGGAAACCTACAAGCCATTGACTTCGCTAAGCGTCAAATTTGTCGTTCTGGACCTCCTGAAGGACACCACATTGGCTTGTTGTTTGCTTGCTGCATCAAGCAGTCCCTATAGGCAACTCCCACACTCGACGTCATCATGACAATACGAGCAGCACTCATCGTCAACAACCACGGTAAGCCACGCTTGACCAAGTTCTATACCCAGCTCCCGGCTTCTCGCCAGCAAGCTCTCATCAAGGAGATCTTTCGCCTCGTCTCAAAACGACCCGATGGGGTATGCAATTTTCTTGATGCAACCGAGCTCACCGCTCTCCTACCACCGCCTGCCGACGCAGTTCGTTTCTCCTCATCCCTAAGCAAAGGCAAGCACGTCGAAAAGGACAGCAGCGAAGCCAAGCCAACAACAGCTCGCAAAAATGAAGATCAACTGCGAGTCATCTACCGACACTACGCTACGCTTTACTTTGTCTTTGTTGTCGATCAGAGCGAGAGCGAGCTAGGCATCTTGGACTTGATTCAGGTGTTTGTGGAGAGCTTGGACAGGTGCTTTGAGAACGTGTGCGAGTTGGATCTTATCTTTCACTTTGACGAGGTGCATGCGATTCTCAACGAGGTGATTCAGGGAGGGTTGGTCGTGGAGACGAATATTAACGAGATCGTTGCAGCAGCACAAGCAACGTCGAGAGCGAGGAAAGCGTCTGCTGCAGCTGCTGGAGGAGGAGGGGCTGGTGCGGTAGGAGCAAGTTTAGGAAGTCTCAACCCAGGAGCGCTGCACTTGTCAATACCGGGTACAGGCGGCGGCTCCATTCCATGGCCAAAGGGGACATTCATGGTTGACGCTATCTCCAATCTTGGCAATCAGTACCTTGGTCGTTCTAGCGGTCGTCGCTGAACCCCCCTTTGTTTTTTTAATTCGATTGCCTCTCTGCACACATGCACTTTTTCTCATATGTCACCGCATGATCTAGCATCTGCTACGCCGCATCACAGGTCTAGGTCTGACAGGAAGCGTTGTTTAACAATGACTGAGAAAAGCTTACATTTTGCTGATGGAAAACAGACATACAAATGGATGCGGGAGGTATTAGCATGAGGATGGATAGGAGATCAAAGAAAGACACACAGCACTCCTTCCTGTTTGGTTTCGCTTTTTCGTCTCGAGCCTGCCAACGAGGCTCCGAGCTACTATGCATCTATGATTTTGGGGGGTACCCATGGCTGCAAACTTAGACGGAAGCCTTGCTCTGCTCGTTGAGGAAGAATCGGAAACCTTCGTACGACAACCAGCAGAGAGCGTTGGAAGGCATGAATGTAAGCACGCGCGGTGAGAGACCACGTGCGAAACCTTTGAGTCCTTCGCGAGCGTTGATGATCTTGAATGCCTCAAGCATGCCGGATGCGTTGCGAATCTGTGGATCGGTACTGCTGCCTCGTGTCTGTAGCAATGTCTTTGCTACGTCGAGGGGGTTGGTGACGGCAGCGGCTACGGCACCGGAGAAGGCACCTGCAGAGACGTGGGTCATTGGAGAGTATGTCTCGGATGGGTTGAGAACTTTCTTGGCCCATTCGTACACTGAGAACTGAACGGCGGTGAAGGGGACAGTCATGGTGAGTGTGGTGGGATATGAGACGTAGAATGCCCGTAGACCTTCCTGCTTGTAGACGGTGGAGGCGCATTGCATGACGGTGCGGTGTTGCGAGCCGTGCATCTGCATGCGCTGCTTGATTACATCGAAAGGGTTCATGAAGGCGTCGGCGGCGATGGTAGCTGATGCTCCTGCAAAGGCTGTGCTTGCGAACTGGTGCCCCTCGCGATTCCCGCCCGTTGCCTCCTTGACTGTCTCGTAGGTTCCAAAGTAGACTGCATGCGCAGGACCTGCGCCCATGATAACACTGGCAACACCACGCCAAAGCGTTCGTGCGCCTTCCAAAGTGCTGATTCGGTTGAATGCCTGAACAACACCAGTGTAAGTGGCAGCCGGTGTGGCGGAGAGTACCTGCATTCGGGTACGGATGACATCGACTGGGAACATGACGGCGTGCTCACTGATACCTGCCAACGAGCCCGCAATCATGTTGATATGCAGTGGGACATTGCCTCCGAGACCCTCGTAATCGACCTCCTCCTCTACTGCTGAAACCGCTCGGTCGCTCATGGCTTTATATTGGAAAGCCGCGACAGAGGATGTGTGGTTAGGTGTGAATACTGTTGTGGAGCTACTGTCTAATCTGTCGAGGCTAGCGCTGCTGATATGGTTGTTGTTGTTGCCACCGAGTAATGCTGAGTTGTGGATAAGTTGTGCTTCCTGCGATGCTGCGGATGGGAACCTGCAATTGCTGTGAGGTATCCGCTGCAAGAAAGTTGCTTGACCGGCCTGATTGCGAGAGTGGTTGCTGCTGCTGTGCGATCGCTCTGAACTGCTGGATAGTAGGAACGACGTGGTTGCTAGATTTGCAAACTTCGAGATCCAGAGGATGGAGGCTGCGAGAGCGTTCCGGGAGGGCGATTCGATGAAAAGCTGTCGAGAGGTGTCGAGATAGCGTGGAAGCCACTGATCAGACAAGAAGACCCGATTCGAAAAGAAGAGAGATGGAGGACCTATTCGAGATGACTTGTACCGTCTTGGTCGACCGCTGTGAACGTTGAAGATGCCAAAGCGAGTGGCTGGATGATGTGAGGATGGTGGAGGTGGATATGATTAGCGAGCCGGTGACTGCGGAGGAAGACTGACCGAATCGCAAGAATCAAGGAATGACGATTGTTGTCAGTCTGCTGCCGAAGAAATCCGCAGACAGAGAGAGTCAATCGCCGCCTTGTGCACCAATAAAAATGTGTCAAGGAGGCTCAAGAAGAAAAGAAAAAGAACCCGGCCAAAAAGCGAAGAACAATCGCACGGGCTTTTCTCAGTCTCACTTGCCTGCGCAACCAATCCCATGAAAAGTGAGAAGACAGTTCGGGAAAATTGAGACTTTTATTATTATTATATATCTTTGACTTTTTCCTCTCCTTCTGAAGGAGGCAGGCCCACAGCAAGATGGCAGACAGAAAGGCTTGCGTAATCTGCTGCTTTTCTGTGGATAATCCAGAGCCTCGCATGCTTGACCTTCTGTCCTGCTAGAGCTACTGAGAAGGGTCCAGAGCAAGCAGAGAGCCGCATAGTCGTCCAAATCAGGTCTCATTAGATGGCAGTCTTGATAAGAATGGAATGAATGATGACCGGGGCCAGGCGATGCCGAGATCCACGAGTTACATTACGATCACGATGCGGTACGTCCGGATACGGTTGATTCTCACGCAGCATTGTCACGCACCGAATGCCGGTAGCAGAGGCCGATCCCAGCAACGATTTGAACCAATCAAGCATCTGCTTTGCGACATTCTGCAATTGCTCTACGATGATTCCGAATCCTCGTGCACTCGCTGCTTTTTGGATTTCTAGATCTGTTGCGCGGCAGTAGTCCAACAACCATAACGATTGAGAGTGAAAGCCTAGGATACATGATCATCGCAAACTCGCAGTGAGGTGATCGTCCAGTTCAGGGTCCGAGCTTTTGAATACCTTTTACAGTCAGCCAGGGACGCAGAAGATCTCACCGAGATAGGGTCACACGATCTCGCAGATATCTCACACTCACAACAGGAACCAGCACATACCGGAAAGCACATGGCGAGACTGAGGCGATATCCTGGCACGAGGCCAATCATTTGAATTTTTGGTAGAGGGAATGATGAGCATGGATGCTACGGCAGAACGACTTGTACCGCTCTTCGCGAACAAGGAGCGATCCAAAGATTCTTTTCTGAAGCCGCAAGAAGCTATGTAAATCCCAGCGAGTAGCCCCCCACTACCCGACGGAAGAGATGAAAAGTCTGAAATGTTACAACACCATGATGATGGACGGAACGGATAAAGGCGTGAATGTACTGAAGTATGCTGCGAAGAAACAAGGGAGAGGCAAAGATATCGAAATGAACAGAATGTTGTTGATCGTCGAGACGTTTACTTCTTCTTGTTGGCAACGGTACGGCCACGACGACCGGTGGTCTTGGTGTGCTGACCACGGACACGGAGACCGAGGTAGTGGCGGATACCACGGTGGGCCTTGATCTTCTTCAAGCGCTCAAGGTCATCACGGAGCTTCGAGTCGATGTTGTTGGAAAGGAGCTGGCTGCTCTTGCCGTCAACAATGTCGCGCTGCCTGTTCAAGAACCAGGTGGGGATCTTGAACTCGGCGGGGTTCTGGAGGATGGTGACAATGCGCTCGAGCTCGTCAGAGTTGAGCTCACCAGCACGCTTGCCAAGGTCGATATCGGCCTTCTTGCAGACAATGTTGGCGTATCGACGACCAACACCCTTGATCTGAGTAAGGGCGTACTGGACCTTGATCTTGCCGTCAACGTTGGTGTTGAGCAAACTGTGGCGGGGAAAAGCAATGCAAGAAATATAGTCAGTATGCTGTCCGAAGGCAACCGATTGGTATGGCATGTATGGCAAGAGGATCTGGGAGCTGCTGTGTGATCAGCTTGGATAAAGTGGTGGCACAGTAAGACGACGAGGGGCAGTATTGAGTGAAGATCATAAATGTCGTTGTTGGTTGGAGCGATACACGCTGATCGAACGAGCGATGCGCTGATTGCGGTTGGGATGGTGAGCGGCTTCTATCAAAATAATGCGATTCTGGGTATGATAATGCGTATGATGAGCCTGAGATGCTTGCAACCGTCGTTGAGTGTAGTGCCGTGTCGAAAAAGTCTATGAACAGATTGCGTCGTAGCACTGCCGAGCTGTCAGCAGGTTCGACGACGCTTGTTCATACGACTGCAATATGATGATGAAGTCGTCCAAACCCTTTCCTAACGCCGGATTCCTCGACTCTTAATTTGATGCCATTACGTGCACATCGTCTCTGGTACAGAGCCTAATATATCGACGGCATGCTCAATGCAATCTTTTGAAGCCGCTGATATGTGTCCGATTCTTCTCTGCGTGCTTCCGGCGGACCCGAAGCTTGTCTTTCCGCACCTTCCCTGTCCAAAAGCCAATCCCTTGTCAAGTTTACTACTTCGCTAACCGACTGACCGATATGGATACACTCATGATGTCTAGATCCACGAGTTGCTGTGTGCTGGCTTGCGATGCTGATGCTAGGTCGATGCTGCTGCTGCCGTGTTGTCGTGCCGAGATACTGCATGCTGTGTCCACTTTATCCATGTTTGCTGATCAATTTTAGCTACTCGTGTCCTTTGCTTGTTGGTGGATGCTCACCGCAAGATGAAAGCGAAGTTCTGCGACGGGTCGGGGGGTACGAGAGACATGTTGGGCGATATGTAGTGGAGTCTGATGGTGACGAGATGCGTGAAGGGAAACCGGAAGAAGGCAGCACGCTCTCCAGCCTCCAAGTCGCTCTCGCGCTGCACAGCCTGCCTTGCTGCGATTCACTTCGCTGTCTCCGAGCACTTTCTTTGGTCCCTTCGAGACTGGCTCACCAGCCCTGAACTCACCAATTTTGCACAGAAAAAGCTTCCAGTTAGGTTGGAGCGTGGGAAGTTTTCGGTCTGGCGGGAAAAAAGCGGCTCCGACACAGAAGATTGGGTGGAAACAGAATTCTTTCTAGGTCTAACAGTTTCAATTCTGAAGAAAGGAACTTCCCGATCCTGACCGGCACGGGCCGCCTCACGGGGTGTGTGAGAGTGGAATTGTGGGCTGGCCCGCTGGATGGAGTCGCAATTTGACTAAGACTCGGGCTGAGTCGAGCTTGCAAGACAGGATATAGTGCTGGCGTCCCCGGCCAATCTTTCCACTGTTCCCCATCCATCTTCGTAAGTGCCGCTCTGACCCCTACCCTTTCGCACGTCGCATTCGCCATCATTTGTCATTGGCATATTCTTGCCACTTGGCCAATGCCATTTATGGCCGTGTCGATGATGCCAACGCAGACATTTGCTCACAGTTTACTGACTTTTCCGCGTCTTTGCTTTGCTTCTGTCTTCCGTTTCCCTCGACCCAACGGTATGCTCCTCTCCAATCGTCCCTTCGCATATATTGTTACGCTTCTCTGCAACGTCGCGCATCCTTTAGTGAGGCAGGCGCTTCATCCAGTGAGGTCTTTACCGAGGAGAAGCTTATTGCTGATTGCAAATTACCATATTGCACGTCCTTGCTGTCATCTATGACTGCCTGGCAATTTTTGGCACCCATTCCTTTCTCTACTCTTCTTCCATCCTCCTTGCCGATGGCGCTTGACTCAGGCCGCCGATGCTCGAAGCTTCAGGTCGCTATGTTCGAGTCACTTTGGTTCGGGGACGGCTCGGGTGAAGTAAAAAGACATCATCTCAGATTTGTAACCTACATTCAGCAATGGCATCACATTCTGTCAACGCACTCGTCTGTTTTGTGTGTCTTCTTCGTGTGAGGTTCATTGTTTCTAATTGGATGAGGTTGTGAGTGCCAGTGCTTGAGATGGGCGAGCAGAAGAAGTGGAAAAGCCCGATCTTGTATCATCTCTGAAGATGTTTATTCTTGGCAGCAACGGCCATTCAAACTCGAAATTCGCAGTCTGCGCAGCGAAGAAACTGGCGAAGAGACGCGTCTCCGTGTTGCGGTGCTGACAGGTTGGCAGTTGCACAGGCAAGCTTGCAGAGCATAGAGCGCCGGGAGAGTATATAGTCCAGGCAGGTCCAGCATCCAATCTACTAAACTTCATACTTGTAAGTTTTCTCTGCCCTATCCCCTAGCTCGCCTTTGCTTCGACAACATCTTCACAACGCTTGCTGCAACGATTCCAGCGATATCTTCGCAGGTTGTATCAACGCTCACAGCGTTTGCAGTCAGCACTCGAAGGTCTTGTTCCGTCTTGCAATGGCGTCTGTGTGACGGTCTGCCAAGCAATCCGAAACCAACATCAATGAAACAGCTCACTGACTTTTGACTTGTTCTTCTGCATCGCTTTTCTTCGACATTTGATCGCCGCTCCATAGACCTTGGCATTTCCACTCCCGCTCAAGCATGGGGGCTGGAGAGAGGGGGTCGGTGGGCTTGCACGGCCACCCGATTTGACCTACCGCTGACGCCCTCCCGCCTCTCTCCTCTGGGGGGAGGCTTGCCTGAATCTTGGAACTGGAGAAGCTTCTCTTCGGAGGGTCTTCTCCAACCTATTTTTTGATCTCTGGTGCTTATGTAATGATGACATGTTAATGTCTTTCGAACGCGATATTTATACTTTTCATATTTCACATGGAAATGCAGCGACTCTCGAGCTTTTGTGGGGAAATTCGAGTTTTCCGTTCAACACCATCTAGGACCGCAAACTCGGGTTGCAGAAAAAGCATCTCTCGAACGCCGAGGTCGCCTCGTCAAGCAGCCTTCGCAAGATAAGACGTGCTCCGTTGTCTTTGAAATCTTCCTTGTCAAACCCTAGCTGCCGACGAGGAGATTTGTTTGAGGCCGTCGTGCTCTTTTCAATAGACTAGCTTTTCGATGAACGAGTGAGCGACTCGGATCAACCCGGGGTCATCTTGCCGATTCTTGTTGTTCAAGCGATCATCGACTGGCGTGGGCCCTACCAAGAGGATGAGCTCATGGATGCTCGCACGCTGCAGAATGTAGAGGCGTACGGGGTCTCAAAAGGCTCTCTCACTTGGCAAACAAACCCCGCACCAAGAACTTTCCCATGACGATGAATTTATAAGTTCGCTAGCGGGATTCATACGAACTACCGTCAGGACTACGCTAATGAGGCTGTTGAAAGCTCCAAAATTTGGGCATCGTGCATTTCAAGCGCCGTTCTTTGACCCTGGACCCGAGGCTTCCGGTTTGGATCAGGTCGCAAGGCGAAAGCCATGACGCGTGGATTTGCGCTCAGAGAAGCGTTGAGCAGGGTGGAGGCAGCAAACAGGTTTGCGGGCCATCCGGCTATCGCCCGTCACTTTTTGAACACGGGACTGTCGATCCCAAGCCATGATGATGATGCCCGCCAGCCGCTCTCCTTTTGTGTCGCATGCACGTCGACAGGTCTCCGCAATGACCATTGACCATTTTGGTTGACACGGCTCTTGCTGCTTTTCTCTTCCCTTCCTACTTGTCACTCTATCACCTGCCCACCTTTCGCCCTGCTTCATATCCACCCACTGCTGCTTCTACCGATTTCAAGCACACTACCTACCCAGCTTCGGTCATAGCGGGGCATTGCCAACCCGGCTTAGCTTGCCTAGAGACGGATAGACGAGGTCAGATACCTGACTCAGCTATCAGCAAGAACATCCCTCGGACTCTCATTAGTAATCGTCCCTCGCTGAAGAGAAGCAAATCTCATCGTTCTCCACCCCGGCACCACACCTTCCATCATGCCTTCTAACGCCCCAGAAGGGCACAGCGGCGATGTTCCAGAGAAGTCGTCGACAAATGTTTCGGGAGGCAGCGGCCCGCATCGCCGCAATCAGGCCAACTTGCGTCTCTCACAGATGACCAAAGTCAATCGCGATGGTGACGACTCGGATGAGGACTCCGCAGACGAGTATGCTCGCTGGGCCGCTTCTTCTGGTCCAACAACGCCCAACATCTCCGAAACTGCAGCACAGCTCCGACGCAACCTTAGCGTCACCGGACTACAAGATCTGGCCCACATGCCACGAAGCGAGATTCGTAGATCGGTCGGGAACAAGGTTTGGCGACCACAAGACGAAGAAGCGCGCCTCCCAAGTGACTGGGAGAGGCTCGTGGTTCACGTTGTAAGGGGTGGTCTCAGGGCGGGCAACTTGGCCTTCGCTCTGCGAGCTTCGCTGATGCTTGTGCTGGAGCTGGTCAAGTCGCTTCGTACCAAGAAGTTCAACAGGAACTCATTCGGAGTTGCATTGATGGGACCGCGTAACTTCCGCTTTGCTGCTCTATTTGCCATCTGGGCTTCGCTCTACAAAGCTGTTCACAATAGCTTGCGTCTGTTGACGCCTCCTCCCGCAAAGCGCCCACGCTCTCGAGCTGCCTCTGGTGCCGGAAACGTAACTTTCTCCCTAGAAAAGTCTGGCGACAATGGATCTCCAGATGAGAACGGTATTGGAAGTGGCACGGCTACACCTCGCTCTGGCAGATCAGCACTGGAGGACAAGTCGCCCGAGGACAAGGCGATGGAGAAGTCAAAACAGAAGCGTCGCGCGTTCATGCCCGATCCACGCTCCAAGGTATGGCACGCCTACCTTGCTGGTGCCATCTCTGCACTGGCAGTGCTGGTCGAAACCCACGAAAACCGTGTCTCTCTGGCTCAGCAGCTCTTCGTGCGAGGTCTCGAAGGCTCGTACAACGTAGCTCATGAGCGTAAGCTCATCAACATTCCACACGGTGCCGTCATCAGTTTCGGTCTTGCATGTGGTCAGATCATGTGGGCATGGCTCGAGGCACCTGATTCGCTGCCTAGATCCTACAAGAATTGGATCACGAGAGCGTCGCAAGTCAGTCCGAAAGTTACGGACGTCTACCGTTCCATCAGGCATGATCCCAAGGTCGATCCTGAAGTTGCAGTCAGATGGTTCCCTGACGGCAAGATCCCCGAGCCTGTCTCGCTCAAACCTCTGCGCTACGCGGATGTGGCGCCCAATGGCATCAACCGCCGCGGCATCAAAGGCAAGAACGTTGGCAAGATTGTCGAGTGGATGGATCGAACGCGCAAGGGTGACGCCGGAGAGGTCGTCGACTGTGCTTTGGTCCACCCATGGGAGATAAGTCACTGGCGCAGTCCTATTGACCGATTCATTGAAGTCACACGATGGATTCTGCCCGTCTATCTCACGCTTTACTTTGTTCCTGCCATCTTCCTTCGCCCCGGCAAGTTCCTCAAGGACCCGCTCGGCGCCACCATCCGATCGCTTAAGGGCTCTTTCCGCTCTTCGTCGTTCCTCGGCGTCTTCGTCATCATCTTCCAGACACAGTTCTGTGCGCAGCACTCATTGTACAACTTTATTCAGGCGAGAGAGACGCTTAGGCGCTACGTTCCCAACTGGTTTTCGCGTATGCTCATCAGCTCGTGGCTCAAGTGGTTCACCGGATTCACCACCTCCCTGTCGCTCTTTGTCGACGACTCGAGGCGACGAGCCGAGCTTGCAGCGTACGTGTTGCCCAAGGGGATGGAGAGCGCTTGGTCGGTGCTCAGGCAGAAGGCGTATGTACCCTTTGTTCCCGGTGGCGACCTCTTGCTCACATCGGCGGGTATGTCGCTTGTTATGGGTACATATGCTCAGAACCCAGAGCACCTCTCTGGCCTTGTTCGACGAATCGTCTACCAGGTAAGTCCACTCAGAAAAGGATGTCGAATAGCAAAAACAGGAATGTGCAGTAGAATGACCCTTGTCTTGCGTTCTGCATCTTCATCTCTCCACAGTTCGTTGGTCGCAACTAGGAGACAGACAGGCAATCGCAGGACCTTATCAGCTTTTTGTACACTAACTGACCAATCAGAATCCGAACACTTGCTACCAGATCACAAAGCCGAAGATCGAATGAGGCCGCTTTCGAAGGTGCATCCTTTAGTTTGAAAGTAAGCTCAAAGACGGGTTTTGCTTGGCTTCAATGCCGTTTCGGAGCAAAGGGGCTGCTAATTGTTGGCCAAGTTGCTCTCAAGGGGATCAGCGACACTGCTTCCCTGCCGCCCGAGCAAGCATGAGTAAATATGAGGGCGGTTTGTGAGCGTGAGGGCAAAAAGGAGGTCATGACCAGCAGTACTATGGAGTCACATGGACCTGCAACTGCGAGCAAGGCAAGCGAGCACAAGACCCGGATTAAGCTCTTGCGGTATGACAGCTCGGAAAGGGTCTGAGCCGATTGACCCGGTAGAGATGTGAAAGAAAGGGGAGTGGCAGAGCAGCGATGGAAGAGGGACAAGCGGGCTTGCAGGCACTTGCCGGACGCGGGGTGCATGAACGGAAGAAACCGGTTGCACGCGCTTTCATGGAGTAAACTGCTCCGACGAGGCAACGCCATTAGCGCTCTGTAGACTGCCTCTGACTGCTGTTCCACACCATGCATTGCAGGATCGGAAGCCATTAAAGCCCAACGTCGACAAAATTGGGACCTCCTGTCCAAACTCGAATGTGGGGATGATAAGGATATGGTAGAGGAGGACCCAGCGAAGCGCATCGATATGCCCTTCATGTGCGTCTCCGCCCTAGTGGTCGCTGGATAGCCTTTCCTTTGTTCGTCCTCGCCGTCTGAAGTGTAGGAGAGATCGTACTGTCTTTCCGCGTGGAAAGAGTAAGCTCTCGTCACATTCGAGGCTCGAAAGTGTTTTGTTGCCTAGCTTGGAAGCAGAGTTATGCTGTCTTCATCGTGCCCCCCTGCTACTTGACGGTTTGCTCAACATAAAGTCTCGCCTCAGTTGTCAAAAGACTCTGTTTGAGCCGAATGCCATGCAGGCTTGGCATCTGTAGCCTTCTTACTATTGTATCGTGAACCCTCCGCTATAGACCCTTGATTGTCGATCTCGCAGACTGCTCTTTCTTCTGTTGCAATGCTCTTACTTGTTGCGCGGTTCTCGGACGACTAGCCCTGGCAACCAACCAACTTTCTTCTGGCCAAGCCCTTGCAGTTGCTGCTTCTTGACCAATTGATCGGACCGACCGACAACATCAGTGATGAGCGGAGACAAACGTCCGGATCAGCCGAAGCAGCCAATCTTGTTTGTGCTCTTGTTTCCTTCTCGCCGTTTGGAGAGTCTTCCCACTGAGATTGCCGATCTGTCGCCGAGAAGAAATAGAAGCAAGTCTGGGGGATTTAGAGCTCGTGAAGCTTCACTATTTGTAACAGGTGAAATTCGCCGAGATGTTGCTCATGCAAAAAGTCTTCTCTGGATCGATAAACGATGACTGCGACCTTCCAAGCAAAGCATCAATGATGATGCAGTGGCGCAGATGCCGGTGATGAAATTGCTTTCGGGAAAACAAAATTGATATCTCCGCACTTCTTCTTCTTCTTCTTCTTTGATGTCTTTGGGTTGAAGATACAGAAAGGATATCGGATCTGTTGCGATGTCACTTTTTTTTACTCTTGTTTCACCGGCCACCGCGATAAGAGGATTGCATGGCGAGTCAACTCGAAGGCGGCAACCTTTTTCTTCTGCGTTAGAGAAGGCTTTGATGCGAGATCAGGTAGCGTCGGCTCAGCCGGTCAGTCCTTTTGAGCATGTCTTTCAGATATCGGCTCAGGGCCGATTTTCAGAAAAGACGTGGAGGCCTGCAGCCGTTTTTTTCTTCTTTTCTTTTCTTTTCTAGGCCTCCTGACCGGTCGTAGCAGGCTGCGGAATTACCGCGTTTTCGATCTGCCATGTCCGTGCGTAGACAAACACCCACACACATAGGCAAGGCACTCTGTCTGCAACATCATGGCATCGAGGTCTTATCTGCACCGGAAGTCTCTTCTTAGCCTGCCTTAAATCCGTGCACCGTCCCGCTCATCTGCCGTCATGGGCTGGCAACAGTCACAATGCCAATTCTGGAAGTGAGTCGCATGCTTTGCTGTGGATCTCTGTGTGCTTTTTCAGCAGGAAAAGACAAAAAGAAAAAAAAAAAAAAAGAAAAAAAAAAAAAAAAAAAAAAAAAAAAAAAAAAAAAAAAAAAAAGTGTCGTGCCCTGTCTAGCTTGATCTGTGCTCGGCTCCACCGATACCAGCATCCAAGTCACATCCTCAGTCTGCACCATCCGATCTGCCTATTAGATGCTCTCGTGTGCTCGTCCTCTTTTCACCACCTACTTGACGTCGCCTCGTTATCTTTCCCCTCTTCGTCATCATCCTGAGGTCTATCTCTATCTCTCTCCTCGTCCTTCTTTCTCTCTCGCGTCACCTGTTTCTGTCCATCACGCTCTCTTCATCTCTTCTCGTCACCCTTCCACCCCTTCTCCTTGTCCCTATACTGACGAGATAAAGGATCACAAGAATCATCTAGGATACGCCTGTTCTCACTCAAGGCGAACTCCTTTCTGCTGCGCATAGATTCGTAGCGAGCTGTTCTGAACAGCTTTTTGTAGACTTTCACCCTCTCTCAAGTTACCTCGTATAGCACCACCATCCAAGATGCCCACCGAGCCCGAGACAGCACAGGCCCCAGCAGGCGCTACAAGGAGCACCTTTGTCGACACCTTCGAGAGCCAGCCTGGCACTCCTGGCGAGAGGACTGGCCACCTCTTCCCTACCATCCAGCGCATCCGTAACAGCATGTCTGGAGAGGCTACCGGTCCTTTGAAGAAGCTCATGGTCGCCAACCGTGGTGAAATTGCCATCCGTATATTCCGAACAGCCCACGAGCTTGCTATGACCACCGTCGCCCTCTACTCGTTCGAGGACAGAATGAGCGCCCATCGATACAAGGCCGATGAGGCTTATCAAGTCGGTGCTGGTCTCAAGCCCGTTTCCGCCTACTTGGCCGTTGATGACATCATCCGAGTCGCTCTCGAGCACAAGGTCGACATGATTCACCCCGGTTACGGTTTCCTCTCCGAGAACCCCAACTTTGCTAAGAAGGTCGAGGAGGCTGGTATCGCCTTCATCGGCCCTCGTCCAGAGACCATTGACGGTCTTGGTGACAAGACCAAGGCTCGAGACCTCGCCCGCAAGGCCAATGTTCCCATCGTACCCGGTACCCCTGGTCCCATTGCCAGCTTCGAGGAGGCCAAGCCCTTCGTTGAGGAGGTTGGCTTCCCCATTATCATCAAGGCCGCCATGGGTGGTGGTGGACGAGGTATGCGTGTCGTCCGCAAGATGGAGGACTTCAAGGAGTCGTTCGAGCGTGCCGTCTCCGAGGCCAACTCCGCCTTCGGCGACCCCACCGTGTTCATTGAGCGCTTCCTCGACAGACCCCGCCACATCGAAGTCCAACTCCTTGCTGATGGCGAGGGCAACGTTGTTCATCTCTTCGAGCGTGACTGTTCCGTTCAGCGTCGTCATCAGAAGGTCGTCGAAGTAGCTCCCGCACCCAACCTCCGCGACGATGTCCGCCAGGCTATTCTCAATGACGCCGTCCGTCTCGCCAAGACTGCCAACTACCGAAACGCTGGTACTGCCGAGTTTCTCGTCGACCAGCAGAACCGCTACTACTTTATCGAGATCAACCCCCGTCTACAGGTCGAGCACACTATCACCGAAGAGATCACCGGTATCGACATTGTCGGTGCTCAGATCCAGATCGCTGCTGGTGCCACTTTGGCTGATCTCGGTCTCACTCAAGAGACCATCCAGAAGCGTGGTTCCGCCATTCAGTGCCGTATCACCACTGAGGACCCTGCCGCCAACTTCCAGCCCGACACTGGTAGGATCGAGGTCTACCGTTCCGCCGGTGGTAACGGTGTCCGTCTCGATGCCGGTTCCGGTTTCGCTGGTGCCCAGATCACTCCTCACTACGACTCGTTGCTTGTCAAGGTCTCGTGCCGTGGTGCCACCTACGAGGTCGCTCGTAGGAAGATGCTCCGATCCTTGGTCGAGTTCCGTATCCGTGGTGTCAAGACCAACATCCCCTTTTTGTTCCGTTTGTTGACCCACGAAGCCTTCGCTACGGCCAACACCTGGACTACCATGATCGACGACACTCCCGAGCTCTTCAACCTGGTCCAGACCAAGAACCGAGCCCAGAAGCTCCTTGCCTACCTCGGAGATGTCGCTGTTAACGGCAGTTCCATCGCTGGTCAGGTTGGCGAGCCCGGTCTCAAGGACGAGATCCAGATCCCCACCTTCAGCGACCCCAAAGACCCTTCCAAAACGCTCGACACCACCAAGCCTTGCACCGAGGGTTGGAGGAACATCATTGTCAACGAGGGTCCCGAGGCTTTCGCCAAGGCGGTCCGTGCTTACAAGGGTACGCTCATCATGGACACCACCTGGCGAGACGCCCACCAGAGTCTGTTCGCAACACGTTTGCGAACCATCGACATGGTCAACATTGCCAAGGAGACTTCCTACGTGCTCAAGAACGCCTTCTCGCTCGAGTGCTGGGGTGGTGCCACTTTCGATGTTGCCATGCGCTTCCTCTACGAAGACCCTTGGGAGCGTCTGCGAAAGATCCGAAAGCTTGTGCCCAACATTCCTCTTCAGGCTCTTGTTCGTGGCGCCAACGCCGTCGGCTACACTGCTTACCCCGATAACGCCATCTACGAGTTCAGCAAGAAGGCCGTCGAGTGCGGTCTTGACATCTTCCGTGTCTTTGACTCGCTCAACTCGCTCGACTCGCTCAAGCTCGGTATCGATGCTGCCAAGAAGGCTGGCGGTGTTGCGGAAGGTACCATCTGCTACACTGGTGACGTTGCTAACCCGAGCAAGCACCCCAAGTACACCCTCGAGTACTACCTCAACCTTACTGACGAGCTCGTCAAGACCGGTGTCCACATCCTCGGTATTAAGGATATGGCTGGTCTCCTCAAGCCCACCGCCGCCAAGATGCTTGTCGGTGCCATCAGGCAGAGGTACCCAGACCTGCCTATCCACGTCCACTCGCACGACACCGCTGGTATCGCTCTCTCGAGTATGCTTGCCTGCGCTGAGGCTGGTGCCGACGTTGTCGATGTTGCCATTGACAGCATGAGTGGTCTCACCTCGCAACCCTCGATGGGTGCCCTTGTCAGCGCTCTTGAGCAGACCGGTCTTGGTGCCGGTATCCGCCACGAGGACATTCAGAACCTCAACTTGTACTGGAGCCAGGTCCGCCAGCTCTACCAGTGCTTCGAGGCCAATGTCAAGGCTTCGGATTCGTCGGTCTTTGATCACGAGATGCCCGGTGGGCAGTACACTAACCTCATGTTCCAGTCCCAGCAGCTTGGTCTCGGCACTCAATGGAAGGAGATCAAGACGGCTTACATCCAGGCCAACAAGCTCTGCGGTGACATCGTCAAGGTCACACCCTCGTCCAAGGTCGTTGGTGACTTTGCTCAGTTTATGGTCGCCAACAAGCTCTCTGCCCAGAATGTTATCGATCGTGCTGACAAGCTCGACTTCCCCAGCTCCGTCATCGAGTACTTCCAGGGTTACCTCGGTACTCCCCCGGGCGGCTTCCCTGAGGAGCTCCGCAGCAAGATCATCCGTGACAAGAAGCGCATCGACGGTCGCCCTGGTGCCAGCATGGAGCCCATCGACTTTTCTCAGGTCAAGAAGGACCTTACCGCCAAGTACGGCCGCTCGATGAGCGCTACCGACGCCATCAGCTACGTCATGTACCCCAAGGTGTTCGAGGAGTTCCAGGCCTTCCTCGACCAGTACGGAGACCTCAGCAACTTGCCAACTCGCTACTTCCTTGGCAAGGCTCACCCAGGAGAGGAGCTCCACGCCTACATCGACCGCGGAAAGCTTCTCATTGTCAAGCTTCTCGCCGTCGGTGCTCTCAACACCAACAACGGTACCCGAGAGGTCTTCTTCGAGCTCAACGCCGAGCCTCGTGCCCTCACCATCGAGGACCGATCTGCTGCTGTTGAGACTGTCACACGTGAGAAGGCTTCGTCGGACCCTGGCAGCGTCGGCTCGCCATTGGCCGGTGTCGTTGTCGAGATCCGAGCCAAGGAGGGTCACTCGGTCAAGGCTGGTGACCCGCTCTTCATCATGAGCGCCATGAAGATGGAGACAGTTGTTTCGGCGCCCGTTGGTGGACACGTCAAGCGTGTTCTTGTTGAGCAGAACGACTCGGTCTCCCAGGGTGACTTGCTCTGTGAGATTGAGCACTAAGCGACACTGTCCACGCAAACAAGAAAAGATAAACACATACCAAAAAAAAAGGTTGCAGGAAGATAATCCAGATGTCGGTAATGCTATCATGATTCCCGATCCCAGTCATTCAGTCTGTCAGAACCGCAAGCATGTGCATGAACTGTGCCGTCTGAGGTTGAAGGCGCGAAAGAGGCGACCTGCAGCGAGTTAGTTACTGTAGCAGTGGGCGTGCCAAGCAAGTGGCTGAGCGAAAGGAGACTGGACTGCCGTGACAGGCAGCGTGGGTCACATCAACTGACTCGAGCGGAGCAGGAGCGATGAGCGAGTCGCGCTATCCCAAAAATGCAAAGAAAGGTTGGGAAGGCCCTTTTGCGGAGATCTTCCCAGGGTCTCTCCGCATCTTTGCTGTCAACGTAGATGCGCGCGCGGTGCTCGAAGTTTTCTGCTTGAAAGAGACCGGTCAATTCACCTTTTCTAGTAGGCCGCTTGATCCTGCAGCTTGGAGGCAACGTGACTCGCTGCCTGAGCTCCAGACATCGTCTCCGGAATGACAAGCAGACCGCCCTGGACTCGAGCAGTGCGGTTGTGTGCAGGCCGCTTCGACCCTGAGCTCGGCTCATACAGAATAGCAGACTTCCGTTGGCTGATGAACAAGCAACAGCCGGACTGTCATTACTTCAGATCAGACAGGTGAGCTGGTTGTGGGCCACAAACGTCATCCACAAGAGAGCTCTGTGATAGACGGGGCTGATGACAGAGGCTGCTCGTCATAGCAAAGATTAGGTCACAGATACTGGCCTTGACTAGAGAGCGTAGTGTCAAGTGTGACGTGACTGCCTGATTGGCAATCAGCGACAGTCAAGTTGGATTGTATGAGCGTGGGAATACGAATACAGATCTGCGATAAGCCGGCACAGCACACACGCATTTCTGGAGAAAATTATGCTTTCTGAGTCAGCAGATGGAATTTCTGATAGATCGACTCCATAGCCAAAGATAACGAACTTTTTTTTGGGATCAATTTTCTTGAGCTGTCAGAGACCGCCGGTAGATGTGCGAGAAGTAAGCGAGCGTCGCTGCTGAGCATCCTGCTGTGGTGCTGGTGCTGCAAAAGCTTCGGTGTCTGGCAAAACAGGCCATTCCTGCCTCGTGGGTTATCGCACCACATTGACCAAGCGCTCTTCGCACATCGCAGTGTCAGAACAATAAACGGAATCACCGAAGCATCAGTGAGATAGATTCAGCAGTGACTTTGATTGTCCATGCGTGCGCGCTGCAGTGTGCTCCTACAAGGTTATTCGCTACGCGTTGCCCTCCGCCCTTGCTCTTCATATATAGCCTGCCATCCGGGCAAGCTCACCCTTTCCCTTCCCTCGCATCACACATTGCAATCTTTACTCCAACGTCTTTCACTTCCTCGTACACCCATCCACACCCAACTGAGCCAACATGAACACCTTCTTCGTCCGCAGAGCTTTCTCCTCCCGATCAGCTATCCGAGCTCCACCTTCTCCTAGCTCCTCCACTCTCCCTCTTGTCTCTGCTGCCTCTGCTGCCTCTACTTTCAGCGCCACTCGTCCTGGTCGTGTTGCCATGCTTCCTAAGTCTTCAGAGTCTACCTCTGTACAAAGCACAGGCTCTGCGAACGTCAGCACTGCAGCTACTAGCAATGCTGACATCTTCCCAGAGGTCGGGTCCATCTCTGTTCCTGGTGAACAGCCTAACGTTCTCCGTCTCGGCGAGAGTCAGTAATTTCACCGGCTTGTACTAGCCCGATACCTCAAGCCGCTTCTCTAGCGCTTAGTCTTCAATGGACAATGCTTCCCCTTAACCGACCAGTCCGGCGCATCTCACGTCAAGCATGCTCCCACCGTTTCACGGCGTTTCGATGCTCCCAGTGTCTCTTGCAATATCGTCACCGTTCTGTTTTTCATGTCAATGCAATGTTCTCTTTCTCTAGCAATTATGTGTGTGTTTACATCTGTTTCGGATGCGTATGGCCTTGAGTATGTGCCTGGTGCCAGATTCAGACGCCTCTCAACTACTTGTCAGAGACACGTTTGATATGATCGCGGCCCTCCTTCGCATCTAGCCCTGACGTCCAAGGCTTAGTGCCGCATGCTGGACTGGTGGCCCAATGGGGATGCGCGAAGTGTCAGCAGTTTACCTGGATACTGAGTCTTCGAAGTGTGACATCCCGCTTTCGAGTTCGGAGCATGGATTCGAGGAAGTTTGCCTGTTGCACCAGCAAAGAGAAGGCCGGAAACATCCGGCCCAGTCGTCCCGAAGGCTCGTGTTGAGGTCGTTCTGCTCTGCAGACTTGTGTGCCTTTCCGCGTCATGTGAGCATGTCACGCATTAAGCGCTCAACTTCCGGCCAGTACGGCCTTAGTTCGAGTTCCATAGCAACGAGTGTGAGAAATCGCTTGCACACGACGACCTTCACGCTGGGCGAAGTTGGTTCCGCTTTTTTGACGGAGTGGTGGACGCAATTAGCTGGTTTTGTCACCTCAACCAAACCGGCTCACATCGGTGTAGGATGTTTTGTCCTTCCTGACATCAAGCAGAAGTGGGGTACATGAATGTCCTGAGGCCACTTGAATTGCGGAGCTGTTGAGTTCTGTGTTGCTCCGTCGCGGAGCGGAAGCAAAAAGCAACTCACAAGTACCATGGAAGCCGCGTCCCAGTCTTTGAAGCCTTCACAGTCCACAATTGCAAGAGTTCTGTCTGATTGAGTCTAAGACCTCTGTGAAGTGACTTGATGGCAACCACGAAGCGATGCCGCAACAGCTTCACGGACGTCAACAGCCCATTGATCCACATCCGGCTCATCTTGCCAAATGCTTGCTGACTGCCGGATGTACGAAGATGCGCAGGACCCCTCAACAACGTCAGTGCTCTCAGCAGCTTGGTTTTCCGTCCGCTTCGATGACCACGTGCCTCAACCCGAACCTCCGCAGGCACCGTTGGCTACTTAAGATCTTTCCGACAAATAGGAGACAATCGTCACTCTTACGCTCTCAAGGTCGCCTCTTGACTTACGCGTCACATGAGAAGCACATGAAAAGGACGCCATTGCTGGTTGCTATTGTACATTGCGTGCCATTGACTAAACGAGAGGATGAAGCGCATGTGGGGTAAACAAATTAGATGAAGCAGCGGAACGAAAGCGTCGCCAGAAGCGACAGCTTTCAATTTGACTCGATGTTCTCGTTGATGGCAGAGTTGGTGAGCGTTGTAGCTCTCGATTCGAGTTTCGCTCGACGACGCTTCTCGCGCTCTTCGACGAGCTGCAGCTCTTGAGCGAAACTACTGCGCTTGCGAATAGTTGGACCAAATTTGTAGAAAACGAGCGGAATGATCGACAGTGGCACGCCAATAAAAGCAAGGATCGACGTGGCCCACTGGTAGTCGACATTGTGGTACATGATCTCTGTGATCAAAGTGAAACCACCTGATAGAAATTCGCGCAAGAAGGACTGAGCAGCGATAGCAGATGCGGCATAGATCGAGTAGGAGTTAACGGTATAGTCTGACACGATCAGGAAGAGTACGTGTGATGAGACACCGAAGAGCGCACCGGAAATGACAGGAACTATCCACGGGACTGGTGGAAAGGATGTCCATGCAAAGAAGAAGAGACTGATGGGGAACAAGAAGCCGCCAGGAATCCCCCAGAGGAGTCTGTCTTCGGGCGTAGGGATGCCGCTTGGCCTCTTGGTACCAGCATGAGCATACCACTTCAGCTGCAACGCAAACAGGGCGTAGGCGATGATGAATCCAAGCAGGACTCCGATGAAGGTGAGACCTTGCTGGCCCGTAGTGAAACCGTACTGCGTGAAGATCAAAGGATAGGATTCCAAGAATATGTAAATAACGGCGTAGTTGAGGCCGTCAAAGAGACTGAAGAAGAATACGATGGGTTCGGTGAACAGCATGAAGAGCGGACGACCTACTGTCTCCTTGAAGAGGTCCTTGACCGTGTGCTGTGATTTGGCTTTGTCGTGGCTCGCGTAAAAACGTGGATCGTTCTGTGCCTTGCGCAGCTTCTTCGCCCTCCGAGACAGAATGACGCCGGCTCGAGTTTCAGGCACAGTGAGGACAAAGATGGCAAGCAGGAAAGCAAGGACGATGCCGGATACACCAAATGTCCATCGCCAGCCGATGTCCTGAACAATGAAAGCTCCGATGATTGGACCAACGGTGGCACCACTTTCGGCAGCGAGGGCAAATGTGTTGACGCCCCAACCTTGATTGTCTGCGTCCCAAAGGTCGGACACAGTGCCAATCGAGTTGAAGGCAACTGCACCAAAGCAGCCACCGAGGAAGCGCAGCACGGCAAGTGTGGCCAAGTTGTCAGCCAGCGCGCACCCGATCTGGAACAGAGCAAGAATGACGAGGCCAACGATCATGACCGGAACTCTGCCGTAATCCTCCGAGAGAGGTGCGCAAAGGATAGGTGCAATAGCAAAGCCGAATAGAAAGAGGGCAGTGGGTATTCTCGAAGCTACAGCTCCGATGCCAAATTCTTCAGCCACGTCGTGTGCACTGAAGGAATAGATGGAGGAGATGACGTTGACCCAGAACTCGAGTAGCATTGTTACCACGAGGATCTGGATCTTCCTCCACGCTGGGAATACCCTGGGGTCCTTGGGATCATTGTGTTCGAAGTTGACAAGGAAAGGATCGTCGTCTGGGTCTTCTTCGGTTGGCTGGATGGAGCACTCGCTTGGGCTTTGGATAGTGGCATCCTGATGCTCGACATCCCGGTCGGCATGCACCGGGGCGAGCTGGTCACTGACTTGTGACATTTGTGTGCGATACGGTGAGGACGGCGGCAAAGGTTGGTGTACGTCAAGAAGAAGTAGGTTCTAGATTGGATACTATGGCACAGGGCGCTCTCGAGTAGATAGACGGTCAGGCGATAGGCCAGTGGCAGTTAGCGCTGTGGCATTCAGCATCGAGGCCAGGCCAGTGGAAGTGGACGTGTTTATCAAAAGGTGAAGATGGAAAGCTGTTCCTTCTCGAATAGAAGCTGGCTAGTGTGGCGAGGAGTAGAGGTAAGACTGGGCCCAAGCTGTCATTTCATGTTCTTCGAGGGCTCACGGCATTTTTGCAAAGATTTGTCATAAGGGGGTATCAATTTTCGAGTGTTTTTACAGTCGTGTCCAAAATTGCCCGGTGTCACCGACCTCCATACGCGTTCCTTTTCATCCGATAGGATGCATAGCTGAGTTTCGTGTCTTGATCACTGTTTACGCATTCACTTGTTGATTAGAGCTTTTTCAGGCGAGAGACCTCTCATTTTGATCAAAGAAGGCTCAGTTGTGCATGCATGTACTTAGCTCATAACCATCATCTCCACAAGCAAGCCCAACCCTAATGCCACTCCATTTTCATTAGCAGCATCTTAACCACTCCACCTTCATTAAGCAGCATTCTTTCAGTACTCTGTGAATAGCATCGCCGACGCCTCCCGTAAGACCTTTGACACCGGCATCTAATTAATTTGATATGGTGTTCTCAGGTCCTTTTCATGATGATGACCAGTACTCTTTGTTCTCTTTGACAACACCCACTTTGTGTGGTATGGTTGCAAAGCTTGGATAGCCTGCTATCAGAATATGTGAGAAAAAAAGGGTGGTCCCACCAAAGAATATGCTGGAATTTAGGTTGGCACTCTTTGTAGCCCCTCCTCCTTCTTAATTAATTCTGTACCTTGTGTAACTTATTGCTTTGCACAGAATTGAGCTCAAAGAGCTGCTCCAAGCAGGTTTCTCAACAAGGGAGATAGCAACTAAACTGTCTATCAACAAATCCAGCATTGCTGAACTGGCAAAATGGGTACCAGAGAGTGAATATGTGAAAAGGACCCCTGGGAGGCCCCTCCTCCTCTCCTCATGCCAACAGGCATTACTCACCAGAGGAATTAGCAAGAATTCTTATACTTCAGCTACTGAAGCTTCAGCCTACTGGCTACAACACTATCAACTTCATTTGTCCAGACAAACCATTACATGTGTGCTGAAGCAAGCTGGACTTAAGTTTAGGGCAAAAAGAAGAAAACCCTTGCTCATAGATAAACATAGGAAGGCAAGGAGGGTATTTGCCAAGGAGTATAGACATTGGACTGTTGAACAATGGAAGAATGTCATCTGGAGTGATGAATGCAAGGTTCAACACATTGGAAAGGGCTTGGAAAAGCGATACTGGTTGTCATGGGGCCAGATGTGCAGGAGGCGGGAAGAAGTGAAGTCATATGAAGGAGTGCAGAAATCACAGGATTGGGCTAAGCAAGAGCTTAAAGAAGAGTTCACTGAGATCAGTAGTAGAAGCAACTCTAGGGCATAACTCATTGGGATCAGTAGGAACAACATTGCTACTACAGGATTCAGTGGGAATCACGATATCATGCTGAGTATGACAGAACTCACAGGAATTGGTCAGAGAGGCACCCCATTGCTGATATGGCAAGAGGAGGTCACCGAACAAGGAGGGGACACCATCAGATGAGGCAGGGGCACCACGGTGATGAAGCTGGCAAAAGAAGGTGGGTGCCAAAGACAAAGAAAGGATGGCAGGGTGCAAGTTGCCACCCAGATGAGGTGGGAATGACCCCTGATGGAGATGAAGCAGCCAGAGGCCACCCATCCAGAGGAGACAAGGAGGTGGTGCCAACAAGTGGCATCACAAGGTGGATGGGGAGCATAGGAGGGATGAGGAGGGTGAGCAGTGTCACAGGTGACATTGCAAGAAAGGTATATAACCATGTTCTCTGTCCTAGCAAGAGAGTGGATTGCCATCCACTCTACACCATACACTACTAGTTATAACTTTACACATAAGTATACATTAGTATTCAGTCAGCATGTTGCAATCTCAATAAGATTGCATCCATCATAGTGTGTGTGTTGTATCACTGCTCACTGACATCTGAAGGCAGTTCATAGAAACCTGCAGTCTGGATAATGATAGAACTGAAGGCAGTCATCCACTGCAGTCCAGGGATCACCTCAAGCATTCAGTCAACACACTGGACACTCTTGTTGGTGCTACCAGTCCTCTCACTCACACCAGACCTTTGGTGTTGGGCAATACATTCAAGTTATTGATCATGCCAAGCTACCTCTGGATGGAGTGTCCACAGCAGTTAGTCGAAACCTGCAATAGCAAAGCCATTACTGCATCTTTGAGCAAGAAAAGTGATAGTGATGTCTCTACTACATATCTTGCCAAGAATTGTAATACCACAAGTGTTGTTGCATATCTTGACAGAATTCATAATAGACACGGGTCTATTACAGATTTCAGGTTTTGGGTGCACGACTGCTGACACTGGTCCAGGGATGTCAACTATGATATATATATACCTACACTGCAGGGGGGTGGCCACAGCATCATGATTTGGGGGTGTATGACCTGGGCAGGCCTAGGTCTAATGGTCTATATAGATGACAAACTAAATTCAGAGCATTACATTGAGTTGCTGGAGGAAGCAGTGCCTGGTAGCATCTTGAAGTGGAAGAATATACAGAGAATTCCACCAAGGGATAAATTGATCTTTCAGCAAGACAATGCCCACCCTCACACTGCCAAAGTTGCCAAGGAGTACCTGGAGGAGGTCAAACTCAATGTATTGCCCTGGCCTGCAATGTCTCCAGACCTGAATCCTATAGAACATGTGTGGCAGCAGCAGAAAAAGTGGCTATATCAGCAAAGATATACTATCAACAATAAAGCTCAACTCATTGCAGCTATCAACAGGTTTTGGGCAACTTTTCCCAAGGAATCAGTCCAGGCACTCATAAAGTCAATGCCCAGGAGGTTACAGGCTGTAAGGGTTGCAAAAGGGGGTCATACAAAATACTAAAGTATAGTATATAGTAATTTAGGAGGAGCTTTACACTCAAAAAAAGTTGTGGCACTTTCACTGTGCACAAATGTGGTCCAGTCACAACAAAACTTATATGTACTTGTAGCTCTCAATCTCAGCTTTCCAACAATATGTCACAAGCTACACTTCATTGAGGATATCAGCTCTTGAGAAGCAAAGTTGATGTGTGGTGATGAGCATTTAATTATCCTAAAAGATGCTGGGCAATTTTGGACATGACTGTAGAAACACATGTTTCTCGATTTTGATGACTTTTTCCTGTTTTTGAATACCCCTTTTAGGAGCATCCAAAAAACACATGTTTCTAAAAACACATCTGCAGCAAAGGTGGCAATTAATTTGATATAACATGTATGTTATTAATACTGAAGCTTGTCAGTATCATGTTAGCACGTGTTTCACACTGTTACAGATGGTCATAGTCAATCAAGTCTTTTGTGGAAGGATTTCACTAAGAATGACAATGAACAGGTGCTAGGGATGTGAAGGTGTTGACAATTGGCAACATTGCCTGGACAACCAGCCCTGTGCCAACATTGCATTGTAGTCCTTGGCCATCCTCTTGTGGTGCCTGGAGCATGTGGTTGTGTCCTCCTGCTGTTGGCCAGTGGAAGTGAACAGTGCCTGAAACATTTGCTCTTGAAGATCATGTGCCAATGAACTGTGATGCCTTGTCAAGGCAGGCTGCATCATGCTTTGTGTACTTACCATGCTATCCTCCTCATACTGAACTTGATTTGCCTGCCATTGACTCTGCATGTCCCCACTCTGGCTCAGGTTGGTGCTGAGAGTCTCAACAACATCATGGACTATGTCTTGGGCCTGAATGCTCAAGAAGCAGGAGGGTCACTGGTTCATATGGAAGGAGCACAGGTATCGGAGATCTAGTCGATACCAGTAGAGAGCATGGTCGTAGTGCAGTCTCCATGGAGACCATGGACTCCTATGGACTCCCTTGCAAAGGAGGATCGAGCCCATATGCAAGGAGGGCCAGGCACAGCCACGAAGAGGACCAAGCTCAAGGAGCATGCAGATGGTTACCACTCAGGGGCTCGAGAGAGCAGTGTCGACAGGTCTTGAGGAGGAGGAGCAGTGTCGAAGGAGTCGACACAGCTCAAGAGGCACAGGGGTGCCAAGCAAGCAGGAGAGGCCCCCTGACAAACAGTACTCGATGAAGAAGGTACTCTCTGGAGAGAGAGCAGGAGCAGCATCGCTGGCGATGCTGTGAAGAGGTATATAACCATGCTCTCTCATCATCAAAGGTCAAGTGGATCCTCATCCACTCTACACACATCATAACTAGTTATCACTTCAGCATAAGTATATATTAGTTTTAGTCAGCATAGCAGCAATCTATCAAGGTTGCTCCTCATTGTAGTGCATGTGTTGTATCACCACTACCTGACATCCGAAGGCGACCCATAGCAGGTCAGCAGTCCAGATATAGATAGAACCGAAGGCAGTAGTCCACTGCAGTCCAGGGATCACCTCAAGCATCCGTCAACACACTGGACACTTGTGTTGACACCACCAACCTTATCACCAACACCATCAACCTCATCATCATCAACACTCACACCAGACCTTGGTGTCATCATAACCTACATATTGATATTGATCATGCTGAGCTACCCCTGAATGGAGTGTCCACAGAGGTCAGCCAAAACCTATGATAGTATATACAATGAATGCCACCCACTGTCATCACGCAACTTGATAGTTGCCAAGCAACTAGCTCATCAAGACCAATACCGAGACAATAGCTGTTGCACAGTTTGATAGTCACTGAGTATCTCGACAGACCGACCTGGGTTTCAGGCGCGAGACCCCTGGCACCAGGTATGGGCCAGCATTGCATACAACCTTAAAACCCCATTGAATGTGCTCCCATTGGCTTCAAGAAAGAAGTGGCTGGGGTTGGCTAATCAATGGGATCCTGCTGAGAACCTCACAGCTGTCAGATATTGTGATTGGATCATTGACAGGCCGCTCCAGGACTCCATAACTGCTGTTAGTGCATACCCTGACAGCCTGTCAGTTGTCGAAGATGGCAGCAGCTGTCATCAGGCTGCTATCTGCAAGCAACAGCAGGCCAAATACCACATTAAGATGCAGGAACACCCACCAGCTTTGCAAAAACTTGCTTGGTAAGTGTTTGCCAGTTCTGAAAACCTGGGATGAGCTTGCCAGAGCTGCAGAGGAAGTGTGGAACACCCAGATCATGCTTGAACATATCAAACCTGTGATTGAGTTGATGGAGCATCACATGGAGCAAGTGCTTACTAAGCATGGAGGTCCACTCAAGTATTAGTCAGCTCTGAGACTCACTGCAATCAAAAGCCCTTCTTCCGAGCTTGCTCACTGTGTGTTTTGCTCAGTCTGACACTTATGAGAGATCACTCCTCCAAGCAGATGGAAGGTATGCTATCGGACAGTTGATTTATTGTCTATTGGACCCTGTCCCCAAACTTTGGACAGGGACTGTACATAAAGACGTGAGTAGAGCCATCGAATCGGGAGATTCGTCCAAGCGATTCGCAAGATCACATGTTTGAGAGATACACGACCCTTCACGAGACTCCTTCTCATTACTTCCTGAGTCCCTGTACCCTCTCTTGTTAAGTTCTGCTTAATGCAGCAGACCCTGGTGTCGAAATAGAGAAAGAAAAAAAAGGGAAGAAACTGCAACACCTAGGATTCCCACATGGTCCAGTTGAAGATGCATCAGCATCCCAACGGGATTCACAGGGTTCACAGAGCATCACGGGGTCTGTGGATCATAAGTGAGCCATCAATGAAGCAAAGACGCATATAGGTGGCAATGCATGTGGGATGCATAAGCATTGTCATAATAACACACAGGAGGCAACAACTCAGGAGTGATATGAAGAGTGACTCATCACAGATTGGCACATGTTGAAGGTGATCACCAAGTATATATATGCCTATGTATATAGCATTCCATTGATAAGATGATAAGCATTATTCTCTAGAATACATGCCTGTGGATACGAGCTTGTTAGTAGCTCAGGACAGCATACAGCCTTAATAATCTTCAATTGATTAAGAGTCTGAAGACCTACTGACCAAGCTGCACCCCTGCTAACAGCTATAGTAGAGGAAACCGAAACTCAAGCTGGCAAGGCCAAAGGAGGTAGAAAGGGGAAGGCTGCCCAAATGCGAGTCATTGATAACAAGGCCACCAATGAGACAGAGACTGATGTAATCGACAATGACACCAATGAAGAAACCAATTCTGACTCTGACCTAGACAATGGTGGCAAACAGTACAACTTCTGTATGTTGGCAAAACTCCTTGAGCCAGTGCCCAAGCTCACATTGCACAACTATTACAGTTGGAGTGCTCACATCAAGTCTTTCCTCCAATGCATTCCTCATGCAATGAAACACCTTGAAGGAGTGTACAACAAGAAACACCCCAAATGGAACTGTACCTTTGACAATGCCTTAACAAATGCACTGTGAGGTACCATCAACACTACCAGGGAATATAACATCAATTACTTGATCCTAGACATTATCAGAGAGCATCACACATTCCATCAGGTCTGGAAGAAGATTGAGAATGGCCTGACCAACAAAGCTACCACCACCTCTTGCCAAATTGCACTCATTGCTCAGTTAGGTGAGCTTAGAATGTTCAACTCTGATGCCTGGAAACTCATCCAGGAAATCAGGTCCATTCAGACAGAAAGCAGCCTGTTGGGAAAACCATTTGCCAATGATACTTTGTTCTCAAACCTACAGAAATGCACCATATGCCACCCAATGTATAAAGAAACAGTTGCCACCATCAATCAGCTCACCTTCAGTGCCCTCACCACTGCTTTGACTATTTGACAATCAGCTATCAAGAATAACCCTGCTCAAAAGGTTGATCCCTGCCAGGCTAATGCCAGAGTTGCCAGCAACAATGACCAAGATGAACTGATTAAGGAGAATGAGGAAAATGAGAAGGGTGAAGACTGCACCAGCATCAAGGCCACTACTAGGCCACAAAGGCTCTGATGCTAGCTTTTCAAATGACCCGGACATGGCATCAGTCAGTGTGATGCTTTGGTAACCATCCCTGAGAACTCTCCCCTTGCTAAATCCAAATAGGAAGCATGGTGCTCCCTCACACCGAGTTGGCAGAAGCCCCCAGGTCCCAAAGAAACATCTTGTTGGATCTTAGACTCAGGGGCTAGTTACCACATGGTCAACACTTATAGCATGCTCATTAATCCTAGAACCTGTAGAAAGCATGTATTCACTGCCAGAAGTGAGGTTCTAGAAGTGACAGCCATAGGAGATGCAAGCATATCAACAAATCATGAAGACATATTACTCCAGAATGTATTGTATGTTTGGCATCTAAATGTTAACCTATTGTCAACCAACTCTCTGACAGATGAAGGAGCACAAGTGATACTGGATTCAACCAGCAGGCAGATATGCTTAGTGAATGGCATGCTACTCAAGATGGTCAAGGATTACGAGCAAGGGCTCTTAGAGTTCCAAGGTGACACATGGCAAGAAAACACAATGATCATGTCAACATCACTATTTGAAGATGTCAATGAAGATTTTGAGCAGGCTGAAGGCAAGGCCAAAATATCAAAACAACAATTGTGGCATGAGCATCTAGGGCATCCAGGCCAAGACAAGACAAGGGCCATCATCAATTGCTTAAAGGACAATAACACAGCAGATTTGGACCCAGATACTGCTATGACATGTGAGCAATGCATCTGTTCCAAGAGCATGGCAGCCTGAATGGGACAAGGTAGTGGAGAGAAGTCTGTCTCCCTGCTTGACCTTGTTCACATCAACATGATAGTCAATTCATCACATGCAACAGAATACATGTGCACACTGGTACTGGTCAATGACCACAGCAAGTATGTGTACATGCAGCCTTTGTTACAAAAGAGCCATGCATTTCCCAAGCTCAAGACAATTGTATCATATCTCAAAACACAGACAGGAAGGAGCCTAAAAGCAATACAATCTGATCAAGGCACAGAGTGGAGAAGCAATGATGCACTTGAATGGACACATGATAAGGGCATTGAATGGCAGATGACCATGGGATACAATAGCAGACAGAACAGATGTGTGGAGAGGATGAATAGGAGTTTGGGTGAAAAGATGCAAACACTGCTCATGCAAAGGAGGCTGCCAAAGAGTTTCTGGCCCTATGCAATCCAGGCCACAGCATTCAAAATGAACCTCACTCCAAACATTGACAGCAAGTTTCCATACCAAGCTATGTTTGGGAAGCCACTGGAGCAGCTCATGAGACTCTTACATGTTTTCAGATGTCTTGCATGGGTAAACATTCCCAAAGTTAAAAGAGATAATAAAAAGCTAGACCAATGAGCTGTAGCATCTATATTTCTGGGATACAGTCTGGAAAGAAAAGGATGGCTTTTCTACAGCCCAGACTACAGCCTGAATATATTCTGGAGCAACTCTGCAAGATTCATGGAGTCTAAATGCTGGTCCAACAAAACAGAGTGGCGACCAGTAAGCATGTGGCCACTGTCATGGGCCTGGATGCTCAAGAAGCAGGAGGGTCACGGGTTCATATGGAAGGAGCACAGGTATCGAAGATCTAGTCGAGATCAGTAGAGAGCATGGTCGTAGTGCAGTCTCCATGGAGACCATGGACTCCTATGGACTCACATGCAAAGGAGGGCCAAGCACAGCCATGAGGAGGACCAAGCTCAAGGAGCAGGCACAGCCACGAAGAGGACCAAGCTCAAGGAGCATGCAGATGGTTACCACTCAGGGGCTCGAGAGACAAGAGCCAAAGGAACTGTCACTGATCAAAGGAGAAGGAGCAGTGACGAAGGAGTCGACACCAGGTCATGAGGAGGAGGAGCAGTGTCGAAGGAGTCGACACAGCTCAAGAGGCACAGGGGTGCCAAGCAGGAGAGGCCCCTGAGCAGTACTCGATGAAGAAGGTACTCTCTGGAGAGAGAGCAGGAGCAGCATCGCTGGCGATGCTGTGAAGAGGTATATAACCATGCTTTCTCATCATCATAGGTCGAGTGGATCCTCATCCACTCTACTCACCATACAACTAGTCAATACTTAGAAACATAAGTACTCATTAGTTACAGTCAGCATAGCAGCAATCTATCAAGGTTGCTCCTCATTGTAGTGTGTGTGTTGTATCACCACTACCTGACGTCCGAAGGCGCCCATAGCAGGTTAGCGGTCCAGATATAGATAGAACCGAAGGCAGTAGTCCACTGTGGTCTGGGGGTCACTTCAAGCATCAAGTCAACACACTGGACACTTGTGTTGACACCACCAACCTTATCACCAACACCATCAACCTCCTTATCATCAACACTCACCAACCTTATCACCAATGACATCAACCTCATCATCATCAACACTCACACCAGACCTTGGTGTCATCATAACCGAAGCATTGATATTGATCATGCCGAGCTACCCCTGAACGGAGTGTCCACAGAGGTCAGCCAAAACCTATGATAGTATATACAACAAACGCCACCTGCTGTCACTGCACAACTTGATAGTCACCGATACCGAGACAATAGCTGTTGCACAGTTTGATAGTCACCGAGTATCTCGACAGACTGACCTGGGTTTCAGGCGCGAGACCCCTGACATTAGAGTGGATCGTTCAAGCAGCTCCTCACGATCACCATGATGGACCCAGACCTCAACAATAAGCTCGATAGACTACTCACTCTATTGGAAGCACAGCTAGAGCTTACCAGACAGGGTCATCGAGAGGAACGATTACAACGAGCTCAACTGAGCAGGGAGGAGACAATGGACCTCTCTCACTCAGAAGACCAAGCAGGAGGAGGAGATGAGTCTATGATAGGAGACCCACATACTCCTACTCCAGCTCCACGACCAAGACGATCAGTCTCATTCAACCTGGATGAGCAGGAGGACATCAACTATGAGAAGTATGCTTCACCTACTGGGCCAAGATATGTCAAGACTAAGGTGGACCCCTACAGCAGGACTAGGACGGACCCTTACTCCCTGGACCATGAGGAGGACACCAGCATCATGGCAGAGCTTAACCGGTCAAAGCCCAACGCCACCCCCTTCCCAAAGTTCAATCCCTGAGACATGGAGATCTTCATTCTAGAAGCCGAAGCATGGTTTAAGTTCAACCAGGTGTATGAGCAGACTAGGATGATCAACCACATGGGTGCTCAACTGGAAGGGACAGCAAGAGAGTGGTGGACCTCCAAGCTCCATATTGATAGAGCTAGAGAAGGAAGGTTGTTCAATGATTGGCACTACTTCACAGAGCGACTGTCAGAGCAGTTCAACCCACGCAATGCTAGGATGGAGGCATACAACAAGCTGTTGGCTCTCAGACTCACAAGTGATGCTCCTGGTGCCACCACACATCATGTAGAGCAGTTCAGAGACTTGGAGGGACAGGTCAACCTAGATGACAACGAGCTAGTGATTGATCTCTTCAGAGGAAGTCTCACTCGCAGCATACAGGAGAAGTTTGAGAGGAATCCACCTGGGAAGAGATGGGAGTGGTACCGAGAGGTTGAGGAGATCGATCAACAGAGGATGTTACTACAGCAGTCCTCGGCTAGACACTCACTTCCAAATGCCACGTCACCTCCACTAAGAACTGGGTCTCGGCCAAATCAAAGTTCGATCCCCATCCGTCAACCCACTCAACCTTATCCAGCTCGATCACCAGCACAAGCAACTACACAAGCAACTATACAAAACCTAAACCGACCAACTAACCGACCCCTTCCTCATCATCCCACCCAACCCTCGAAGCAAGGAAGCCCTGCTCCATCAGGTATCAACACCTGTCATGTATGCAAGGGTATTGGCCATTGGGCCAGAGACTGCCCCAGCAGGAGGGTAGACCCTCTTAGCTCTCGACCCATGGGACCAAAGGTTATGGTCACCACAGCAGACCCCTTTGAGGAGGCCACCGACTCAGGAGATGGCCACACAGGCAGCACTGAGACTGACCCCGAGGCCATGGACCTCAGCTCATACCAGCAACCCATGGACCTCGACCATGAGGAGGAGGAGCATGATGATGATGATGATGAGGGAAACGTCAGTGGGGTGATGCACTGATGGCATGCATTGCTCTACAAACCTCCTCGCCATCACTCTGTATATATCAAGATTGTCAAGTATGTTTCTCTACCAGTGGAGGCAAAGCAGTACTGGAGCTCTCTGGAATGGTTCAAGACCATCCTGCTCGGATACTAGCTGATACTGGTGCTGGTTTGTCCATAGTCTCAGATTCTTTCATTAGTAAGTACCAAATACCCACAAAACCCATAAAAACAAGATCGATCCATGGTGTCACCAGGCACCAACTCTCCATCAATAGTTCTGCGAGCATGCAGGTATCTATTGGTACACACAATCTGGGTGTGGTCGAAGCTTCAGTGGCCGACACTGCTGACTATGACCTCATCCTGGGGTTCACTGAGCTACGGAGGCTCAAACCCACCATACAATGGGATACGGGCCAGCTGGAGTTCAAGACTCAGGAGCAGGACCAACCCCCAAGGAGACCCCCTGAAGCAGCAAGAGCTGGGGACCTAACCATGAGGAGACCAACCCTTCATGGTAACGAGTTTGTCTCAGCAGAACGCATACTACGAGCAGCTCTAGAAGATGGACCCATAGGGCTCATGCTGTTGGAGGAGCCACCATCATCACTCCCGGCCTTTGGTTTCGTACCTACAGGCACAGATAAAGGAGTCGAGATGGAGGTGGAGGTAGACAAGGTGGTGACAGCTGCAGACATACCAAAGCCATACCAACACCTGCGAGATGTGTTTGATGAGGTGGAAGCAGACAAGCTGCCCCATCATACCGAGCACGATCTCCACCTCGAGTTGATAGAAGGAGGTAAGCCACCTCAAGGGCCCCTATACCTTAAGGGACCCAAGGAGATGTCCGAGTTGAGGAGATACTTGGATGAGAACCTCGAGAAGGGGTTCATAAGACCATCGAAGAGCCCAGCACGATCACCAGTGCTCTTCGTACCAAAGAAGGATGGAGGTCTCAGACTCTGTGTGGACTACAGAGGTCTCAACGAGATCACTGTCAAGAACAGGGCACCATTGCCCCTCATCGAGGAGCAGCTGTTCTTACTCAGGAAGGCAAGGATCTATACCAAGCTAGACCTTAGAGCAGCATACAACCTCATCCGGATTGCTAAAGGAGATGAATGGAAGACAGCTTTTGGCACTCAGTTGGGACTCTATGAGTACCTAGTGATGCCCTTTGGCCTAGCCAATGCTCTGGCTCACTTCCAGTCATTCATCAATGACATCTTCCAAGACATCATTGGGATATATGTGGTAGTATACCTAGATGACTTCCTGATCTTCAGTGACACTGAAGAAGCACATGTGAAGCATGTCACCGAGGTCCTCACTCGCTTAAGGAGCAACAGGCTCTTTGCTAAGCTGTCTAAGTGTGAGTTCCACGCCAAGACAGTCGAGTTCCTGGGGTACATCATCAAGCCGACAGGCATAGAGATGGACCCAGAAAAGGTGCACACTGTCAAGGAGTGGCCAATGCCAGAGTCAATCCATGACATCCAAAGGTTCCTGGGTTTTGCCAACTTCTATCGAAGGTTCATAGCCCACTTTGCTCGCATAGCCAAGCCCTTGACATCACTGGTAAAGCCTATAGAACAGTTCAAGAAGTTCGAGCTACCAGAGGAGGCCCAACAGGCCTTCCACAAGCTCATCCAGGCATTCACATCAGCAGGAGTGCTTCAGCACTTCGACTACCACCTTCCAACAAGGTTGGAAACTGATGCAAGTGACTTTGCTATAGCAGGAGTACTCAAGCAGGAGCATGAAGGATGATGGCATCCAGTGGCCTTCTACTCCAGGAAGATGTCTTCTGCCGAGAAGAACTATGAGATCCATGACAAGGAGCTCCTAGCTGTGGTTGCCTGCCTCACTCAGTGGCGACACATGCTAGCTGGACTACCAAGCCAACTGGTCATACTCACCGACCATGAAGCCCTCAAGTACTTCAAGTCACAGAGACGCATCACAGGTCGACAGGCTCGATGGGCAATACTACTAGCAGACTTCGACTTCATATTGCAGTATCAACCAGGAGACAAAGGTGGTGAACCCAATGCTCTCACCAGAAGGACTGACATGCAACCAGCTGGTGAAGAGCAGGATCACAATGTGAGGCAACTACTGCCTCCTCGAGTGTTCAGGGAGACAGCAGACCATGACTCGACCCTAGTGGCCCCTATGCTCTCGATGGAGTCCATAGCATCAAAAGGTCTCAGAGACCTGGTCAAGATCTTCCAGCCCTTAGACCAAGAGCTACAGGAGATACATAGGAAGAAGCCCTTCGAGGTCAAGGATGACCTATGGTACAGTGGAGGAAGGTTAGTTATCCCCAAAGTGATCATGCCAGGGAGGACCAACAACTGACACTCAAGGAGTGCCAAAGAGGTAGATGGACAGTCTCTCTCTGTAGAGCATCTGTGATTCATGGTGATGACCCAATGCCATGATGGTATCACTGCTGGACACATAGGAAGAGATGCTACCATCAAGGCAGCTCAATGACATTACTGGTGGCCAAACATGACAGCTTGGATTGCAGACTATGTAGCAAGTTGTCCTGTATGTGCTAGGTACAAAGCTCCTCGTCACCGTCCATATGGTTTGCTACAGCCACTAGCAACACCAGACAGGCCCTGGGGCTCCATATCCCTCGACTTCATTGAAGGACTACCACCATTGAAGAAGTATGACTCCAAGACCTATGACTCTATCTTAGTCATTGTTGACAGGTTAACCAAGTTTGCCATACTAGCTCCAACCCATAAGACGGTCATGGCCAAACAGACTGCAGTGTTGCTATATGGACACATGGTTAGACTCTTTGGATATCCAGATCACATGGTCTCGGACCGAGGCAGGCAGTTCATATCAGGAGCATGGAAGGCATTTGCAGAGCAAATGGGTGTGAAGCACTCACTTAGCATGGCTTACCATCCTCAAACTGATGGTCAGACAGAGAGAGTCAATCAGGTCATAGAGCAATACCTCAGGATGTACTGCAACTATGAACAGGATGACTGGGCCAACCTGCTGGACACTGCAGCCTTTGTATACAACAACACGGTCCACAACAGCATTGGTGTCTCACCATTCTTTGCATGCTATGGATGGAACCCCAAAGCTCATCCTGACATCCCTCAACGACTAGGAGTCAATGACCCAGGTTGCTTCGAGTACCTCATGGATGGAAAGGAGCGTTGCAAGTACCTCCAGGAGCAGATCAGAGAGGCACAACATAGATCAGTAGACCAGTATAACAGGAAGCACAAGGACATCGAGTTTAAGGTGGGTGGTATGGTCTATATCAACTGACGAAACTGGAAGACACGGAGACCCACACCCAAGTTGGATACCTGGTTTGTGTCAGGGGTCTCGCGCCTGAAACCCAGGTCGGTCTGTCGAGATACTCGGTGACTATCAAACTGTGCGACAGCTATTGTCTCGAGATACTCGGTGACTATCAAGTTGTGCAGTGACAGCAGGTGGCGTTTGTTGTATATCCTATCGTAGGTTTCGGCTGACCTCTGTGGACACTCCGTTCAGGGGTAGCTCGGCACGATCAATATCAATGTTATGATGACACCAAGGTCTGGTGTGAGTGTTGATGATGATGAGGTTGATGGTGTTGGTGATGAGATTGGTGATGTCGATGATAATGAGGTTGATGGTGTTGGTGATAAGGTTGGTGGCGTCAACACGAGTGTCCAGTGTGTTGACTTGATGCTTGAAGTGATCCCCGGACCGCAGTGGACTACTGCCTTCGGTTCTATCTATATCCGGACCGCTAACCTGCTATGGGCGCCTTCGGACGTCAGGTAGTGGTGATACAACACACACACTACGATGAGGAGCAACCTTGATAGATTGCTGCTATGCTGACTGAAACTAATGTATACTTATGCTGAAGTGATAACTAGTTATGGTGAGTAGAGTGGATGAGGATCCACTCGACCTATTGATGAGAAAGCATGGTTATATACCTCTTCTCAGCATCGCCAGCGATGCTGCTCCTGCTCTCTCTCCAGAGAGTACCTTCTTCATCGAGTACTGCTCAGGGGCCTCTCCTGCTTGGCACCCCTGTGCCTCTTGAGCTGTGTCGACTCCTTCGGCACTGCTCCTCCTCCTCATGACCTGGTGTCGACTCCTTCGACACTGCTCCTCCTCCTTTGATCAGTGACAGTTCCTTTGGCTCTTGTCTCTCGAGCCCCTGAGTGGTAACCATCTGCATGCTCCTTGAGCTTGGTCCTCTTCGTGGCTGTGCCTGCTCCTTGAGCTTGGTCCTCCTCGTGGCTGTGCTTGGCCCTCCTTTGCATGTGAGTCCATAGGAGTCCATGGTCTCCATGGAGACTGCACTACGACCATGCTCTCTACTGGTGTCGACTAGGTCTTCGATACCTGTGCTCCTTCCATATGAACCCATGACCCTCCTGCTTCTTGAGCATCCAGGCCCATGACACTACCCCCCTCTTAAGAGCCGAGCTCCGTCGAGGCATGCTCTGGTCTGGTTCATGCTGACTCCTCCTCTTCCTTGACAACATCGCCCCCGTCATCCTTCCTCCTTCTCTCAACGTCATCCTCCTCTCTCTACTCCTCCTGTTCTCTCCTCCTTTCTCTACTTTGTCTACTCACTCGTCCCCCCTCCGACACCTCATACTCCTGGATGAGGTCGGGACAGTTGAGGTTCTCTACTGGTTCCCATGAAGCAGCTTCTTCTGAGTACCCTCTCCACAACACCTTGTACTCTGTAGTCCCATTGTGTGAACGCTTGTCGATGAGTGCTTCGACTTCGAAGTCGAGGTCCTCATCTGGAAGTGGTGGCATGGTGGGCTGTTCAGCACGTTGAGGAAGAGAACTTGTTCTTGCTGGCTCGAGCATGGAGACATGGAACACATCATGCACCCTAAGGTTTGCTGGCAATGTGATTCGGTAAGCTTGACGTCCTACCCGTTCCTGAACTGGGTAGGGTCCTGCAAACCGGGTGTCTAACTTGGGTGTGGGTCTCCTTGTCTTCCAGTTTCGTCGGTTGATATAGACCATATCACCCACCTTAAACTCGATGTCCTTGTGCTTCCTGTTATACTGGTTTACTGATCTACGTTGTGCCTCTCTGATCTGCTCCTGGAGGTACTTGCAACGCTCCTTTCCATCCATGAGGTACTCGAAGCGACCTGGATCATTGACTCCTAGTTGTTGAGGGATGTCAGGATGAGCTTTGGGGTTCCATCCATAGCATGCAAAGAATGGTGAGACACCAATGCTGTTGTGGACCGTGTTGTTGTATACAAAGGCCGCAGTGTCCAGCAGGTTGGCCCAGTCATTCTGCTCATAGTTGCAGTACATCCTGAGATATTGCTCTATGACCTGATTGACTCTCTCTGTCTGACCATCAGTTTGAGGATGGTAAGCCGTGCTAAGTGAGTGCTTCACACCCATTTGCTCTGCAAATGCCTTCCATGCTCCTGATATGAACTGCCTGCCTCGGTCCGAGACCATGTGATCTGGATATCCAAAGAGTCTAACCATGTGTCCATATAGCAATACTGCAGTCTGTTTGGCCGTGACTGTCTTATGGGTTGGAGCTAGTATGGCAAACTTGGTTAGCCTGTCGACAATGACTAAGATAGAGTCATAGGTCTTGGAGTCATACTTCTTCGATGTTGGTAGTCCTTCGATGAAGTCGAGGGATATGGAGCCCCAGGGCCTGTCTGGGGTTGCTAGTGGCTGTAGCAAACCATATGGACGATGACGAGGAGCTTTGTACCTAGCACATACAGGACAACTTGCTACATAGTCTGCAATCCAAGCTGTCATGTTTGGCCACCAGTAATGTCGTTGTGCTGCCTTGATGGTAGCATCTCTTCCTACGTGTCCAGCAGTGATACCATCATGGCATTGGGTCATCACCATGAATCGCAGATGCTCTACAGAGAGAGACTGTCCATCTACCTCTTTGGCACTCCTTGAGTGTCGGTTGTTGGTCCTCCCTGGCATGATCACTTTGGGGATAACCAACCTTCCTCCACTGTACCATAGGTCATCCCTGACCTCGAAGGGCTTCTTCCTATGTATCTCCTGTAGCTCTTGGTCTAAGGGCTGGAAGATCTTGACCAGGTCTTTGAGACCTTTTGATGCTATGGACTCCATCGAGATCATGGGGGCCACTAGGAGCGAGTCATGGTCTGCTGTCTCCTTGAACACTCGAGGAGGCAGTAGTTGCCTCACATTGTGATCCTGCTCTTCACCAGCTGGTTGCATGTCTGTCCTTCTGGTGAGAGCATTGGGTTCACCACCTTTGTCTCCTGGTTGATACTGCAATATGAAGTCGAAGTCTGCTAGTAGTATGGCCCATCGAGCCTGTCGACCTGTGATGCGTCTCTGTGACTTGAAGTACTTGAGGGCTTCATGGTCAGTGAGGATGACCAGTTGGTTCGGTAGTCCAGCTAGCATGTGTCGCCACTGAGTGAGGCAGGCGACCACAGCTAGGAGCTCCTTATCATGGATCTCATAGTTCTTCTCGGCAGAAGACATCTTCCTAGAGTAGAAGGCCACTGGATGCCATCGTCCTTCATGCTCCTGCTTGAGCACTCCTGCTATAGCAAAGTCACTTGCATCAGTCTCCAACCTTGTTGGAAGGTGGTAGTCGAAGTGCTGAAGCACTCCTGCTGATGTGAAGGCCTGGATGAGCTTGTGGAAGGCCTGTTGGGCCTCCTCTGGTAGCTCGAACTTCTTGAACTGTTCTATAGGCTTTACCAGTGCTGTCAAGGGCTTGGCTATGCGAGCAAAGTGGGCTATGAACCTTCGATAGAAGTTGGCAAAACCCAGGAACCTCTGGATGTCATGGATTGACTCTGGCATTGGCCACTCCTTGACAGTGCGCACCTTTTCTGGGTCCATCTCTATGCCCGTTGGCTTGATGATGTACCCCAGGAACTCGACTGTCTTGGTGTGGAACTCACACTTCGACAGCTTAGCAAAGAGCCTGTTGCTCCTTAAGCGAGTGAGGACCTCGGTGACATGCTTCACATGTACCTCTTCAGTGTCACTGAAGATCAGGAAGTCATCTAAGTATACCACTACATATACTCCAATGATGTCTCGGAAGATGTCATTGATGAATGACTGGAAGTGAGCCGGAGCATTGGCTAGGCCAAAGGGCATCACTAGGTACTCATAGAGTCCCAACTGAGTGCCAAAAGCTGTCTTCCATTCATCTCCTTTAGCAATCCGGATGAGGTTGTATGCTGCTCTAAGGTCTAGCTTGGTATAGATCCTTGCCTTCCTGAGTAAGAACAGCTGCTCCTCGATGAGGGGCAATGGTGCCCTGTTCTTGACAGTGATCTCGTTGAGACCTCTGTAGTCCACACAGAGTCTGAGACCTCCATCCTTCTTTGGTACGAAGAGCACTGGTGATCGTGCTGGGCTCTTCGATGGTCTTATGAACCCCTTCTCGAGGTTCTCATCCAAGTATCTCCTCAACTCGGACATCTCCTTGGGTCCCTTAAGGTATAGGGGCCCTTGAGGTGGCTTACCTCCTTCTATCAACTCGAGGTGGAGATCGTGCTCGGTATGATGGGGCAGCTTGTCTGCTTCCACCTCATCAAACACATCTCGCAGGTGTTGGTATGGCTTTGGTATGTCTGCAGCTGTCACCACCTTGTCTACCTCCACCTCCATCTCGACTCCTTTATCTGTGCCTGTAGGTACGAAACCAAAGGCCGGGAGTGATGATGGTGGCTCCTCCAACAGCATGAGCCCTATGGGTCCATCTTCTAGAGCTGCTCGTAGTATGCGTTCTGCTGAGACAAACTCGTTACCATGAAGGGTTGGTCTCCTCATGGTTAGGTCCCCAGCTCTTGCTGCTTCAGGGGGTCTCCTTGGGGGTTGGTCCTGCTCCTGAGTCTTGAACTCCAGCTGGCCCGTATCCCATTGTATGGTGGGTTTGAGCCTCCGTAGCTCAGTGAACCCCAGGATGAGGTCATAGTCAGCAGTGTCGGCCACTGAAGCTTCGACCACACCCAGATTGTGTGTACCAATAGATACCTGCATGCTCGCAGAACTATTGATGGAGAGTTGGTGCCTGGTGACACCATGGATCGATCTTGTTTTTATGGGTTTTGTGGGTATTTGGTACTTACTAATGAAAGAATCTGAGACTATGGACAAACCAGCACCAGTATCAGCTAGTATCCGAGCAGGATGGTCTTGAACCATTCCAGAGAGCTCCAGTACTGCTTTGCCTCCACTGGTAGAGAAACATACTTGACAATCTTGATATATACAGAGTGATGGCGAGGAGGTTTGTAGAGCAATGCATGCCATCAGTGCATCACCCCACTGACGTTTCCCTCGTCGTCATCATCATTGTGCTCCTCCTCGTGATCGGGGTCCATGGGTTGCTGGTATGAGCTGAGGTCCATGGCCTCGGGGTCACCCGTCTCAGTGCTGCCTGTGGGGCCATCTCCTGAGTCGGTGGCCTCCTCGAAGGGGTCTGCTGTGGTGACCATAACCTTTGGTCCCATGGGTCGAGAGCTAAGAGGGTTTACCCTCCTGCTGGGGCAGTCTCTGGCCCAATGGCCGATACCCTTGCATACATGACAGGTGTTGATACCTGATGGAGCAGGGCTTCCTTGCTTCGAGGGTTGGGTGGGATGATGAGGAAGGGGTCGGTTTAGGTTTTGTATAGTTGCTTGTGTAGTTGCTTGTGATGGTGATCGAGCTGGATAAGGTTGAGTGGGTTGTTGGATGGGGATCGAACTTTGATTTGGCCGAGACCCAGTTCTTAGTGGAGGTGACATGGCATTTGGGAGTGAGTGTCTAGC